GGACAGTGTTCTCAAAGCTACCAGCATGAGTCTGACCAAACTGCGGGAGGCAGTGGAAGACAGGAGTGCCTGGCGTGCTCTGGTCCAGGGGGTCACGAAGAGTCGGACAAGACTAAACGACTAAACAACAACCACAACCCCCGGATTGCTAGTAAAACTGAATTACTGTGTTGCGAAATGATGCACGTCTGAGAAGTGTGTCACCAACACAAAAAGTTTGGAAAGCTCTGCCCTACTCTTTCAGCAGCCTTTACCAAACAGTTTTGGACTACAAGTCCCATCAGCCCCAGCCAGCGGGACCATATGATGGGATGGGAGCTGTAGTCCAACACATCAGGAGGATTAGATAAATTCCTGGAGGCACAAGGGCTATTGATGGCTGCTAGTCAAAATGGCTATGCTCTGCCTTCAGTGTTTCTGAATACCAGTTGCTGGAAACTACAGGACAGGAGAGGGCTCTTGGGGTCAAATCCTGCTTGCAGGTTTCCTGTAGGCATCCGGTTGGGTGCTGGACTAGCTGGGCCACTGGCCTGATCCAGTAGGCTCTTCTCACATTCTTCAGGAAAGGAACAGGTTGGTTTCTGCTCTACGGGAAAACAATAGTTTGAGACCACCTAGGAGCTGGTCTCATGTCTAAGTTGGATACTGACGGAGCATGTGCAAGTGTATTGCAAAGGAAGACCCTGTTCACTAGGCCAAAAGCAGAGCTCAGGTTGATTGATAAGCATAGTTCTCTTGTCCTTTGCAAACCAGCTTGTTCATTGGCAGACATTTGATGCTGGTCTGCCCAGTTTTACAAATTATTGGACAAAAACCCCAATGTGAAATCCTAAAGGCTGATTTGGTAATAAAAGGCTGGGGGGCAAATTAATAAAATAATAATAATAATAATATACCTCACCCATCTGGCTGGGTTTCCCCAGCCACTCTGGGTGGCTCCCAGCAGAATATTAAAAATGCGATAAAACATCAAACATTAAAAACTTCCCTAAACAGGGCTGCCTTCAGATATCTTCTAAAAGTCAGATAGTTGTTTATTTCCTTGACATCTGATGGGAGGGCGTTCCACAGGGCGGGCGCCACCACCGAGAAGGCCCTCTGCCTGGTTCCCTGTAGCTTCACTTCTTGCAGGGAGGGAACTGCCAGAAGGCCCTCGGAGCTGGACCTCAGTGTCCAGGCTGAACAATGGGGGTGGAGATTTTTGTTACGTTTTAAGGTATTGCAAAACTGTGTTCCCAAATTTCCAATCCTATTCTCTCAGTATTACAGTGGTAAGAGACACAGCAATATGAAACGTGGAATGCTAGTATTAACATTCACAGGCCAACAGCTGAGGAGGGATAATTCTCCAGATGTCAGGAGAGGCAATCCTTGTGAGTAAATAATCTTAACACAGTGATACACAATCCACCGACCCAGTCTACACCACCACTCAGTTATGCAAACATTCCCTTCTCCAAAACATGCCTGGGACACTCTGCATGAAAAAACAAAAGTGCCTTTATTTGGGTACAGACTCAAGATTCACAGATATTGCACCACAAACCAATGGTAGAGATACGCCGTTGTTCTTTGGGGGTCGCAGTAGGGGACAGAGGAGCTGATACTTTTATGTCCCCGTCCCCACCCGCATCACAGCTTTGTGCAAAATGCCCTTCCCCTTGATAATGTACAGTTCATAGTGTTCAAAGCCAGAATCTCCCTGGGGTAGAATTCTCCCAGTTCTCCAGAGAGTAGGAAATATTAATAAGGAGGTCCCATTCCAAAAGAGAAAGCTTTAAAAACAATATTCTCTTAGCAGCATGCTCCAATATACCCCTTCCCCACAAAAGGGGGCAAATATTAAAGCTTACGAGTCCTCAGATTTAGGAGGGTTTTCCATTGACCATGCAACAAAGAAATGCACTGAGCAAAAGAGGTTTCTTCTCTCTGGCAGTTGTGGGGGAAATAGTTAATTCTAAGCAAGGAAAGTTGAAGACTTTGAGGCTCCTGCCTTTTGGCTTGGTCAGAGGGAGATTTGCAGATGGAAAAATCAGATACAAGCAGTGAATAAGTGTTCGTCGTTCAAGTAAATGTCTGCAACCTCGAAAAAGCGATGTGATTAAAATACTTCCATAATCGGTGCACTTCCAACCAGTTCTGTATTTTGAAGAGCTTTAAAGGGAGAAGTTCACATCTCAAGGGATGAAATGTCCAAAAGCCAATGCGGTTGGAGTCACAGGCCCACTCCCAGCCCTTTGCAAGGCACTAACTGATATCCGCCTGGTCTTACCAAGTTATTCACACTGAAGAGATTTTGTGGAAAGCAAAAGGACACCTTCTGCTAACCTCTGAAAGCTCAGCAACACCAGAAAATGTTAGTTTTCTACAGTAGCCACTTTTGGTTGTGTGTGTTGCATTTACAGACATTGGCTTTCTGGAAATGCAATTTTCTCTTGCAGTAAGAAAAGGCTGTCTTTGCCTTCTGCAAAATGGCTCATAGCATTCACCCATCATGAACCACACAAATTGCTTTTGGGTGTCCAAAGATGCTCAGATCCAGGAGGATTTTATGACCAAAGAGATATTGCAAGCGGATTCAGGCAAGCTGTTCTGACTCAGGGTCACAGGTGACTCGTAAGGGTTACCCCCGTCTCTGGAAATCCAGCACACAGGTCACCTCCAGAATTTCACACAACCCAGAAGCTGCAAAGCCAACACTTGTTGGGCAAATAGCAGAAAGGGGTGATGTGGTTTGCTCTTCAAAGCCAACAAAGGAGCATTATTGTTGGTCCCTTTGGGGCAAAGATAATCACTTTTCCAGTTCCACCCTGAGTGATCCTAAAACACACAGTAACATTCATTAAGGTCGAGGTGGGAGAGAGAATAATTGTCTTTTTAGAGGATTTCTGAAAGGACTGCTGGTGTGGAATACTTGCTGGTACAATAGCTTAGTTTACAGCACACGTCTACTGAGAAATAAACCCCAATGAGCTCAGGAGGATTAAATCCTACATATGTAAATAGAGGATTGCAACTTAAAAGTCACTCTGGCTACCCTAACAAGAATCCAATTGCCGTATTTTTCCGTCTACAAGATGCCCCGATGTATAAGACACCCCCTATTTTTAGGGACTCTGATTTAAGAAAATGGGGGGAGATGTATCATATAAGACGCCCCCAAATTTTTGACATTATTTTTTAGGGGGAAACCTAGTCTTATACATGGAAAAATACGGTAAGTTTCCTGGACTGGGGCATGGGAAGGGGGTGCGGTTGAAGACAGAGATTCTCTTTTCATGTAACTAGCAGCAATTAAAATCAAATGACGATTCCCACCCATTTGTGGGATTGTCAAGGAGAGGCACAACCCAACACTCTTGCCGGGGTCGCCGTTAAGGCTGGCTTGGCTTGCTGCCCTCCAATTAATAAAAAGGGTAGGATGTTTTTGTCACCAGGCACTAAGTTTGGGGGCGAGACCCTTCCTCTCTTTGGAAACCTGGAAACCTTAGCAAGGCTTTGCCATATGCACAATTCATTCTAAGTCATTGGCTGGTTCAAAAAGGCAGACAAGGAAACTGAAAATTGCTTCATTTTTTTTCTTTTTTGCTTCAGACATGGATGCGGGCAAAGAGCAGCAGCATGGAATCGTGTGCCAAAGGTGGAACTTCTCTGCTCTGTTAAGGGCTCTTGCCCTGCCTCTGAAACGCAACACGGCCGCTGAAGCACATTAGGAGCTGAAAACAAGAAAATGAATGGGAGGGAGGGGAGAATCAAGTGTTGTCCCCGCGCTCCAAAACCCCATCCCCAAAACAGGCCGGTTTTCCATCCAGAGGCACAACCCAAAATGGCTTGCTAGTTCACTCCAATTTCCATGGGACAGTCCACAGAAAATCCCCGGACTTTTCCTGTTTTACTCTGGAAACAGGAGCAGGATATATAAATAGTTCAATAAATAGGATGTGGAGAAGGAAGGGGAGGCAGGAAGGGGACTCTCTGCACAGGTAGATCCAGGCTCTCTTTGGAAACACAAGAAGGAAGGGGTGTGCTCTTTATGTAGCTGAAATAACACGTCCCCCTCACTCACTCACAGCCCCCGCTGGGTGGCAAGGCTGCCAAGATCAGGCGAAAAGAGGGGGTGGGGGTATATGTGTAGCACAACGCTCTTTGGCCAATTTATTTCTTCCAGTTGGCAAAACTGAGCTGTGCGAATGTGGGAGATGACCCTGGCAAAGAGGCACCAGCAGGAGAGGAGCGTTGGCAGTTCGGCGGCGGCAGTGGGAAGATGGTGGTGACATTTTAGGGCCCTTTCTCTTGCTTCCACCCTGGGCTCTCTCTGAGGGGAGCTCTTGAAGGGTATTCAGAAGAAACTTTCCCTTTCTGGCCAGATCCCAACAAGGAGGCAACTGAATGTGGGGCACAGGGTGTGCGTCAACGATAATTCTCCGCAGGCCACCAACCTCTTTCTCTTTCCTTTTCTCGTTTTTTTTATTATTATCATTGGTACTGCACGAAGGCCCCTTCAAGAGCACAGCAGCAGATCAGTAAAAAAAGAAACACTTAACAACACCAACAGACAGTTCTGCAAAAATAAATACATAAAAACCCGGTCCCTCCCACGCCCAACGTTGTGGGCTGTCTGTCTGTGTCCAAATCCTTAGTAAGGCAGCAAGGATTGGGGGCGGCTGGTCCGGCGGATAAAGGTCCAGAGGAATGTCTCATATCCCTGGAAGCAGGCCAGTCCAGGCGGCGCTTCCACACCTGAAGCAGCTGGGGCCTGGGCTCACAGTCCTGCAGCGTCTTCTCCTGTGGGCCACGCAGCCGCCCCATGGTCCCGGAAACACCCACAATGTGAGCTTCCTCTCCCTGTTGCCAGGGAGGTGGGGCTGCAGCAGCAGCAGATCCTACAGGGACCTGCGGCCAGCGCCTGCCTCTGAGCCCTGCTGCCCAGCAGCACCCTGCTCAGGGCAAGTAGGAGCGGCTCCCGATTTGGGGGAGAAAGGAGTCTGTGGCTTGCCAGCTTAGCCTGAGTCCTGCACCACTTCCGCGGCTGGAGTTGGCGGCTGCTGCTGTTGTTGTTGTTGCTGCTGCTGCTGCTGTCCTCTCTCCGCCCCAGCCTCCTCTTCGTCCATGGCCATTTCGGGGGGCAAGGAGGGCAGGCACCCCTGTCCCGCGCTGCTGCCCTCCTCCATGGGCTCCAACATGCCGTTCAAGTCCATGTCTTGAATCTCGACGTCGTAGAGAGGGGCCACTTTGGAGGAAGGGTTGCTCCCGCAGTCCATGCAAGCCTGGGGTTCAAAGAGAGGGAAAAGGAAGATGGTGAGCAGCTGGACAACACTCGATGATCTGGGAGAGCCCCCTCATCTCATATGCAAAGTCTAGGGACTTGTTCTCACTGCCCCGCAGACGTTCCCTTACGGGTTGCCATTAGGGACACAATTATGAGGAATCTAGGCTGCTGTAGGAACAGAACCACTCAATCTCATCATTAGATGCACACACAAAGTTTGAGAACTCTCCTGCCTATAGAAAAGCACCCATGCTCGCTAAACGGCACACAGACACCATTCTGGTTTCTGCGCTGTTCACTCCAAACACACCGCCCGTCACACTCCTTACCGTGATGTTGATAGCCTTTGGCAAGTTCCCCTTCTGGACCCAGGAGTGAACTTCGGCCAGCTCCTTCTTCTGCTCCTCGGTGAATCGCGGCTGCCGCTTCTGCATCTGTTTCAACTTTTCCCTGTCCTCCTTCAGAACAGTTTCCAGGTCCCTGGCAAAGGGCAAGCGGACAAATGGGTCAGGAAAGAGGCGCAGTGGGCAGCGAGAGGGAGGGAAATGGAGCCCAAATCCTCCTGGCTATGAGGCCAGAATGAATGGAAGTGGCCCCAGTGCCTTTTTTTTTTTTAAAGAGACAGAGCAAGCTAAAATCTTCCCCTTAAAGCTTTAAGTCTCTTCACCCACTGCTTTGGGTATTAAACTACCCATGAAAACAAAACACAAAAGCCAGCTCTCTTTCATTGGCACTCGCAACAACCCTGCCCCATTGAGTACCCTCCTCTGCTGGGGTGAAGGGATTCTGGGTCAAGAGACAACAAGCAGCACAAGGCCTGGAAGGGAAGTGCCCACCATAGGCAGTCACAGCCTGGCAACCTCCATGGCGACATGGGAAAGGGGATCTGCCTGGGAGCAGCTCAGCCTCCTCACCTGGCAGGGAGCTGGTAGGTCATCATGACCTTGTCGTCGGTGTTGGCCATCAGCAGCCAGATGGGGTCCTGCAGGACGTACTTGATGAAGTGCTCGTTGTCTTCCACCTCCGCCCGCTTCTTGCCCCGCAGGTCGTTCTCGGAGGAGTCAATGCTTCCAAAGTACTTGCTGGTGCCGCTGCTCTTGCTGCTCGCTGGGAGAGAAGAGGAGCCGGTCAAGACACAATCAGGAAACCCAAAAGGAGCGTCAGCACATGTGACCAATCGGGCCGCCATGCCACTCGGGAGCTCTCAAACCCTCACATTTGGGACGTGCTAAGAATATCGCCATGCAAGGTGGAGGGGGCACCATTTTCTCCTTTGAGGACAAGTGTAGGGACCCAGAGAACCTGCTGCCTTCATGCTCAGCTCAACAGCTTTGCTTCTCCCATCCACCAGCACTGAAGGGCTGGCGCTCAGTGTCTGCTCTACTTGCAAAATGTCCCAAGTTCAAGCCCTGGCATCTTCAGGGCTGGGAGAGACTCCCTGCCTGAAACCCTGGACAGCCACTGGTCAGGGGAAGCAGCAGTCAGCTAGACAGACCAATGGCCAGACATGGTATAAGGCAAGTTCCTGTGCTGAGGACTTCCCAATAGCATATAACTGGCCTGGGTAAACAGGGATGTTCTTTGATTCCTCCTGGAAGTTGGTAGTGAGAGAGGACGAACTACCATAATCAGAGGCAAGCGTGCCTCCAAATACCAGTCTCTGGGGATCACAAGTGCAAGAAGGCCACTGTGCTCATCCTGCTCAGCAGCAGAGCACGTGCTGGTGCATAGGGGATCCTGGGTTAAATGGTATCGCCAGGTAATACCCCACCTGAAACCCTACAGAGCCATCCACCGCCGTCAGGTGTTGTGTAGACCGTTTCCCAAGCCAGCTGTTTAGGACTACAATTCTCACCATCCCTAACCACTGGGTCCTACTAGCTAGGGATTATGGGAAGTGTAGTCTAACAACAGCAGGAGACCCCAATTTGGGAAATCTTGGTGGAGACAATACTGAGCCAGTTCACAGAGAAAGCCTCACTCCATGAGACCCACACCACACGCCGGAGGAGTAAGACTTACTGGTGCCGCTGGCGGAGGTGCTGCCTCTGTTGGAGCCGGATCCCATGGAGCCGGAGGCTGAGCCACTCCCGGAGGCAGCCGACCCCGTGCCGGAGCGGGAGTCCTCCTGCAGGAGCAGGTCCAGGAGGTCGCTGGAGCTGGAGAGCGCATCGTTGTTGGAGGAGTCGTGCGCTTCTGCCTGCAAGGGGCGGAAGAGGCAGGGGAGCAGGAGGGTTAGGTCAGAGGCCCAAAGCAGGAAGGTCCCTGCCTCAACAGCTCTCACACCCTTTCCAACCTCACTATTCCATTAGCCACCACAGGAGAGAGAGCGTGCACAGCACAGCCAGATAAAACTTTTAGAGGCCCTAAGCACTTAAAACATGTTGGTGCCCCCATATCTAATTCAAAATGTAAGCAATGGGGTGGAAAGAAAGGAGGCTGCCTGATCCAGTCAGCCCATTCATCCATTTAACTCAGTACTGACTACACTGACCGGCAGCCGCTCTCCAGGGCTTCAGGCAGGAAACGTTCCCAACCTGAGCTGGAGATGCTGCTGGGGGTTGAACCCGGGGCCTTCTGCTTGGAGATTCCCAAGAGGAACCAAGCTGCCCCCCCTGATCCTCCAGTTTGTGTGGGAAGCCCCCTGGTGGGTAGGGAAGAAGGGGTGAGGTTGCGAGGAATGAGCCCCGACAGCCATGGGGGAAAGGGCAGGAGAGATCCAGGAATTTGTGGCGTCATTCTCTGACCTCAGTTGCAAGGAGAAAGTTCGTTGTTCTTATTGAACGCATTCCAGGGCTCTCAGATTTCAACGCTTTGTGGGAGAGGAACCTCTGCTCCTTCATCTGAAGACCCCCCTCTGACTTTCTCTCTCAAAAAAATCCCAACCCCAGCAGTTTCCCCAGTTCTCTCTTGAGTGGAAAGATGACGAACACCTGGATTTTGTGGTGTGGAGAGCCAGTGTGGCGCAGTGTCGGAATAAGACCTGGGAGACCAGGGTCCATACCCCCACTTGTCCAATAAAGGTCACTGGGTGGCCTTGGAGTCAGTGCCACTGCCTCTAAGCCTAGCCTGCCTCACAGGGTAATTGTGAAGATGAAAGGGGGAGAATTATGTGAGTCACACCTTGAGCTCCTTAGAGGAAAGGTGGGATGTAAGTGAAATAACATAAATTAAAAATCAATAAATGTTGGGTCGTTTGCCCTTCCAAAGGGCCCGACAGTGCCCCAGGGGAGAAAGCCAGCCCCCCCGTCCCCTGGGACTCACCATGCACGCTTCTTTCTGAGTGCTGAGTTCCTTCGCCAGGCTCTGCCCGCCCGTCACCACGGCCCAGTCGGTGGTGGCCCCAGCTGGCCCTGTTTGGCTTCCACCGGCGGCCTCCTGACGGTCGCAGAGCTTGGGCATCTCCTCCATCTGCAGCAAGTTGAGCTGCAGCGGGGAGCTGCAGCGTGACTCAAAGAGAGGCGACTCAGGCCGCTCGGGCTGACTCAGCGAGTGCGGGGTGGAGGAGCGTGACGCGGCCTGCGTGCCCGTCTCGGGGACGACGACGGGCATGCTCCCTGGCTGAGGGGCGAAGGGGAACACAGGGGGTGCGGCGAAGTAGGGCTGCGGGGGCATGGGGCCGTGCATCTGGGGGAAGACGTAGTTGGGCAGCACGAGGGCCATCATGGGGGTGACCAGCGGGGTGGGGAACTGGGGGGCAGCCAGGGTGCTCTGGGAGGGCTCAGTGACCGGGGGCGCGGCCGGCCGCGGGGGGAAGACGGGGATGGGGTAGGTGGGCATGACAGCCGGGTACGGCATGGCGGAAAGGCTGGCCTGGGAGTTGCCAGAGGGGGGCCAGGAGGAGGAGCTGGGGGCGCAGGGCAGCTGGGGAGGGGAGACGGAGCTCTGCGGGGAGCTGGTGCTCTCTGCCAGCCTGTTCTGCTTGACGCGCTTGGCTTTCGACTTCCGGCTCCGACCGCGGCAGCCTGGGCCTCGGGACGCCTGGCGGGGACCTTTGTGCCCTGCGGAAGAAGGAAAAGGCAGGGTGAGAATGAGGGACCCCCTTTCTCTTTCTTCTTTCCCCCTTTCTACTGCTTCCTCCTCCACCTCCTCCTCCCAGTCCTGCCCACCAGGCTTACCTCGCTCGTTGGCATGGGGTCCCGCCTGGCGCAGCTCCTGCCAGCTCAGCCCCGAGTGCGAGTTGAAGACGTGCAGCTGGCTGAGGTCCTTGAAGTGGGTGAGGAAGGCCTGCTCCTCCTTCTGGGTGTGGATGGACAGGACTTCCTTAGTCAGCCCCACTTTGCGGTACTGCGCCTCCCGGTCAGGGGTGACGCTGGGCGCGGGGGCAGGGGGGGTCGCGCTGGGCGCTGCCTCCTCCATCATCACGATATCTGCAAGAGGAGAACAAAAAAAGGGGGGGGGGAGAACCAGGTTAGCCCATCACAACTGCCTTCTCCCCGTGTGATGTTTTTCTTTTCCCCAGCACATCTCTGTATTTATGTGTTCTCATTATTTATATCTCCCATTTCTTTAGATCAACCCCTCCAAACACACACACTAACAGACATGAGTCATCTTTTTCTACCATCATCCCAGGCCATGCTGGGAATAAGTCCCTCTGCCTTTCCATTTTAATCTGCAACAAAAAGCTCGGGTCCTAATTTTACCCTGCACAGCCCCAGCTGAGCTAAGCTCTCATATGAATTTGCCACATATTAAGGAAATAAATTGTGGGAAAAGGAGGTTAGAATCTTCTTTGATGTAAGAGGGCTACAAATCCAGCTGCCAGCCACTCTCTGTGGCTTCTACACAGGTTAAGCGGGGGGGAGAAAAGCTGCAACTTTTGCGCTGGTTTTTTGGGGAAGTAGGGCGACTAATATTTCTATAGAGAATTTGACAAGTTGGAGAAAAATGCATCAAGGGAGGAGAAAGGATGGTTAAGACACTGTCCCTACTTAAACCTTCCTTGATTTAAACACCATAAAGGTTTGCCAGCTGAACACCAGCTGGAGCGGGCAACATCTACCTAGATATCTATCCACACAGAAGCACACGTTGAATCATGCACAGAATTATTACTATAATATACACACACATACACACACAGTCTGAACATTTATGCCTGCAGGAGAGTCCTGTATAACGTGGAAGCTTGGATGCACTGAACACAAGATGGCCTCATAAACAGGGTTCTGCCTGACAGCCCTGCATTTCCTATTCCAAGATTCTTGTGCGGTTTCCAGGAATGAATTGTCGCCTTGCTGTTCAGGAGGTGAAAGCATTTGCCTCTGAAATGCTCATCCAGGGACAGTTTCTAGAGATCCCATGAAAGGATCCCTGCAAGACATGCTCCTCCTGGGGATTATGTCAGAAAGCCCAGATGTTAATTGAATTAGTAGAATCCTGAGTTGGAAGGGGCCACGAGGTTCTGGAGCACCCTTCTTGCAATGCAGGAATCTTTTTGTCCAATGTGGGGCTCGAACCCACGACCATGAGATCAAGGATCTCATGCTTCACCGACTGAGCTGTCCCAGCTAGTGAAAAGGAATCAACTGGCCTCAGAAGGATGGGTGCATCGTCATGGATAATGTCCCCCCCCCCTCCACAGGGGAGTGAAACCTGAGGTCTCATGGAGTGGCCCCTTCCTGCCTGACCCTAAAGCCTCACGTGTCGTGCAAGGTAAAAAAGCAGACTGGACCACTACAATGATGTGAGGGAACTGGTGGGTCAGATGTGAGCAAAAAGCGGGGAGGGATATGTGCAATGACAATGCCAAGCACAGGGCCTATCCACATGCTGCAAATTTTGCAGGAAAGCTGGCAAGGAAACTGCCTGAACCCTACTAGAAAGAGACATGTTTGGAGGGTGGGGAGGGAATGCTCTCCCTTCCTGAGGTTGAAACTTGCAAAGGCCTTGCCTGCCTCTCTCGTCTCTTCAGCTGCCCCCCAAGCGCAAAGAACAAGCCATCTTGCCCAAGACTGACAAGAGAGACAGCAGCGGGGTGTGAGGTGCCTGACAAGACAGACACCAAACTACGGAAGTGAAAAGAGCCTGGGATTTCTCCAGAGGTTGTCTTGCCAAATGGTGGCTGCTTGCAACAGCAGAAATCTAAATGTAGGAGCTTTAAGAGGCTGCCTTCTACTGAGTCAGACCACTGGATCCAGCTAGCTTTGTACTCTCCACGCTGACTGGAAGTGCTCTTTCTCAACTCTACTTGGATAAGCCACTGGAGATTGAGCCTGGGGGCTTGGGCTTCCAAGGCAGATGGTCCTTTGGGGTCACCCAGATAAAGCCTTTCTGCTGCTCTCCTGGTAATGTTGCAGGCTCCTGCGCAAGCAAAAATGAAGGCTGGCTGCAGAAAAAGAAGGAAGAGCAGCCGACTAAAGCAGAGGAAGGCAAGAACCAGCACCAGCACCATCAAGTTTGTGGCCAGCAAAAGTCAGCAGAAGAAGGCACTCGTTGCTTCATTTTGCAATCCAGCTGCCGACTCTGTAGCTCTAAATGGAAGGTTAGCCTTCCTGTCTCGAATCTGCACCAGGCCAGCTAATCAAGCCCTCTCATTGTTGCTGCCGACTGGCCAGAAGCTCCCAAGCAGGGGGAGAAGAAGAGGAAGAAGCGGGGACGTGGTCCTGCTTTTTTTAACACATGGGGTCTAGGCTGGCCTTCTTTTACACAGCTGCATTTGCAAAACGGCTGCCAGAGCGACCCCAATAGCCTACTATGCACCATGTGAAGACAATCTTCCTTTGAACCTGCTTGCCAGCCCCGCGGAAGCAGAGTCAAGCTGTAAGCAAAGGAACAGCACACCTCCAGTTCCAGCCCCCCGCCCCCCAGCAACCCCGCACCGCCGCCCCCCCAAGAAAAACACGGTGTCCACCTCCCATACCCGACTCGGGGGGCTTCTTGTCTCCCACGTGGACGATGGTACTGCTGAAGCTACACTGACTGGTCACAGAGACCACGCTCTCGGCTTTGCTAGGCAAGGCCAGTGGAGTGAGTGGGCCTCCCACCACAGCAGCTGCTGCCGTCCCAGGTTCCTCTAGGCTCTTGGACTGGCTCTCCGGGGTCGGCAGTATTTCCTCCGGCGCATCTGTTCAAAGAGACAACGGTGGGTTAGCATGGCGGTGGGGCGGCAGCATGGAGTAAGGGGGCAGGGAGGGAGGGAGGGGGCCGGGGGGTCCAAGACTGCCGACCGGCACGACCACAAGAGGACGTCAAGATGCCGAAGGGCTCATCAGCCCGGCTGGGGTCTCGCCACGAACGGAGAGAGGGGGGGGAAAAGAGATCACGCAGGATGTGGAACGCCAAGGCCAGCATCCAACAAGGGGGAGGGGGAGTTCAAGCTTCCTGGAGGACAGACCTGCAGACCCTGCAATTGCTACACACACACACACACACACACACACACACACCCCTCCGCCCCCTGTACCTCACACAGCATCCATGATTGCATACAAACATGAACTTGGTACAGGAGGAAGAGGAGGGGCATCAACCTGTACACTTGGCAAGCAGGGTGGAAACTGATACCTCAGGAAAACAGGGGAGGGGGGATGATTAATACCTAAGTAGAGGAAAGAAAGGAGGGGAGAATCACCTTTGCTTAGAGAGGCCAGCTCCTCGCCTGCCTTCTGCTTGTCATCATCGGAATTTGAGGATGTGGTGTAAGAGGAAGAGCCGCATTTTCGCTTCACGCGGCTTGGAATGTTGCAACTCTCCAGATACCTGTTGAGGGAGAAGAGAAAGGCAGAAAACTAAGATTAACAGAGATGAAAAACCTATTATCATTATTGTAATTATTACTAGGGGGGTTGGAAGAGAAAACTCAGGAAAGGACTCCACACCACTAGGAGTGGCGATCTGAAAACACAGTGCTTTGTTGGTCTCAAACTACAGGAGGAGACACAAAGTAAGGAAGCTTTAGCGCTTCAGAGAACACTTAAGCAGGTAGCACTTAAAAAATGAATCTGTGACGAGTTCTATGAAATCTATGAAAGGTTGCATGTTGCTACATGAGCACCAATGAGGGGAGAAATCCGTAACATCATTTCACCTACTCTGCATCTCAACCTAATGCAGTGCAATCTTCCTAGTCATGTCTATTCAGAAGTAAGACCCGCTAAATTCAACGGGGCTTACTGTCAGGTAAGTGGTAGTTGAGGCTGCAGTCTAAGAAGCAGTTTTGCCCTTTCTTAAATAACCAAAGAGCAAAATATTCCTCCCAGGAAACACATTCCCGTTCTGGTGGTGAAACGACTCTGAAGGGCTCAGCTATTTCCATTTCATTTACTTTTTAGGATTTTTAATCCTACTCTTCAGCCACTAAGGTTCACAAAGCACCCTACAGATGCCCGTTCTCAGGCTCACAATCTAAAAAAATAAAAATGCACACACACACACAAGGAAAATAAACAGAGGAGGAGGAGGAAATAAGCAAACTCATGCAAAAGTCCGTAGTTCTGGGAACATTTGCTGCCTTGTACATGGTTGTGGCTCCCCAGCAGACCTCGCTCACCTTATGATGCCATCCAGGCAGTTGATCTGCTGGTATGAATAGTTGGAAGGCTCCTTCCTGACTGATTCCTCAGAGGTGGCTGCCTTTGCTGGCCTCCTCTCCAAGTCCCTCAGGGTCTCCAGAGGCTGCCTGTTGCAGCTGACTGGTGCTTTCAGAGCTAGAAAGGGGTGGGGGAGAGACACAGAGAAGGTCACAACCCACAGAAGGAGAGTAAACTTTGTTCCCAGGCCACACCAGAACATGCTTGTCCCAGCTCTGAGAATGTCCCAGCCAATGGAAACCACCCCTCCCTCAACTCACCCCCCCCCCCCCGGCCGCTAGAAATGGGCCAAGACAGAGGGAGGAAACCTCAAAAGTCCTTTGGCCAAATCCACATCAATGAGGCCGAGTGAGGTCAGCAGGCCTCAAGGTGGGAACAATGAGCAGGAAGAAGGGGCAGGGGCCAGTCAACCATCTCACCTGGCCGGGAATGCTTGGCAGGCTGGGGCTTGACTCGGGATTCAATGAAGACCTGCTGGCCCTGGTTCTTCACCATATGCACATCCTTGCAGATCTCCTGGAAGGTCATCTGGGATCAAGAGGGAAGCAGAGTCAGCCCCAAGCTCTCCTCTCCAAGAGAGAACCCTCTACAGAACCCTTTCTAGAGCAGGTTTCTCCAACCTGATGCCCTTCAAGTGTTTTGGATGCTAACTCTCATCAGCCCCAGCTGAAGCCCAATGTACCTGGAGGGCACCAGGCTGCGAAAGTCTGAGCTAGAGCAGTGTTGCTCAGCAGCCAGAGGCGCATGCCCAAACCGCAACCTCACCCAGTAAAAAGCCAAAGGATTTCAATCAGAGAGCCAGGTTTGAAGGGATGTGTGGGATCTCTACATTAGCTAAAAGGCAGCGTGGGTTTTTAAAGGCTGAGAAACACTGCCCTAAAGAGTAGATTTCTCTCTCTGTGAAACTTTCAAACTCTCTGAGGGGGTATGTAAAAATCTGCCACCAGGTAAGCCATTATGATGATGCCCATTTTATAGGTGGGAGATTTGCCAGGTGGATGTGGAAATGGAAGCAAAGACCCAACACCCATTGCATGAATCTTAAGACAACCCCCATCAGTGGACACTCCCCCCCCCAAAAAAAATCAACATGCATTTCTAAACTCACCGGCCGAACAGCTTGTGCCTCCTCATTGGGGATGCCGTTGCTGTCGCTGGAGGAGGCGATGCTCAGGAACTGCTCGTGGGAAGCATTGCTGCCCATGCTGCAGAGGCCCATGGAGCCATTGCTGTGGACGGGCTGCAGAGTGGAGGAAAGAGAGGAGGGTTTGAATATGAGAGGAAGAGGAGGCGGAGCTCACAAGGAAGGAAGGAAGGAAGGAAGGAAGGAAGGAAGGAAGGAGAGGGCAAGTGGAGTAAGAAGAGGGAGCTCTTTACCTGCAGCAGGAGTCGGTGGATCTGCTCTGAGAGCTCCTGGATGTCCAGCTCCACAGGCTTCACCTTCTGAGCTTTGGGGGCTGTGAAGACGTCCTCGTTGAGGGGGCCCCTGGAGAGAGCATGGGAGGCGAGAACAGAGTTAGTGGGATGTGCGCTTCCCTCAAGAGGTGGGAGCTTCCAGCTCTCAGCCATCCCACAAGGCCATTTCCCTCCTCCCCAGAATCCGCCTCTTTTCCTGTCTTACCCTCTGATTACGAGCCATCGCCTCTTCCAGACCCATCACTCTGCTTCCCACTCCTCCCCACTGGAGGGTCTCCTGCGGTGCCTTCTGCCTTCGCCCCCTTTCCCCCCTGTTCCTGTGGCCAGCGGAGTCTCCCCCATTTCGGTCAACTGCACCCCACTCCTCCTCCTCCTCTCATTTCTCCTATAATGATTAAGCCTCTGCTATTTTTATTTTATTTTATGAACATGAACAGAGAAATAAGCAAACAGACCCTGCCCATCCATACAGGCTGAGAGCTCTGGCTACTTACGTCCGCACTTTATGCCTGCCCATGATGAAAGAGACTTTGCGGCTCCAGGGGTTGACGAAGCTGGACCAGCTGGTGTCGATGGTGACGTACTCCCCATTGCGGGTGCAGAAGCGTATGGGTGAATGGTCAAAGGGCTGGCCGCCATACTGGAGAACTGGGAAGGAAGGAGGGGAGGATGAGAGGTGGGATAGCAACCACAGCCCCCTATAGGCTAGCAAGACACTACGCACACAGGCTTTTAATTGGATCTGAAAGCTTCAATTGGCTTGAAACTTCCAATCAGGTTTTTTTTAAAAGAAAAATCTCCCCCTGCCATTCTCTCCTTTATTTTGGTACTCACTCTTCTTGTGTATCGCCAGCATAAGAGGCCGGTCCTCTGGGTGCAGGTAGAAGAGGACAGGGGACCCAATGAGGTCCTGGGGGAGGTAGCCTAGAAGAGGGGCAGCTCTGAAAATAAAGAAAGCAAGGAGGGGTCACGAGGGGTCAGTGGGAAAAGGCTGAACATTGCAGAGGTTATAGGCATCATCCAACTCTGAAGAACTGGTACTGTTCTTGTAACCCCAGAGAAAAATAAAACCAAAGGTGCAGAGTGCATAGCTAAGCTGACGAGATGGACGGCCAAGTCAAATCCTCCTCCTCCTGGCCTGTGAAGGCCCCACCCACACAGATGATGGAAGTTTTGGGTCCGTGCTCAGCACTGCAGGCACATGCTCACAGAGGACAAGTCTCACTCACAGGAGGGAAAGCCTGGCACCTCTTTCCAGGGACTCGTCTTCCTCCCCACACAACCCTCCGCAAAATACCACCCCATCTCCATTTTTTAAATCCCAGTTCCTTACCGCTCATCCACATCCTGAAATAAGCAGCTGGGGGTATGTCTAGTGGTGAAGATTCTCTTATCAGGAGGGATTCTGGGAGCTTGAAGAGAAAAGCATAGGATAATTCAGATGAGCTGTTTGGAAGATGAGTGGCATTCCCTGTCCTATGGGTACGCAAAACCTGCCTCTTTTAAATTACAAAATTAAATTCTCCACTTTGCATTTCCATACTCCATGGAAAATGTGCTGCTTGGGTATCCTGGCTTTTCTAAACAATTTAAGTGGCTTCAGGGGAAAAATTGACATGCAACCTTCTAGGTCACGGGCAGGTTAACGACAGCTTGGCATTTTGCACGCACAACACAATTGCTTTTCTCCCGCTGTCCTGGTCTTGGTGATAACAGGAGCATATGCACTGTTTGAGAAGAGGAGGAAACTGGAACTGCATGCTCATGCAATCCTAGGAAGAGGCTTGTTTGGCTTTTTCTATGTTTCACATAGAACAGAGCAGCTAGGCCATTCGCACAGCTACATGCCCTATTTTACTCTCCAACCCACTTCTTCACACAGCTGAGGAAGATCTGGATTTAAGCACACAGTTCTGCTGCCCAAACTGGGAGGAGCAGGATTTAAAGCTTGCATGCATACAAAACTTGTGTGCCATTATATGCACCTCTCTTCAAACAGGTTTTCAAAGGGGTTAAACTAAATTTTGCTCAGGATGCTGAGAGTTTAAGCAGCAGGCGAGAGATGCTCATTCCTAGCGTGGAGGAAAAGCACAAGGAAGGCCCATGTGACTAGATGCTAAGAGGGTCCCCGCTTCCCAAGCACCTTCAGCCCAACCTCTGCTGCCATCATGTGGCCAGACACGGTAGCGCATGGTGCAATTTAATTTGTGGAATGGATTCCTAACACCACCAGCAAAATGGGGCAAAATGAAATGGGGCACAGAGACATGGCATGGGCGCTGCAGAGGCTGCCTGCAGGCCCTGCTCTCTCCCGCCTGGACACCCCCTTACCTTCGTAGCCCGAGTGGATGCGCTCAGCAATGAGCAGGCAGCAGGGCTGTCCCTCGGCGCTGTCCGAGTCCTGCACTTTGGTCAAGTAAGGCGTGAGCCGGAAGGGGTAGTAGCGCAGCCCGCGACCACTCTCGTAGCCTCCGCTGAGAAACAAATGCCTGCAATAAGACCAGAGGCCAGAGGAGACCAGGACGACCAGGAGGGAGCAGAACAGCAGCAGCCGTGACGGGGCCAGAGGTGGGGAACCTTGCAAGTGCCACCATGTCCCTCCTGCCCACCTGTCACCCATGTCACACCTGGGGGAGGGGGGTCCCCCCTTCTCTCACCAGCTGACTAGAGGAGGGATTTTTCCCCTCTCTCCTCAGGTGGGGCATCTTCTTTCTGCACTTTATTTTCTAAATCGATTTTTTCCCCCTGGAAAAGTTTAAGCATCCAGTAAAATCCATAGCCCCGTAGCTACCTTGCAGTGGCAATGGCAAAGCCATTTCACAGATGGGAAAACACAGGCAGGGAAAAGGGGGGGGGGCAGTGTTCTCTCTCCGTCTTTGCAAAATTCAATTGCTGCGATCTTCAAAACACAAGAGGCACAGGTCCTGGTTCTTTTGGGCGCACCTGAAGGTTGGTTTGTTGCCACATCAGATTTGTGCCGCTAGTACAAGCAACCTCTGCCAATTTACATACACCTCAGGACCCAGATTGCCTACACTTTCAAGGGGGGCTAAAAGAAGGCAACGCTGCTCAAACTAGCAACTGTTTGCCCTGCAGGAAAAGATAGCAAGGACTTTGGTCTACAAGGATCAGGCAGGATCATTTCAGGATGGAGTCTCCTGCTAAACAGCCCATACAGGTGCCAGGAACCCTCATTTAGGAACCACTTCCTGGAATCGGTCTCCACCATTCCTTCCACTTAGCGCAGCTCCCTTCCCCTCCCTCAAAATCTGATGAAGACAAAACTCACCTGATACGACAAAAGACCGATTTCTCTTTGGTGTAATCCATGGCAGCTGCAGCTGCAAAGAGGGAAGGAGGGAGAAAGGGGCAGATGAAGGATTAGCTAAGAACTGCAGCAAGCTGGAATCTGGCCCTTTGCTCAGTTCCTTACATGAGCCAAGTTCTTAGCTGCTTCAGAAACCGGGAAGCTTCTTTTTAAAACCTGAGGCGAGATGCAAGAGGATTTCTCAGCCACCGCAAAGGGCGTAAAGGTACCATTTGGGGGGTGGGAGGAACTATAAAAAATGAACACCCCTGCTACTTCAGATTAGCCCAATTCTCTAAAGATGCCTGTGCCAATCAGGGGCCCTCTGGGTGTTCTGGACTACAAATCCCATCAGCCCCAGACAGCCAGAACACTTACTGGCAGAGGTGCAGGCGCTCCAGGAGGGCAAGTGGTATGGCGCTGTGGACCCATAGAAGATGCTGACATCTTGCGGTGCCAGGAACTCTGCAAACTTGGCCCCCTTGAAGACATCCTTCTTGCAGCGCAGGATGAAGGCTGCCTGATCTGAGATGTAGACGATCTTCCCCGTGGTGAAAGAGACGGCCACCGAGAATGTGTCCTTTTGAGAGCAAAAGCAGCAGGGTTAAGGTTGGGGAATGGCAGCTGTTATGGGTGTGGTTTCCCCACTCAAGGAGGAGGTGATGGCATTGTTGGTATCCGTCAAAGCCACAATAGCTGGGGAGAAGGGAGAGCTTGTTCTCAAGGTGGGTTCTAGTCTTGACAGCTGCTTTCAAAAGGGTTAGGCCAATAGGGAGTGGGCCAGGCCTATGAGAGGCTGCCAGCCATGGCAGCTCAAAGGCTGCTGATCTGGAATTACCAAATGCTGCGAACACAGAACAGGGAAAGGCCACTGCCTTTGTGCCCTGCTCAAGAGGTGCCTGGAAGCTTTAGGCTGGCCTCTGCTAAGGAAGATAGGGTACTGGGTTCAGCTTGGTCCTTAAATACGCATGGAGATACTGAAGCTGGCAGCACCCAGCTGGATTGCAGTGTCCATGCTGAAAGCACTGGGGAAGCGGGTGTGCACACTGGAAAGCCAGTCAAGAGCACTTCTTTAACGAGAGGCAAGATTTCTCTGGCAGCGGCGAAATGAACAGCGAGAAGGAAAGGCCTGGGTGTGACGAACAAGGCAGAATACTCACTGGGTTCTTGAGAGTGTATTCTGAGGTGATGCTTTCCAGCTCCTCAATAGTGTAGGTGGACATGTCCAGATTGCAGGGCTGGTTGTCATCAATGGTCCACTGCTGGTAGTAATCCTGGCTGGCTGGAAAGGGGGAAGGAAGAGGAGGAGAATGTTAACAAGAGATCTACAGAGCTCTGGAAGGCAAAAGGCCCTCGCTTTACGTGTGACCAGCTGGGCGCTTTTATTCTACAGGATCGCACCTGGACCCACACTTTTGTGGGAAAGAAAACCAGGTGCATCACCCTTACACAGAAGCCTACAGGCACAACACACTGTGCAAACCACATGGAAATTACTGTGCTCGTCATGCCAACAGGGACACATAAAATAAACGCCTGCCCATGGCCCTATGTGCCTCAGTAATCCTAGACTCCTGGCAGAGGTTTCTGGCTCAAATAAGGGGAATAACTTGAGGGGCTGGGTGAGAATGGGACCTTTACTGAGGCAGTTGGCAAATAAGTCTGTGCTGCTGTGGTTTACAGCAAAGTCAGCAAAGCATAAATACAGACACACACACACACACACACACACACACACACACACACACAAAGGTCACACAACGCACCTTGCACCTGTTTCACACAGGACAGTGCATACTGCAGGGTGGCCAGAGTCCCTGACTTCCCCTTGCTGCGCTTCTCGGAGGGCAGCCGGATCTTCATCTCCTTCAGGGCCTTCATGAGCTCCTTCTGAGTCTTCACACGGGCAGACTGTTCACTGCTGCAGTGGTACAAGGAACACACAAAGAGGGGTTAAGTCAGCTGCAAAAAGCAGACAGAGCTCCTTTGGGGAGGGAGTTGCACTGAATGGCTGAACTGACTACACATCTTTTTCCAAGTGCCCAATAGAAATGGAACCAACTCAAAATACCTTGGCCAGTTGTATTTTTAAAGGAAGTAAAATATATCGATTTTGACTAAAAGCCACATACAAAATGGCTCCCCCCCTTTTCCCCAATTGATTTTATGGCTCTTGTGTGACAGAATTCCCCCTCTTCATTATGTGTTATCCCAGGAAAGAGCTCTCAGAAACGGCCATGAGTTTTCAGAAAACTCATTTCAGCTGTCAATTTTGAAGCATTTTACTGGACTTTTGTTCCCCCCGTGCCAACCCAAGTATGTTCCTCCTGCCCAGTCCTTGCTTACCTGCAGCCGCTGGTTGATGGGTTGTCTTGCTCAGAGCTTGCACTGAGAAGGCTGTAGGCCACAGAGCTGCTGGGAGGAGATGGGCTTTGGGAGTTGGAGCTGCAGAGAGATGAGGGGGACAGATGAGTTTAGCTTGCTTGGGCAGCAAACAAAAACATTCTATGAAATTCAAAAGTTTGCATCAGAATGGACTAGCCCAAGTCGGTCCCATAAGAGACCACTTTACCAAACCTTTGCAACCCCGATCACTTCCTTACCTCTTGTTGCTTTCGGTGGTTTCCAGGAGGGCTGAGTCTTTGCCATTGCCACTGCTGTGGGAGCTGCTGTGGGAGTCACCATGTGACTCATTGCCACTGGAGCCATTGCTGTTGACATCCATGTCATCGCTGGTCTGGCCCTGGGCTTCGCCCCCACGCTGGGCTCGGGCTCTCCTTGGGGCTCCAGCCCCACCACCTCCGCTGCCACCACCACTACTACCACCACCCTCAAAAGGGCTCTGCCCCGGCTCACAGCCAGCACTCATTACTGATTCTGGGACATGGACACCTCCTTGGGAAACTGGGGGCAGCAGTGAGAAAAAGGTTGGGACTTCCACAGCTGCTAAGGCAACAACAAAGCTTTTGTTTTTCTTCAAAAGAAAGGAGAAGCACTGGTCAAAGAGGATTACTCTATGGCCTGTGTCTTGCTGGATGGATTTGATCAGAGTTGAGAGAGTCTTAGGGGACACCTATTGAAGGCGGGGGAGAGAGACAAAATAAAGTGTTATAAAAACTGATTCAACAAGAAATCTGGATTCAGAGCTATGTCAGATATAAAGCAACCCTCTAAGGCCTATGTTAGGGAAAGTGAGTGGGATCACTTCTCTATACTGAACCAAATATACTAGACTGTGCTACACACAGATTGCCTCCTCTGCCGCGTGGATCCCCCAGGTAGCGGGATCTCTTTGCCATGATACTGAGTAAGTGTCAAATGGCAGCTGTTTTGAGCCTGAAACCAAAACACAGTATTAAGTAATAGGGCTTACAGAGGATTATCTGGTCCAGTATCAGAAGCCCTTCTCTGCTTTTATATAAACTAGGCAGCTCTGCCTCTCGGGTGCTTGGATACGTAAACATCTGGTGGCTAGATGAGCACCATGGTCCTTCTTGGAGGGGGGGGAGGAAGGTGCTCTAGAGCATTACAGACCCCTTATTCAGGTTAGTGCTCCTAGATAATTAAGAAATGGCAAGGAGTTTCTCAAAGCACTTTCATTCACCCCTCCTAGTTCTGACCCCCCCTCTTCAATCTGGAAATCCCATGCCTTGTTTGTTCCGCACAGCCCCAACCCATTGCTGTGGTGCTCATCAATCACAAAGGTCACGATATCCAAGCACGGGGTGGGGTGGCTTTCTAGGCTTCCAGGGAAATTAAGGCTTATGTGACCTTGTGCCAACTTTGCTGCCTTCTGGAAATAAAGTTTAGAGGAGAAAGGAAAGAAGAAAATACAGTCAAGATGAAAGCCCAGGCCTAAGGGGAAGCGCAGCCAAGGCCCAGAACATCCTTCCTTCCCTACAGAATCAAGAATGGCAAACCTCCACCAAGCACAAAATGCCAGGGATTAGTTTTCAGGCATTTAAAATATAATAATTCATACAAGAGGCTTTGAAGGGCTACTGGGCAGGGAAGAAGCTGGGTCTGGTTCTAAGTGGAGATACAAGTTCTAAATCCTTCCTCATTCATGAAGCTCACTGAGTGGCCTCAGAGGAAGCATCACTAGATGTAAATCTCTTTGGGGCAGGGACTGCTTCGCTTTTACATATCTGTTGGTTTTGCTTCTGTTCCCTGTAAAACATAAATAAACATCAATGGTGCTACATCACCATCAACAACAGTGGTAGTGGATAATGAATGTGTACAAGGGTTCATCTGCCTTAACCAATTTTGGTTACAATGGCATTTTGTTTAAGCTTGGTAGCAAAGGAGAAAGGATGCTTTAACTGTTTTGTAAAATTATTCCATAATCAAATGTTTCCCCTGTATCTGGGATCAGAAACCATAAACAGAGTCTGGAAACTGTATCCTCTGTTTGACTCCCACCTTCACCAGTCCTTGCCTCCAAAAAAGTGAGCAGCATGGTGGGGACGGGGACTGAGAAGAATTATGAACACTGACACGCAACACCCAGATAATTTTTTTAAAGAATACTACAGACAATGATCACACAGTGGCTCAGACTGCCTCAGTTCTATGGGGTTAGCTAAGCTTTAATCATATTATCAGCACAATTTAGCCCCCTCTGACCATGCTACATTCCAGGACAGAGCACCTGGACACAACTGGAAACATTCAAAAGGGATTGGCATAGCAACAGCTGTAGCTCCCTTCGCCCAGCAGCAAAGTAAGATTTTTAGTCAACTAAGCAGTGGCAGATATTTCATTGCACCTAAGCTCTTTTGTGCATATTTAAGTCAGAGGTCTATTTCTTTTTTAGAATGTCCTCCGCTCTCCCCCCCCCCCAGGGCTTCTAGCACTCAGGAAGGTGCATTTACCAGGCTGGCTAATGTCCTTTAGCCAAACTATATTTAGCTCTCCTAATTTTGGATGCTTGCTATCTTTAGTCTTAATTACAAAGGGGAGATTCACACCCCACTCTCCCTAAAGTCGGTAAAACCAAGCGAAAGCTCCTGTTTTAAAGACCAGCTCTAATCAGCATTTTCCTACCATCTCTGCTAACAGAGGTTTTAGTCAGCGATCCTGGATTGAGAAAGCATTTTTTAAAAGGAAGAAGGAAAACATACTAAATAAAGAAGGAGGTGGTGATCTTTTTTTCTATTATTATTATTCATCTGCTATAACCTGAGACCCTAGGAACAAAGAGTGCAACATTCCATAGGGTCACCACAGGAACACAGGACCCAGAGCTCAGGGTCCTGGCAGATGAATAAAGCAAATGTTGGAGGATTACAAATGCAGTTATGCCAGCCGCTTCCTCTTCGCACATTTTTTTAAAAATCATGTTCTTTGCAAATGTTCCCCACCGTGGCTTAATTTTAAGTAGCAGTGCTCAAGGTCACAGCTTTACATCCCATAAATTTCAGAACAACAAAACTCCCATAGTTCCAATGAAGGTGTGACTAGGGATGATGATTCAGAATCACAAAGTTTGGCATCTCAACGAACATCCAGAAGAGGCTATGATTACACAGGTCAGCCTTCCCCCAACCTGGTGCCCTCCAGGTCTTTTGGACTCCATTCTAAGCCAGCAGGGAGGTGCTAATGGGAGCTGTTGCCCAGAACACCTGGAGAAGGCCAATACAGGTTTAAGTGCCAACTTTTGAGCATTACAGAACTCTTTGCTCCTGTGCTTGATTAAGAGCTCTGTGAAACATGTAATCTTAACACAGTGAGACCAAACACATTTCCCTAGAATACAGCCCCATAGGATGACAGTAGATGCACACGGCTCTTCAATTTACGAAACTGATTTGGAAGTGGCTGGGAGAAAGTGTATCTAAGCATGTGGCCATTGTGGGATCAGCTCTGGTGCCATGCCAATAAAAGATTTGCACAGTGTGGTCCATGCCAAAACAATGCTGCAAACGCCTGCGGTTTGCTGTTATATCCAATTTGCCAAACGAAATAAAAATAGATGCTGCAAGTAGCAGTAAGGTTGACTGAGTAATTTTTTAAAAAGGGGTTTATGGTTCAAATCACGAAGTTTCAAAAACAAGAGCGCTTGCATATCAAAGCAAGCTACGCTGACGTCAGAGGCAAGGAAAGTGGCAGTGTACAAGCCACACACCCTTGGAGACTGCCTATCCCACAAAGCCACTCCCAAGCTAAGCAGTCATCAGGACTTTGCAGAAACTCCTGCAAGGGGTTTCAAGACTGTGGTAGCAGTGAAACCCATAAGCAAGCACCAATGCAGAGACAGTCCCATTTGAGATATCATGGTCCCCACACACACCCTTTCCCCCTTGTATTAAGTGACCCAAATACCCATTTTCTCCTCCCAACTTCCCACAAACCCTCTCTCTCTCTTTTCCTCCCTGCTCCCCCAACCATGCAAAAAAAAGGAAGAAATCAGAAATTGCTGGCTTACAGGTTGGCCCCTTGCTTTCAAGTGGGGGTTTCCATCAGCTGGAAAAACAGCAGACAGGCACACACACACACCCAAGAGGCATGCAGAAAAGCCGTTCCTTCCAATACCCCCACCCTACCCTCCTCATCTGCAGTCTAGAAATCTGCCCAAGCTCACACCCTTCGCTGTGGCACACATAGAACAGGAGAGAGGCAATTGCAGAGCCACCAGGCGCCTAGAAAGACTGTCCTACTGCAGCCTCCCACAAAGTTGCCCAGAAATTCCCTGTCTTGCAGAGAGAAAGAGAAAGGAAGACACTCCCCCTTCCGCCTCAAGCACATGCCAAAGCGTGTGCAGCCCGTGTTCCTCTTCCCTTCCCCGCCCCCACTGCCAGCCACATTACGAAGCCTCTTTCGAAAGAAAACACAGAGAGAACATTCCGTTCCCGAAGAGCCCCACGTGATGGAGCCGTGGGAGCAGCCGCTGCCGTCATCACACTGGAGCTGCCAGGGCAGTGCCTAGACTTTGCCAAGCAGTGCAGGGAAAGAGTAGAAGGAAACCCCTTTGAGAAGGCGGTTTAAAGTGGGGGGGAGCATGCCCGGTATCGCTAATAGTAATAATAACAACAAATAACAACTCATTATGTATATGCCACCCTTTTAAGTTACTCACCAGTGGTGCAAGTTAGAAGGTCCTGCTTCTTTGGAGCTATTAGCCGACACAAGCCTGGGACGGGGAAAACTGCTCTCCTGTTACCCTTGACCAGCCCCTGGCGACTCCGCTGCTGACGCAACACATCCTACGGCTGACCCTCCTCCAGAGAGCAGAGCGGGGAGCACAGCTGAGTTGTGGCAGCACGGCACACTGTGGGCAGCAGAGCCTGGTTAGCCTTCCCTTCTCAGCAGAGTCTGTAGCAGCCCACTGTGTAACCAGGCAGGCAGGCAGGCGGAGTAGCTGTGGCCAGGAGCCCAGTGATGTCAGCAACCCAGTTAAACACTCCGCACGTGTACCGAGGTGCTGCTACCAGCAGGGCCTGGGAGGATGCCATTGGCTGGCTGGCAGAGCCAATGGGGCCACAGAATTCTGACTGCATAATCACCAGCAACGGGTTTGTCATTCATCCAGGGACTGTGCTTGGGGAAAGGGGTGGGGGAGATTAGAGCGCAAATAAATGCCAGTAAGGGCCGGAAGACGGATGCTCAGCCCCAGCGTAAAGAGTCTATTTGAAGGCGCTGAGCTACCATGCGGGTCGGTTGCTATTTAGGACCATGCACACAAATTAAAGCACTCAATAGCACTTCCTGAATCAGCTCTTCGTTGTCATGCTGGCACCAAGCTCCGGGCCTATTCTGTGCCTGCCTGCTTTTCCATTGCTGTTCCCCTTTTTGTTTTGGAGCCCCCATGGCGGGCGGAGCCACAGGCAAAAAAAAAAAAGCATGAGAAATGAAGTGTGGCTCTCGCACCTTTTGTGCAGCAGGCTACGTTGCAGCCACACAAAGTTCGTTGTGCACAATCATGCACATAACTTTCCACCCACCCAAGGGAAAGACTCAAAGATCGTTTCAGCCAAGCCAAAGCATTCAAGGAGGGTGCTGAGGAGAGGTGTGGCCAGAGGTGCGGCGGGGGGGGTACTGGGCCCCACATCTCTCCTGGGTGTGATGCAATGGCTAGGGCACCTCCAGGCTCCACACAGCTGAAAAAAGCAACTTGGGCCTGCAGGGTGCCAGAGTGGAACGGGTCTCGGGCACTGGGATTCTGGCATGCCCTGCCTCGTCCTACAGCACCTCGCCCTGCCCCTGCAGGTGTCTCATCCCCCCATGTGCAGCACGCATGTGCAGGGCGCATGTGCCGCCCCAAGCCGCTAGCTATGGTATCCCTGAGTATGGCCTGGGAAGAGTACTGAGGGCCAGAAAGATAGGGCTAAGGGCCAGATGGACCCAGCCCTGAGGCCTCTCCCTTCACTTACAGAGTGCTGAGTGGGTAACATTACATTTCCGTGCCCAGCTGATGCTCAGTGCCAAGTTGTTTCACCTGGACTTTCAATATTCAAAGGGTGTTCCAATTTTTGTGGAATCGGAAGGAAACTCAAAACTCACATGAAGGGGCAGAAGGTTTACATTCACAATTCAAACAGCAAATATTCCTTTTCTAAATTTTATTTTATTTATAACCCTCTTTTCCCTTTCCCATTTGTTAAATGTGCAAATAAAACATTATTTTTTTAAAAAACTCAAATAAGAAAGAAGATAAAACAGAACCTCATAATTCATCACAACAAATATTATTGCCTTTCAGTTTAGTAGCACAAACACCTGGTGCAGTGAGGCGCTGGGCACAACTGCTGGAAGCCAGCATGGGGCACATAAAATATTGACTCTGGCTGTATTATCTGGCCATCATGCTTCCTTACTTTCTGGTGATAAGGCCACTGCAGCGGATGCCTTTTTCTGCCCCAGGCAGCCTGCCAGCTGCCAGAGGGATCAGTATTTTGTTAGCAGATAACATGCAAAACAGAAAGGCTGCCAGGTTCTTCCTCCCCCCCCCCCCTTCATCTCCAATATGCCTCTTGTTTTGGCTATCAACCAAGGATTCATAGTACTGTACAGCTTAAAATGCACCCCTTGCTCCCTGAAACTTGAAATGGGCTATTGTGGCTCCTATGCCTCCCATAGCTCTCTGGCAGGCAGAAAATTCGGTAAGTACCACTGAACATTCAACCAATGTTACTAGATTTACTAGCCTGCTCACCCACAAATAAGCCTGCTTATTTACAGCTGTTACGAGCAAAAAAATAAAAGAACGCAATCTGCCATACCTAGTCACCTGGAGCAGACTCTTCTTCACCACGAGCAAGCAAGGAGAGCAGCTATATCCAAGCTTGACATAACTCTGCCCCTTGCTGCCCTGAAAACTCTCGTGAAACAATCTCACATCCTTTTTGCCAACAATGGAAAGCAACTAGCGTAATAATTTCTGTGTCTAAATAGTTGCTTTAAAAAAAACTTTATGGTTTTTTTTCTGTTCTCGAATATTTCTGGACAGGGTGTCTCCTGCTCATGTTCCTGTACTGTATACTGATGCCTTGATTTGTATGTTATGTAATAGTTTATTTTGCGTAATTGTTATGCCACCCGGGAGAGCTGCCTGAATGTGCTTGTATTAGTGCTGCGCCTACAAGGTTTGGGTATTAAAAGGGCGCTGCAAGAGGACGTTGGCAGGCAGAAACAAGTTGCAGTGGGAGGACTAAAGGGGTGCAAAGAATTATTGCAGAATGCCCAGAAAATAAATGCAGGTAGCCTAATCAATAAATATATTATTGCAAAAAAGTAAAAATGGGGACTTGGTACTTTCTCAGTTGTCCTGCAGCTTTTGCATTCACTGGCCAGGAAGGTGGAGGCAGTTTAAGTGCTTAATGAACTTTTTGCCAGAATCATCCCTGCAGTAAAGTTGCTAAAGACTATTCAAAACTGAAAGCTAAAATTCAGAGAGGGACCTGAACTATTCATGGGCTGGGGGGAGGGTCACCCCCCAGCCTATATAAGTGATTTCCTTGGGTTGAGATATGGGGAGAAGCATAAATCAGAATGCTTTTGTCTCTTAACTACATGCAACACAGTTGCCAGCTAAAGCCCTAAAATGTTGCTATTGAATGAAAACGGTAAGTTTGTTTTTGAAGTTTGTGTTCCGTTTGTGCAGGTGTGGAACTCCCCCTACCCCACACTGGAAACAACAGGGGCAACCTGTAGACACATAGGCTCAACATGTGCCATTCGTACACAGAGCTCTGGCCCAGTGCAGTGCTACTGGATCACTGACAGCTGTTTTATTGCCCCAGGGAAGCCTTTGCCAATGAGGGTGCCAGGTTGGCAAAGCCTGCGCTAGAGAGACTCAGTGCCTGGGCTCTCTTCCATACGGAAAACTGGTGGGCATGAACACATGGAACACCAGTGGGTGTGACATCAGCATACACAATGTTGGCCATTCAATAAGAGCTTTTTTACACGTCATACATGTCTGTTCCGACTAGCACTCTAAAGAGGTCTCTTACATTTTTCCAGCGTCTTTAGCCTGAAAGCTTCAACCCAGGCACCGTAAAACACACAGCACCACCCCGCAGGTCTCCAGCTGCAGCCAGGGAGATAAAGGCTCAGCGGATGTAATTTTCCACTCGCCTTTGTTTAGCCTGAATTATCCATTCTTGCGTCGACACATGGTCAGGAAGGGAGCAAAGCAGGCCTCTGGTGGCCCGTTTCCCCCTCCGGATACAAAGGAACAAACACACACAAGCATCAGCGTTATGCTCTCCGAACAAAGGACCTCTGCCTGGCATTGTAGCCGCCTTTTGTAATCCTGAACAGTGGGACCCCCAATGGCTCCCTCTCTCTATTCTCTCATTCCTTACGCCCGAAGCCACAAAGCGCCAGCGGTAATTGCACTCTCCATTGGTCCTCTAATGCGCACCCACGAGTGCCCTGGGCCTCTCGCTGACCTCTTTCTTACTGGGTGGATGGAAAGCCCTCCTGCGTAGCCACTCATTCAAAGGAAGGCATTACCAACTGCTGAAGAGGGGAACTAGACTGACCAGAGGAAACGTACTCTGCAAAATCTGCCAAGGTGGGGATTTTAAAGATGATTTTAATGCTTTATTGTTTTATTGCTTGTTGTTTGCCAGCCTGGGCCCCTTTGGGAGGAAGGGCAGGATATAAATTTAATAATAAATATTTTTTTATCCCTAGGGCTATTCTGGGGGAAATTGCATTTCTGCTCCATAATAAGCCCACTGAATCTTGAAATCATTTAGGAAAAAATGTACTACAAAATAAAAAGTTTTAAAAGGCGGATATACACATTTCTGTCCCTTGCTGCAGTGTTTCAGATTTCACAGAACTCTTCATCAGGTAGAGAGAGAGAAACCCAGAATTGAAAAAACATAAACGGAGATAAAATCGCTGCTCAGTTTCACAGTGCTCACATGCTCTATATGTCAAAGAGGATGGAAAACATGGGTATTATAACAAGCTTCCAACAGACTGGTGGGGAGCCAGGATGAAGAGAAGTCAGACTTCTGACTTTTTGCTCTCCACAGCACCCTGCAGAAGTAGTAATTAAGTTTGCCCATGGCTACCCTGTATAATTGCACAGGCTTAGCTGCCTGTGCAATTTCTGCTCCACCAATCCCTACATTTGAGACAATTACTATTCTGTGAAGACTGTAGGTGTCTCTTAACAAAAAATTATCAGTGCCCACCAAACAAGTACTGATTTTCCCTCATCTTAACACATCCCTGGGTGCCTCATTTAATCTTTATGTTGGGTTTCTTGGGCAGATATAACATTAAGGGGATTTTGCGTCTACTGGGAAAATGTTTTCATATTAATCATATAAAGTGGAAGAGGCAAAATAGGCTTGAAATTACTTTACCTCACTGAAAGGTATCTTGTCAGATTACATGTTTTTCAACGTCCATTTGAACCCTATGTATTTTTGCCTACATACACCTCCCGTTTCCAGTGCCTTGGACTTGGATTACTGAATGACTATTAGTTGAACAAAGGCTGCACCCTAGGCTGGCCAGGAGGGGAGGAAATTCTCCTCTTCTACACAACTATTAAAAGTACAGGAGCCACTCGGTCTTTATTTGTCCAGCCTCTCTATTGCAGCCAGTAACACATGCCCCAAATATCCAGGAGAGTTGGCTGGGGTTAAAAAAAAAACCCTACCGGGAAGTATAAGAAAAAGGCTGTGCTCAGCTGCAATCAGGGAAAAGCTATTCAGAATCAGGAAGCCCTTTAATGCAGCTGCCTGTAAGAGGAACAAGAGAGACTGATTCAGCAAACCACTGAACGGAACAGGGAGGAAATGACTGCTGTATAATGATTACCACACATGAGCCCACTTGAAACAAAAGTGCAAGCCAGGGGTTCAGCTGGGGGGACGACGGACGGACCCTGCAGTGTAGGAACAGAATGGCTTGGCTCCTGAATGAGTCAAAAAGAGGGTCACATGAAGGCTGAGGTGGAGAATGGAAGGGATAGTGGACTTTTCTTCCCTTTACAGATACAGGTAAACCGGAGTTTAAATATGAAGTCCTTCTGGGAGCCCAGATAAGGAAAGTGCCTTTCACCCCATTTCAGCACACAAAATTACTCACACAGGGATGTTTTGAGAGATGGGCTAACAGAAAATTGCATTGGCTAGTAACTTGTGTTGACCTATTTGAAAGGCTGCCTTGACTAATTATGCAGATATGTCTTTGTTTTACAGTGTCAATAATAAAGCCATTGAGTTCCCTATAAAATATGCATTGGCACTAATTGAGCAACTTTGAAGTGCACTGGAATGCATGTTGTGATTAATCATTTAACTGCCACTAGAGGGAACTATTGCATATGTGCAGCAATAACACTTAGTTAAACAGGACAGCAGATACAGTAACCCATCCTGCTTAACGTAGCCTTCCTCAAGCTCGTGCCCCTTTGCCCCAGGATTTTCCCACACTTGTCCCTTCCCCTCTTCCCTGTCTCAGGAACATGTGGCCAAAGGACCACAAGTCCTGGTCCTGAGCTCCCCAAAACATCAGCTATAAGGATACCTGAACAAAGGAATCTTTACTCCTGGTCAACATATTTAAGTCAAACTTCCCCTCAAGAGTGAAGCATGGGAGGTAGAAACTGCAGCTTGCAAATCTTCAACTAAAAACACAACATGCTGAGAGGTCCTGGGGCTACTTGCAAAGGGAAGGTCGGCTGGTCCCTTCTCACATCCAAGGCTGCAATTCTGCTTTGCTCCCTCACACAGCTCTCTCTGTCTCTGCCCTTTGCCGCCTCAGCCTGGCAGGCTGTCAGCTGTAATAAGAGCAAGCGGAACTCCCTTCCAGCAAGTGTGGGCCAAATTCTTTCCATAACCAGGTCATCTGATCCAGCCTGATGGTCGGCCATCATGTCGCTCCTCTCTCCTTCAAAGCTCTTATGTAACACTCCCCAGCCAAGCTCACAAGGCAGCTGGAAAGAGCAGCTGCTGCGAGGGGGAGGAGCCATCTCACAGAAGCTCCTCCCCCTTGCCGCATAGCCGAGGGTTATTTCCACACAGCGAATTTCCAGAGCAGAGGCGGCAGCCTATAAAAGGCAGAAGGGAACATTGTGTTCTTTTGGCTCACTCCACAAGTTCAAGGAACTGACAGCTCCTCCCTGCCGCCGCCTGCAGCAACATGATAATTTCGTATCCAAACAAAGAGGAGCGATATAATGAAAGCAGTGACAGTGCAAGGAGCAAAACATTTCCTATGAGTCACAGAAGCAAAGGAAACTGGCAGGGGCTTTGCCTGCACAGATGGGCACCCCAGAATTAATTGCACCCTGTCTGGATAGATTTTGGGGGGACAGAATATCATCTCTTCACCCACTCCAATTTCCAAAGGGGTATCTGTATCTACAATGCATCACTGAGCAGCAAACAGAGGAACTTCACTCCGTGGGGCAACCAAGCCAAATGCCACATTAAATTCCGGACACTTCTCCAACTTTGGTCTCCAGCTTTTGTTGGACTGCAACTCCCATCATCCCTAACTAGCAGGACCAGCGGTCACGGATTATGGAAGCTGTAGTCCAATAACAACTGGAGACCAAATTTTGAGAAACAAAGGATAAAAGCACTGGGTTAGTCATCGTCAAAAGTATATGACATGACTAACTTAGATCCATTTATTTCACTGGGTCTATTCTGAGGAGAACTCAGCTGGACACAATCTATTATGTTACATTGCAGGAACAACCAGTCTTATGATCTTTTTATACCACTGGACTTTCAACAGTTAAGACTCCAAAACAGAACCGTCCACCCAATTTGTCGTGCTTCTGGTTTCTCCAGTTTTGGGAATATGCCGCCCCCTGCTGGATGCACCCAGCCTCTCCAAAGCCCGTGTGCCAGCAGCAGACAGCCTGCTTCTACATGAGTGCCTCGCCCAAATGTACAGAGTCTGATTGAGACACAGTGTCCCAGAACAGCTCAGCAAAACTGGGGCAGAGCTTCAGCCGGGGCAGTGAGAAATGCTGGGAAATCGCAGCCTGCACGTGGATCAACACTCCGAGATTGGAAGCCCCGCCCAAGAACTCGCACCCAGGAGCAGTCATTGCTGCTCCACACCCAACCTTCCCAATAGCCTTTCCCCTACTGTACACCCGCTGCTGAAGTGGGGGGAGGCGAGGGAGGGGTTTTCTGTGATTCTATCAGCTGGAAGTACAAACCTCTGAAGTCAGCAGGAATATACGTAATCCCACCCACCCAAAGTACCGCCTGTTTCTGGCCACCAGCAGAGCTTTTTCCACCACACAGGACTCTGACTGGTTCAAGGCTAGCTGTCCCAAATGAAGTCTGAAGTCTGTAGCAGCGAAAGCAGAGCAAGTTTGGCTTTTGCTACCAGCTATTTAGCTTTGACAATGGATATTCTGTCCTCCGTGCCCAGCTCCTGGCATTCATACTTGTTTTGGATGGCTTATGAAGATGCCCTTTGGAGTTTCACTCACTGGGCAGTCTCATCTGGATGAAGTCCCTTCCAGTTCCCTGTTCCAGCCTAACTTTTAAACAGTACTGAGAGAATCAAGCAACTCCAACTGGGTCAACTTCTTGGAAGGAACTATCGCCTGCAGGAACCTGTGAAGCTAGCAAAGCTGTTTTCAGGCCAGGATGTTTGCCGTTCCTTCTTTCGGAACACAGCTGACGTTTAAATCTGGGGTTAGTGGCTGCTGATTATAATCGTTTCTGCAAAAGGGACCTTGACCTGCTGGGATGCCTGGCACTCGGATGTTCTCACAGTAATCCGGCCGCTGCGCTTTGCTCCCCTCCGTCAAGAGTTAAGCTCCACTTCAGCTGTTCCCTTTTGGTGGCACATTTTGCCTGTCCCAGCAGCACGCCACATAAAGCAGCACTTGTCAGACCTCACCACTCCATCTGACTCATTTTCTGGGTCATCTGATGATGAAGGAATCTCATATTCCTGGGTATTCTCTTGGGGGGGGCAGTTATTTGAGAGATAAATACAGCTTTTAGTGTGGAAGCAGCAAGAAGCTCACGACACTTTCAGAATAATGATGGGATGCATGTGTGTGTTTTCTTAATCAACTTCGTTTTAAAAAGGTGTTTAAAAAGATGAAAGGGGGGGAGAGACTCACTGCAAAAGGGCATGTCAGAAAGGAAGAAAACATCAGCCTCAAACAATCATCCTTTTAAGCAAAATGTAGAGGGGAATAGAGGGGAAGCAGAAATAGCATTCAGAGACACCATCCTGCTCTGCCAGAAAGCTCTTCCCACCGGCTCTTTGGAGGAGGGATTTAAATCCTCTGCCTTCTTCCACTGAAGTGCCTTGACTGCTTCAGAGGAGAAAGCAGCAGCAGAACATCAACAATAAAGCCTCTGCCACGCAGCAGGAGAAAGGGACGGAAGGAGCCCTGCAGTGCAGCAGTCTCTTCTAAAGGATTTATGGGCGGGGGTTATTCTCTCTTTTGCTGGATTTGTTATTTTTCGACCTCAAAGTCAAATCATAAAACCCCAATGCTCTGCTAGTGAACGGCAATATCTGAATACTTCAATCTTCAAAGAAACCTACTAGTAAAACATGGGAGGGGAGGAAATCCACAGTGAAGAATGTTCTGAGGGTAGCTGGAAGTTCAGACATCTCCTCTGCTCAAACTGGCTGAAGGTTTCATCAAGCAAGAGCCACAAACCAGCTCCTGCCCAATTTTCACTTCCAGAAGATATAAGCGTGAGGAATATTCCCAGAAGACAATCTCAGCTCTTATTTGCTCACCACCTACAGCTCTCTCTGAACTGCAGAGCAAGAAAAAGCATTGAGGACTTGGGGCTCACTGAAAGGTATGGGAGAATCAGAGATGGCAGCCATGCTGGAGGCTATGCAGGTACGGACCTGATCAGTTATTGGGAGGACCCCACATGAAAGTGGGATGTAAGAATACATAAATATCCAGCAGTATAAAGCAATGCATGGGTCTCCGACTGCTGGATTTGGCCAAGTAGTGAAGATCTTAAAATTTAGTTAAATCTAAAGATCTCTCACTGGTGGGCTTTTGGCTACCCACCAGTTAGATCTGCCTTGCACCTTACTTCCTCTGTTATCAGGCTGAGCTGTGCTTCCCCCCTGTGCTCTGAATTTTACTTTTGCCAAGAATATTTTTTGTTTAATTTTACATGCAAATGCATACTAGTTACATCTGCTAAACAGGAAAACTACTGTATTTAATAGAACTGGTAGCTCATTGCATGTGCATGTGACAAATTTTTCACTACATATTCAGCCACCTCCTGCACCCCAGGGATCGTGCTCAGTTGGACAACCTTAGTACTGTACAGGAAAACAGGTGAAGCTTGATGATATAATGATTCACCCTCCCAAGGAATATTACATGAACACAAAACCCCAAGCAGCCTGCAGCTCTCTGCAAGGTGCGCCTTCATCTCAGCACTTATTACATAACTGCTGCCGAGGAACTGTATCGTACTGGGTATTGGTTGGCGCTGGCAGAGTTACCTAATCACAGAGTTCTTACGAAAGACGCATGCAGGCACGTCTGCCTGCCCACTTCCAGATAATGCTATTTTTCAGGGTATTCAGAAGAAAAATTGACTACAACAGACCACTCGCTCAAAGGAAAGGCAGTTAGGATTACAATATCTGGCACGTCAGCAGCTCAGAGGTTTTTCAACATTTTGGAGAGACGGAAGAGGGACTTTTCGAGACTTCTGTGCTAAGCCAAACACAGTGGCCAAGGTGGAAAAGCTACTGATACTTCTACGAGATCTCGCAAAGCAGCAGAAACGTCATCACAAAGGCTGCTTCAGTTTTTACACACGCCTCATAGGACTTCATGTCCTTTCACCAATACAGGAAAGCCCAAGCGCCGTGTATTCACAACCGGACTGCGATACACCTAAGTGCTCTGGCATAACTATGTTCCCATCTCAGTGCCATGTTCCTGCGCAACTTGGCATCTTCCTGTTCCGCCCTTATTTCATTGCATCACCTCAAGCTTCATGGCAAGCCATTCCTAGCCAAAGACTTCATCTTAACTTTTGTTCTGTAAAACCCCACCCATTTCCCATCCTGAGAGTCTCACTCTCTACTTCAGACCCATCTCCCAGTACCCGATAGTGTTCCTCTCATCATCTCGCAAATGGCAAGCTTCCAACAACTACTACCCCTGACACTCTATTCACGTATGCCTATTTATCTTGCCATTGAACTCTCTTGCCAAATACTTCCTTGTTGCTTTATTTCAGTGCTGAACACCTTTTTATGGCTCCCACTGAGTGTTTTGCTGGAGTCAACTGTTTCCTCAAACCAATACCCTCCCCGCAATTCAATCTCTTTCTCTCTCTCATATAAGTCACCAGAAGTGTAAAACAAAGTATACAAGGATTTTATTGATATATTTATTGAACACAAGTTAATAAAATAAAACAAATTTGTTCAGACTGAAATAACAGAGAATCACTTCACGGACACCAGCTCAAGAAGTACACATTTACAACCGGGAATTAGCTGTAATTAGTCACTAAATCTGTTGAAGCCAGAGTTAAATTAAAAAAACACCTTTCATATTCCTGCACCGCAGTGGGCTGGACTAGATGATCCTCAGGGTCCCTTCCAGCTCTACAATTCTATGATTCTATGACTACCAGCCCTCCCCACAAAGATTTGTTCAGTACACGCCCACAATCACCTCTTTCCCAACTCTTTCTATGCCAGCCTTCCCGAACTCAGTGTCCTCTAGATGTTTTGGACTACAGTTCCCATCAGCCCAGCCGTATGACGCTGGGGCTGATGGTACTTGTAGTCCACAACATCTAGCTAGTGTCAGGTTAGAGAAGTTTCTTCTTTGCTCTCAAGCAGTGTTTCTCAAACTTGGGTCCCCAGCTAAGTCTCAACATCAGTGGTCAGGTCAAGTTGCTGACCCACATAAATTCCCCCTTTAAATCCCTGCCCAGGCACCATCCTATACTGTAATTGGAGCCTCTGTTTCAAATCACCCTTCTATTTTTTTATTCACACTCGTTTTATTTGCTTTCCCCTTTCTTTTGCTCCTCATGTCCCATCCCCATCCAACTTCTTCCTCTGTCCCTCCCTGTTTCCCTTCCCACCCCACTTCTTCTCCCTCTCCCCATACCCCATAATCCTAAACCTCCTGCTTCCCTCCCACCTCCTTTCTGCTCCTCCCTCTGCCACTCTCGCCCTCCCCAACTCCCGATGTGGCATTGCTTCCCCAAAGCTCTTTCCCCACCCACGAACCACTCGCCCCTCCATTCCTACACCCCACTCCTTCAACAACCCGACCCACCTCCAACCCTAACCCCCTGGAGTCTCCCTCCTTCCCAAACCTCCTGCCTTTTCATCCTCTTCACCCCTCCCCTCTCGATACCTAAAACCCTCTCCTCGAAACCCCACCCAAAAAACCCCCTCAGCCTTGTAATATTGATTCACAGGAGTTTTTAACGAGGGCGGCAAACCCCCGCTCTCGAAATCCCCTCAAAGACCCCTCCCCTTATTTCCCAGCCCTCTCTGCTTTCCCCCTCCTTCCATTAACCATCCCGCTGGACACCCCTCGCCTTATCAGCCCCTCATCCCCAGGCTGAATTTTGTATTTTTAAAAAAATATACGTTGAGTTTAGTCAGTCCCTTATCTCACTCAGTGTAACCCAGAGGGACTCACAGCCAGCCAGCCGAATTCCTTTCCCCCTCAGCCCTCCACAACCGCCCCTTTCCCCCTCCCAGTCCCCTTCTCTGCCCGCTTGTGAGCCGCCTGCCCACAACACCCACCACCAACATTATAATTTTTACTGTCATTATTGTTATTACAATATTATTTCCCACACAGGCTGCCCCCCCCCTTGAGAATGCGCCCTCCGCCCCTCATTCACTCACCTCAAGCGCACAGACCCACCGTCCCGTCTAAAGGCTTCTGCCAACTGAGCCTTGCCAAGGGCGCGCGTCCCTCAGCACCATGCACCGGTCCGCGTGAGCCTGCCGCCGGCCTGCCACGCCCCCCCACCCGCTCCCGCCCGCCGCGTCCAATGGCCGCCGCCGCCGCCGCTCTCCCCGCCCACCGCCCGCCCCTCATTGGCCTCTCCTCCACGGCCCCGCCGCTGCGCGCGGCGCCTCATTGGCCAGACGGCGCCGCAGCATGCACAGGCCCGCGTGACACCGGGGCCATGACGCACCTCCCCCGGCCTCGCCGCTCCTCGCCTCCCCGCCCCCTTCCGCCTCTGATTGGTGCGCTCGGCGGCAGCATGCAAGCGTCCGCGTGCTCTGGACGCGCCCCGGGCGCGCTCCCATTGGCTGCGCTGGCGGGACGCGCTCCCTATTGGGTCTCCGGCAGCCAGCCTTCCGCCAGAGCGGGTACACGTGCAGAGGAGGCTCACGCGGACGCCGCTGCTGTGCTTGTTTACAATGTGCAAGGGGCGAGGGGCGGGGCGAGGGGCGGGGCTTCAGGTGGAAAGCCGTTGGCGGGAAGGGGGCGGGTCAGAAAATGCTGAGGCGGCTTTGCCAGTTTTATGAGGAGATTTAGAACGCCCTTTTCTTATATATTTTAAAGTATGTATGTGTGTGTATATATATATATTGAAGGTAGCCATATTGGATTATAATAAAAATTTCTCAAGCCAGAGGTTATTAGGACCTGTTGTATATGTCATTATTATTACCTGTATTATTGGTATTCCAATAGTAAAAAAAAAATGTGTTGATTCTTGCTGGCGGCTACATGCTTACCATGCATTTAAAGTATTATTCCCCCCAAAAAATAAAAATAAAAAAGAATCCTGCACTTTGCCCCCTCGCATGGCTACAATTCTTCCCCAGCAACCTTAAACTACAGTTCCCAGAATTCTTGGGGGTTTTTTTCTTTTAAATGTATGGTAGGTACATTTTGCGACAGTGCTCCACATTTAAAGCAATTTCATTATACCACTTGGAGCAGCCATGGCTTAGCAACCCCGAGAACTGTAGTTTGCTAAGGGTGCTGAGGGTTGTTTGGAGACGTCTCTGCGCCCCCTCCCAGAGCTACAGTTCCCAGGGTCCCCTGGGAAGAAGGATTGATTTTGTTAAACCACTGTAGGAATAGGGGTCTACGAACAACTCTCTTTTTTTTTTTTAATGATATTTATTAAAGTTTCAAAAAATACAGAATACAGAAAGAAAAAGAATAAAGTTTTTTAAAATATAACCAAAAAAAGTAAAAAATAAAAGGAAACATACCAAATAAAACAGTTAAAAAAAAATTAATTTTCCATAACCTATCTTCCCTATACTTATTTCCCCGGACCTCCTCATACCTCCCTTTTTTGTATTCCAGTTCAATTTGTTAGTTCAGCAAATCCTTACCATTAAAATTACCCAGTTGCAAACCTTTTTTCATATCTCTTAAAGCATTACAGCTAAAAACCTCTTAGTTTCTATCCAACATCCTTCTAAGATTCCTTAATTTTACAATATTTCTCTCAGCACCCACAATGAACTACGTTTCCCAGGGTTCTTTGGAGGAAGCCATGGCCATTTAAAACAGGGTGGTGCTGCATTAAATCGCTGCGGGGTCACACTCACCCAGTGCTTTACCAGCCACACTGGCTCCCGGTGGAGTACAGGGTCAGGTTGAAGGTGCTGGTTTTAACCTTTAAAGCCCTATACGGCCTAGGACCCTCGTACCTACGGGACCGCCTCTCCTAGAATGCCCCACATAGGACCTTATGGTCTTCAAACAAAAACATCTTGGAGGTCCCAGGCCACAGGGAGGTTAGGCTGGCCTCAACCAGAGCCAGGGCTTTTTCGGACATGGCCCCGATCTGGTGGAACGCTCTGTCCCAAGAGACTAGGGCCCTGCGGGACTTGACATCTTTCTGCAGGGCCTGCAAGACAGAGCTGCTCCACCAGGCCTTTGGCAAGGGCACAGCCTGACCCCCTCCTTTGGCAATCCCCACAGAACTGTAGCTCAATGGTTGCCATTAATCTGATTTGAATTGATTTTATTATGAAATGATTTTAGAATGTTGCGTCATTTTACTGTTGTTAGCCGCTCTGAGCCCGGCTTCGGCTGGGGAGGGCGGAATATAAATAAAAATGTATTATTATTGTTGTTGTTGTTGTTGTTGTTGTTGTTGTATTGCAGACGGGGCCGTAATTCCAGCTCTTCCAGTGCAATCCTATACAGGTTTATGCAGAAGTGAGCTACACTGAGTTCAGCAGCAGCAGGTTTCTGGCAGAAGATGCCACATGCACAGCAAAAGAAACATTACGCGCCGTTCCTTCCAAGCTGCACATCAGCACCCATTTTCACATTGCCCTGGAGCCTGTGCAAAGGGCAGGTCCAGAAACTAAGGCCCGTGGGCCGGATCAGGCCCAATTGCCTTCTAGATCCGGCCCGCGAACGGTCAGGGAATCCAGGCAGCCTGCATAGCGTGCGCACCATGGTTTTTGCGACTCAGCCTAGCTTGGGGGTCAAAAGTGAGGCGGGCGGCTGCTTGAGACAAGCCCCTTCTCCATCCCTTGCGCATGCACGCAGCAATCTTTTCTTCCAAGGTGGGGAAGAGGGGAAAGGAGACACAGTTCGCATTTCCACCATGGAGCTGCTGGCAACTGACCTCAGGAAGGGCAGCTGTGGTGGCAGGGACGCCTGCTGGTGTCTGTGCTCCCCACCATAGGAAGTGGGGAGCGCCTGGGCGGCTGCACTCTGTTAAGTTGTGGGTGAACATATCAGACGACACAGCGATTCTTCAAATAGCTCTTGTTTATTCAGAGGCCAGAACAGAACTGAACTGAAGGGTTCAGCCAGCCTTCTTATATAGAGCTCCAGTACAACGTAACAGTAACAACTTTTTGTAACTATCCAATCACTGAACGTCACTTTAGATCCTTTATTTGCGTATGTGGACCTGAACTATCTACAGTATCCCCCTGTTGGCCCAGGGTGAGAACTTCAGTACATAATACACCCCAAAGCAGTTATGCGCTCTGCTAGGGAGACCGTTTGTTAGCTACATGGTGTGAGCCATGGAAAGGTAAATAGCTGCCATCTCCGCCTCATCTTCCCTCACGCGGGGGGGAAAACGTTTTTGCTTGAGCTTGAGCATGACCAACGGCTTTTCCATTCGCCCACACATGCGCCCACACTTTCCAGGGCTGACGGGAATGGCGCGCTCACCTCAGCCCCCCACCCCTCCTTACGAGAGAAATAATCACTGTCAACGCATAAAACAAAGAAGGAAGCAGCGTGGGTGTATGAGGGAACACCCCCCACCTCAAAAAAAATCACATTTGGGCAACGTTGGGGTTGGTCCTAGTAAGGGTTTTTGCCAAAAATGCAGGTCATAATCATGGCAACATATAGTCCAGCCCCCCACAAGGTCTGAGGGACAGTGGACCAGCCCCTGCTGAAAAGTTTGCTGACCCCTGGGCTAGGCGATGCTTCCATTTCGGGGCTTGATTTGCAAGGTCACTGAGAGATTGTAAACCAGCCATTGGCAACAGGTTTTGGTTATAATTTACTAGGTTTAAATATATTTAAATTTACTTACATTTATTAAATTTGAATTTATTTAAATTAAATTAAATTTAAATTAAATTTAAATTTACTGGATTAAATAGGGGGAAAGGCTTGCATTTTGATGCCCAAAGTGCAGACACTTAGAAAGAAGTCTGCATGATTCCACAATAAACTCTCTCTTCGAAGCATCCACAGCTTGTCTGACATACATCTGTGAAACACCTGTGGTAAGAGAGGCAGATAGCAATCCTAAATGTGCAGCCCAGGACAAACGTGGAGCGGAACGCATCTTTCATTTCCAGAAATGTCACTGCACAATTTTTCTTAAGTGAAGGCTTAATTTAATTTAATCAATCAATTAATTAAAATCTATCCCCCCCACCCCATTTCTTCATTAACTCATAAACTCACGAGTTCAGTACGCTGGTGGTGCATCATGTTAGGTTTGCTTGAGAATATACACAGGAGTGACATGCATGTGTACCCGAACAAATGTTTGCCAAGCCTGGAGATGTGTGCAACTCTCCCATTTTCCATGTTTAAGTGTAAGAGAAGTTCCTAACCCTTATAGCTGTGCAGTGGCATTTGAACAATTCTAACAATGTTCCAAAGACCCCGAAATAATGGCTGATATTGGAGATTAAATCCAGTTGCGAGTGGGGAAGACAGCACCAAGTCCCAAATGATCTTCTTTGTTTTAAACTATGGGTTCTTCCTCCAGATGTGCTGCTGGGTAATTTTAGATGCCAGCCTGTGGTCCCTTAGAACAGGCACCCCCAAACTCGACCCTCCAGATGTTTTGGAACTACAATTCCCATCATCCCTGACCACTGGTCCCGTTAGCTAGGGATGATGGGAGTTGTAGTCCCAAAACATCTGGCAGTCCGAGATTGGGAGTACCTGCTTTAGAAGGTAATAGGGCATTGTTTCGTTTATTTCGAAATCCAGTCCTGTTGCATTTGGAGACCCTCCTGCACATTCTCCAGATCTAGGTAAAGGGTAAAGGGATCCCTGACCATTAGGTCCAGTCGTGGCCGATTCTGGGGTTGCAGCGCTCATCTCGCTTTACCGGCCGAGGGAGCCGGCGTACAGCTTCCAGGTCATGTGGCCAGCATGACTAAGCCGCTTCTGGCGAACCAGAGCAGCGCACGGAAATGCCATTTACCTTCCCGTCGGAGCGGTACCTCTTTATCTATTTGCACTTTGACATGCTTTCAAACTGCTAGGTTGGCAGGAGCAGGGACAGAGCAATGGGAGCTCACCCCGCCGCGGGGATTCGAACCGCCAACCTTCTGATTGGCAAGTCCTAGGCTCTGTGGTTTAACCCACAGCGCCACCCGCGTCCCCTCCAGATCGAGACACCTGCCCTAACGCTCTGTCTGGATGATACCACTTCCCTGCGGTTCAGTTCCTTATCCAACCAGTTCCTTGGCTCCTTCAAAAAGCACGTTGAACTCCTCCCTGGCCCCACGGCCTGGCACCTAGCCGTTTTTGCTCACCTTGGCAGATAACATGCCACATATCCAGTTTAGGGACCGGCTTACGACTGCAGTTGGCAACTTCTCCCTGCCCGGGCGAATCACAGCACAGAAAGATGGGTCAGGAGGTGAGGACATTTTGTTCCCGTCAGACTGGAATGTATTAATAGCTGAGCTCCGGGGCCTAGATGTCCTCATCCTCCCACACCAGCTGCAAAAGCAGTTCGGAAGATGGCTCAGCGACACTTTTTTGCAGCTCACACCCACGTCGTAAAAAGAGACAAAGGCCCACATCCATGCACCAAGGAGACCGATATTAAACCCCCCCCCCCCCCGTCTCCAATTTATTTTTCTTCTCCCTGTTGCCTCTTACCCACCATGGCCTGAATACAGACAGTGGTTTCCTGCCCAACACAAGGTGTTAATTAATTCCACAATCAAGGATTATCGTGTTATCACCAATTACTATCGTCACGAAGCTATTGCGCACCAGCAATTATTAGTTTATTTATCCAACCCTTTGCGGTAAGGTAACAGGGAAGAATGCATAGGTCAAAATCTGCTCTGCCGCAGGAACTGTCAAACCAAATTGGACCAAAGATCTTCGAACTAAACTAAACTAGTGGTTTAGAATGCTTAGAGCTGTAATCTTGATTCGAAATGCCCCCCACATGGGATCCAAGTCTCCCCCCTCTGCCTCGTAACTGTAAAGCAGTGGTGTCCAAACTTTTTTTCAAAGAGGGCGGGATTTGATTTGATTTGATGAAGTGAAGGGCTGTGCGTGTTATGGTCGGGTGCGTGTTATAGAGCGAAAAATACGGTACTTATTACTGATTTTCTTCCAGCCAAGTTATGAGATTCCTTCCCCTGCCCCAGCGAGTGCAGAGGCCAGCCCTTTTTCAAGACAAGACAAGCAAGACAAAGAATAATAATTGGGCGTTCTCCACAGGACATTTATTGTACTATTTTTTTCCCCTTCCAAATTTCAGGTATTTTTCACAGCATAGTCATTCCCGGTCATGTCTGTAACGAGTCCAACCCCTTTCCCGTATAACCCAGGCCTGCTGAGGAAGAGGGAAGAGGAGGGGGAGTGGGCAGCAAAGCAAAGGACCTTTCCTCACCCCCCTTGTGCCCTGATCTACCCTACCCCTTAAAATACCCCTTTCTACCTTTAAATTGTCCCCTTTCCCCGCCAGAAGTTTTCTCCAACTAAGAGGGCTGCATCCAGGGAGCTGGAGAGCAGCAGTGACACCTGCTGTCCAGCTGGAGAATTGCAGCCCCTTCTCTCTCCATCCCCACCCAGGCTGCAAATCATACCCTAAAGAAACACACCCTTTTCCACAATATATATGGAAGACAGATGTGTCCAGGACCTCCGCTGCTATCTGTTGTTCAAAGAGCAACCTCAAAAGCTTCCCCCTTCCAAGTGATAGCGCCTCCCTCCCCACGACCGTGGGCTCTCCCTCTTCCCCAGCAGTTCACAATATCCAGGCATCCCCCTAAGAGAATTGCCAGCAACAGGGGAGAAGGCGCCAGTCATCTAACCTCCTAGCTCCCTTCGTTTCCCTCCGTTGTCGGGAGCTAGGATGTTAATCAGGCTTCTAAGCCCCCTCCCCACACACATGGTGCAAGTTCTGGCCCAACATCTGGCTAGCAAGACGCCCCTTGCCAAGTTTTCCCTCCGAACTGGCAGGGGGCACCCGACTCGCCAAGCCGCGATGGTGATTCCGCGAAACGCCGGCTCCTCTCTTAGTTCCCTCTTGAAATTCCTTGGCCTCAAGAGAGCGATCCGGAACACAGAAGTGGATAAGGGATAATCTTTTTAAACATTTGCCCCCCCCCCCACTCTACTTGGGAGAAAGAGGAGGGGGGAGAGGAGAGGGGAGGGGGGAGATGTACCAAAAATAAATAAAAAAAAGAGAGAGTCACACATCGCCGACATTATAAACAGGCCAAGAAATATGGCAGTTTGTGCTAAACAGGAATTCGGGGGGGGGGAGGTTGGGGGAGTTCACTCGTCACAATATCACAATTACGACATTTGCAAAGCGAAACTGGCTGATCTTGGGTGAGGATGGGGAAGTGGGGGCAGAGAGGAGGCGTTTCCCTCCCCACCCCCCACAAAAAACAGCCTGTATTCAAGCCAGCCTCCTCCCTACTCAAGTCTCTCCATCCACACACACACACACACACACACACACAGAAAAATACACACAACACACACCCCTCCCTTGCTAGTAGTTCCATTCAGAAGTTGAGAGAGTAGACACAGAAAAACTATTTTGCTATAGCGCAAAACTGGCCCAAATAGAATTTCCCAAGCATGGGGGGAAAAGGTATTTTCTTGCTCCGAGGATTATTAAACAGCAACACTCCCCGCAATCCCCATATCACTTGACGTCAAATCTGCTAGTTATCTGTGCTTTCAACACAACACATAAACACACTTCTGAAAGGAACCAAAGGCAGAACCCTAGCTTGCTTGTTACCCAGACATGAATGAAGATACCCCAATTCCCGGCAAATAGGCAGTGATTGCAAGAAGAGGAGGACTGGGGAGTCATATTTTGGGGTGTGGGCAGCTTATCCTGCTTCCCCTATTTAGATAACCTCGGCTCCTTTACCGGGCAGGTCTGGAATGTACACGTTATATTACCTTGTATACTCGTATTTTTATTATTATTATTATCAAAAAAAGAGAGGCAGTTTTCATTTAGGACATCTATGGCAGGAAAATCGTCCGCCTCTCCCGTAAGTGGCGGGAGGAGGCGAGGAGAGGACTGTTGCAAGATTCCCAAAACAGAGCTGTTCCCTGCACCAGAGGAGGGGGGGGGCGCGGGAATTATAAGGTATAGTGTTGGTTACTTTGAAGACACAGCACACAGCACAACTCCAGGAATGTTACAGAAGATCACGAAGGGTAGAGGTTCTTCCCCGCCGCAGAAGGGGCTGGGATCAAAAGAGAGAGCAGGCAAAGAAATTCCCGACACCCTAACACACCGCAATCTAGTCCAATGTTACAGCGGTTTGCAAGAGGCAAAGGGTCTTGGGCTGTAAAAGATTGCAGGCTGGGCGGGAAAATCCACAACCCAAGACTGTTCCAACATTAGTATCCGGATGACATGTTTTATTTTTTGCATGGGGAGGAAGTCCGGTGGGCAGAGTGCCTTAGGAGTTTCTGAGACCAGCTAAGTCGGGAGAAGGGTTAAGGATCACGGGGAGTTATTGGTCCTTGAAGGTTTTAGTTAAAAACCAAGACACTGAAAAAACACTGTCAGAGAGAGAGAGAGAAAGAGAGAAGTCGGGGGGTTGGCAGGAGAAGAGGAAGGGGGGAAAGATTCCATGACACATGGAAAGTCTAGTAATAAATCTACAAACAGACAAAATATATTATATTATATATATATATATATGTATAAATAACAAATCAGGCTATTTACAAGACACCCACACGCAATGCACACCCACACATACACACCGGAGGGGAGGAGGGGGTTGGGAGGGTGTAAGGGGCGTATGGAGGGAGGGGAGGCGGGGGGGGGGGCGGCTGGAAGATATGGCTGAGATCTAGAGGAGGGGGGATGCTTTGCCCCTCACGCTGCTCCCGGCCGTTGCTCCTGGATGAGAAATGGCTCCATAAATTCCATTAAGTGCTGAAGTAAACTGCAAAAGGAGGAAGGGGAGAGGGTATGGGGGGGGGGGAGAACCATTAATAACCTCAAGAGATTCGGCCGCCCCCAAACTATATCACTCCAACTCAGCTGTTATCCCAAAAAATAATAATAAATCTGTGCAGCAGGATTGGTCCATGCAGCCAGGATGCGGTTGCTAAGGTAACCCACCTCCCAGAACACACACACAGAGGGATGGATGTTACCGCCTTCCAAAAGTGGTCCTTGACTAGAGGAAGAAGCCAGAACGGCCGGCCAAGTTCCCACTGCCATTCAAGTCCCCTTGCCTCCCCACCCCCTGCCAACATTTGTTTAACCCTTTCAAAGAGAGCGCCACATGCAACTCCTTGTTGCAGCTCTTTTCACAACCACCCTGTAAGGTAGGTCACTGTCTTGACCGTACTAGCTAAAGAGGTGCCTTACTGCATCAAAGCAAAGGCCCGACCGGACGGGTTCTTGGGATTCCTGCAGCAGCCAACCAAGTTACTCTGAGAAGCCTTCCAGCAGGATACGGACCTCACGCCCAAAGGCCCTAAACAATATCCACACCGCTCCAGAGCCCTTCTAGAGACCCCAGCAGATGCCAAGGCAATAAGTAACTATTTTACTTTCAAAAGACAACTGAAGGCGGCCCTGTTTAGGGAAGCTTTTAATGTTTGATGCTGTATTGATTTTAATGTTAGAAGCCGCCCAGAGTGGCTGGGGAAACCCAGCCACATGGGCGGGGTATAAATAATAAATTATTATTATTATTAACAGCGTCGCGTCCAGATTTATGAGCCACCCAGGTGGCGGCAAATGAGACGCCCTTACAATTCAGGGGCCACGAAGACAGGCAAAGTGTTGCCTTAAAGAAAATGACTGGAGTCAGCAGTCTGCCTGAAAAGCAAACTCCCTCAGCTCAACTTCTGCACTTGCCTCTACACTCTGCACATGCTCTTTTCTTTTCTGACTGCTTTACTTGCTCCAGCACTGAGTGCTGGCATGGGGAAAACAGGCAGAAGCCTCGCTCTGGTGGAAGAGCTTTTTCTGTAGAGAGCAGACTGGCAGCCCTGAGCCTTTTCTCAAAAGCAGCAATGCTTTTTAAGAAAACAGAATCTTTTTCCCCTGTGGCTGTGCAATCCTGTCCGCCAGAGGTGGGGACCTGGACCCAGAACGAGCCCAACTGACTGTAAAGACAAGACAACCCGTCCCACCCCAAAAATATGGCCTTCGCTATGAGAAGGGGAAACTCACCGATGATAACGATCAAGATAATGGTGCATATCACCCCCAGGATTATCATCATCTGCAATTGGGAGAGAAGAGGGAGGGGGAAGCGAGAGCATGAGCTGGGAAAAGGTGCCAGGAGATGCAACTGGTCTCTGGGAACAAGCAAGGGCAGGAGCAGCTGAACCCCACTCCCTGCCTGTGGGGGCCTTGCAAGTTGCTGCAGGAGAAGGACCCAGAGCAATATTGTGAGGGGGGGCATTTTCTAGGACCATGGGAAAACTGTCAAGCTCCCTTCTTATTTTTGCTGTTGTATGATGGCTGTTGTTTATGTGATCTCCTTGTATTTACAGTACTGAAATGTTGATATATACTGTATTTATACCGTATTTTTCGCTCTATAGGACGCACTTTCCCCCTCTAAAAATTAAGGGGAAATGTGTGTGTGTCCTATAGAGCGAATGCAGGCTGCACGGCTAAGCCCAAAGCCAGAACAGGGAGACGGAGCACTGAGCAGCGCTCTGTCTCACTGTTCTAGCTTGGGGATGGCTGTGCAAAGCCTCCACAGGGCAGTGGGGTGAAGGCACCCCGCTGCCCTGCGGAGGCTTCAAAGGCTGTGCTCCGGGGGCTTCAGGCAGCTATCCGCAAGCCTTCGGAGCGCAGCAGGAGTTCCCGCTGCACTCCGAAGGCTTGCGGATAGCCGCCTGAAGCCTGGAGAGCGAGAGGGGTCGGTGCACACCGATCCCTCTTGCTCTCCAAGCTTCGCTTCGCTGGAGAGGCGCTGCAGTTTCCCCCCTCTGCGCAGCGCCCCTTCAGTGAAGCGGGATGAGAAATGGAAGGGGCTCCATTTCTCCTGCCGCTTCGCTGAAGGGGCGCTGAGCAGAGAGGGGGAGAATTTTTTTTCCCCTGTTCTCCCCCTCCTATGGTCTGGTGCATCCTATAGAGCGAAAAATACGGTATATTGTACGTTACCGTAATTTCTATCGTCTTGCTGCGCTATGTTATCTATCATGAAAATTGCTTTTGCACTGTTGAGTTTTCCAAATGCCTGTTTTCTTTGTCGTCGGCCTCTTTGAGCACGATTTTTTTTTTTTCTTTTGCGGAAAACCAGCATACAAATAAAACGAACAAATGAATCAATGGAGTGAGTGAACAGGAGGAAGCCCTTCCAGGGACAGATCATGCAGCTTAGCCCACTCAGAAGCGACACACTGCACCACTCACTTCCCTTTCTCCAGTTTAGAAGATTCATCCAGGAGGAATCTGCACATATACCGTATTTTTCACTCTATAAGACGCACCAGACCACAAGACGCACCTAGTTTTTGGAGGAGGAAAACGAGAAAAAAAAATGTTCTGAATCCCAGAAGCCAGAACAGCAAGAGGGATCGCTGCGCTGTGAAAGCAGCAATCCCTCTTGCTGTTCTGGCTTCTGGGATAGCTGCGCAGCCTGCATTCACTCCATAAGACGTACACACATTTCCCTTTACTTTTTAAGAGGGGAAAAGTGCGTCTTATAGAGCGAAAAATACGGTGCTCAGAGGGCCAGCGCTTTACTCTTAAGTTTTACAAGTCCGAAGACTGAAACATGGATTCTTGGGGGTTGGGCAATGCTGAGCCTTCTCATTCCCAGTTAAGACCTGCACGGCCGTTTCAGCAAGGAAGGGCTTTTAGCATTCAAAGGGCGCCCCATGTGCCTGCTGCTCTTTTCAGGTTACCTTTAGATTCTTCCACCAGTACTTGCGCTTGAGCTTGGCTGCACTGGTTTCGAACTGGGAGGCCCCCGCCTGCAGAGCGTCTGCACGGTCGTCCAGCTCTGAGAGCTTCTGATCCCTCTCGAGAACCTTGTCCACATTCACTCGCATGATGTCCACGACCTGCAGCAGGAAAAGGAAGAGAAGAAGGAGAAAGGGCAGCTATTATTATTATTATTCATTTATTCTGATTTATATGTCGCTTTCCACTCCAAGATGTGCAAGGTTCAGCACATAGCGCTCCTCCTCACAACGACCCTGCGATGTTGTGATTGGCCCAGGGTCCCCTCTCCCTGGGTGAGGCCATTTCACGGCCAACTGGGGGTGCAAACCCTGCTCTCTCCCAGGTCGCACTCTGAACCATTATGCCCAGGGCCGGATTTAGGTTTGATGAGGCCCTAAGCTACTGAAGGTAATGGGGCCCTTTATATGTCCAGCTGTCCTTTGTCAACAACAAATTGTCGCTGGTTTTTGTGTTGAATATATGCTATATGGTAAAAAAAAAAATTCTTTTAATTTTTTTTTGTAGGGCCCTCTATCGAAGAATGGCAGATGAAGATGATGGACTATATGGAACTTGCCAAACTGACTGGGAGACTCCGAGACCAGAGAGAAGAGACAGTGGAAGAAGATTGGAAGAAGTTTAAAGAATATTTGAAAAAATATGTTAATATTTAAATCTTAGAATAGCTTTGGAAGTGGCTATAGGCTGTAGGGTTAGAAGTAGAAGATAGTGTATTTTAAAATAGTATTATTTGTAAGTGATAAAATGTGAAGATTTTTATGGTAAAAGGGTGATAAAAAACATGGTTAAAAATTGTGATATATGTAAACTGCTAAAGATGAGGTAAAATGAAAATCAGATAGGGGGGACTTGGGGAAGTCCACCTTACAATGTTTAGAAAAAATAAGGATAAGACAAGAATTTGTTTGTATTGTTTGTTTTTCTGTTTGTGTTGTTTAGTTATTGTCAGGGAACTGACATCGGAGCGAAAGGCGAAGGGGAGGCTCCTAGATGATGCTGGCGAAGGACCCAGCAGCAGGGGGAGAAACAGCTCAGTGGAGGGGGAAGCTAATCAGCGCAACACCAGGGATAAAGGGGGGCAGATGGGGGAATCGGAGAGAGGGCTCCAGGACTCTTCACTGGACATCAGTGAGGAGAGCCCAGGTCCTCCGCTGCCCACGCCCTCCCTGCGCAGAAGACTCCCGCGCAGTGAGAGGAGGAGGAGATTGGGTGTCAAACAACTCTTATGTTGGAAGAGGTTCAAGAAACGCCCACTGACGGATTCTGCCAGTGACTGAGGCAGCCACGATGAGAAAGGGCTGTGCAGTCAGAAAGGTTTAACAAGGCAAATTAGCCTAGAGAGGCACCAGTTTACGCACGAGTAACTCATACTCACTACAGTTATGTTATAAAATGAATAAAAAATTGGGGGGGGGGGGGAGAGAGTGGGGCCCTAAGCTATAGCTTGTTTAGCTTATACATAAATCCGGCACTGATTACGCCACACAGTTGCCAGTACAGCTTCACACTTCTTCCTGGAGACCGCTGTAAAGACAAGAGGCCCGCAAGCTTCTGTTGACCACAGGGAACTCTGCAGGGAGACGGAGAACGGGCCAGTCCAATCTGCACCCCCACACACACATCCCAAGATCTCTCACACAAGCATAAGGTTTAGGAGATGCCGTCTCACCACAGCAAGCACTGCAGAAAAGACCCACAGCACATGGGCTGAAAAGCAGAGAGAGAAAAAATAGATGCAAGACGAATCCGTAGGCTGTCTCTGGATTCCCCCTCAACTCTCACCTTGTGGCAGCCATGCCATCAGACTATCTGAAGTCTTCCCTTTCCCAGCTCACCATTGCAAGGAAATGTTAAAAGGTAAATGGACCCCTGACCATTAGGTCCAGTCATGACCGACTCTGGGGTTGCGGCGCTCATCTCGCTTTATTGGCCGAGGGATCCGGCGTACAGCTTCCGGGTCATGGGGCCAGCATGACTAAGCCGCTTCTGGCGAAACCAGAGCAGCGCACGGAAACGCCGTTTACCTTCCCACTGCAGCGGTACCTATTTATCTACTTGTACTGGCGTGCTTTCAAACTGCTAGGTTGGCAGAAGCAAGGACCGAGCAACGGGTGCTCGCCCCGTCACGGGGATTCGAACCGCCGACCTTCTGATTGGCAAGTCCTAGGCTCTGTGGTTTAACCCACAGCGCCACCCGCGTCCCTTTCTCTGTGCATAGCAAAGGCTTTATCACTGAGCTACACAGCCTGTGGGTTTGTGCTGTGTGTAGGTAGGACTTTTACTCCATGCTCTCCTCCCACCCTAAGCAATTATGCGAGAACAGTCACCTTGCAACCCCCCCCCTCCCTCCCCAATCCAACAGAGGTGGCAAGGAGAAAGAGGCTACTCTCCCCCAAAGTGCCCAGCCCCACACTCATCCTTGCCCACGCGACTGACCTCATCGACTTGAGCTTGAGTTTGCTGCAGCCTTCTGTTGCTGGTGAGGTTGGGGGGTGGGGGAGGAGGGCCACCCCCCTCTCCTCCGGCAGCGGGGGGCGCGGCGGCAGCGGGAGCCGACCTGCAGGCAAGAGAGAAAGCAAAAACGGTGGTTGTCATCATCATCATCATCTGCCCGCCCCGACTTCATCTCACATTAAAAAGTTATAGTTCCCAGCTGTCTTAGTAAGGACAGCTTACACCACGAAAACAAAGCACGGAGTGCACAGCAAGGCAACTGTCCTCAAAGAACTGTGAAATGTAATTAACAGATTCAAGCCAAAAATATATACAGTGGTACTTTGGTTCTCAAACGCCTTAGAACTCAAACAACTTGGAACCCAAACCCGGAAGTAAGTGTCCCAGTTGCAAACTTTTTTTGGAAGCCGAACGTGCTCCATTTTGAGTGTTACGCTTCCGATTTGAGTGTTACGCTGAGGTCTGTCTGTTTTTGCTATTTATTTTGCCTTTTAGTGGCTTTTTGATTTGTTTTTGTGACTGTGTAGAACCCAGTTCAGCTACTGATTGTGTGACTGCAGTACATTGTTTATTGCTTTCATTTTATGGATCAGTGGTCTCGTTAGATAGTAAAATTCATGTTAAATTCCTGTTTATGGGGTTGTTTTTAAAAATTTGGAATGGATTAATCCATTTGGCATTACTTTCTATGGGAAAGCGCGCCTTGGTTTTGGAACGCTTTGATTTTGGAATGGACTTCTGGAACGGATTAAGTTTGAGAACTAAGGTACCACTGTGTAAAAGAAAGACGAGCAATGAAGGACTGGCCTGGAACCCACTGGCCTAAAGGTCAGATTCAGCCTTCACATTTGGCCCACCACAAATCCTGCCTCACACAGCCATAATTGGGCTTGCCACCTGAACTGCAACACATGGGGATATTTTAGAAGGGGGTGTCACAGTGAAGGGGGGTTAGCACTCCCTGTAACACCATGCCACAATTAGGCTTGGGGGGGTGGAAAGCCTTGAGGTTTTGTGATGCCTTTTTTGAGAGGGGGCGCTCCCGAAAATGCCATATGTAGATCAGGTAATAAACATCCATTAAATGCCGATGGCAGAAAGTGAGGAGGAATTAAAGAACCTTTTAATGAGGGTGAGAAAGGAGAGTGCAAAATATGGTCTGAAGCTCAACATCAAAAAAACGAAGATCATGGCCACTGGTCCCATCACCTCCTGGCAAATAGAAGGGGAAGAAATGGAGGCAGTGAGAGATTTTACTTTCTTGGGCTCCATGATCACTGCAGATGGTGACAGCAGTCACGAAATTAAAAGACGCCTGCTCCTTGGGAGAAAGGCAATGACAAACCTAGACAGCATCTTAAAAAGCAGAGACATCACCTTGCCAGCAAAGGTCCGTATAATTAAAGCCATGGTTTTCCCAGTAGTGATGTATGGAAGTGAGAGCTGGACCATAAAGAAGGCTGATCGCTGAAGAATGGATGCTTTTGAATTATGGTGCTGGAGGAGACTCTTGAGAGTCCCATGGACTGCAAGAAGATCAAACCTCTCCATTCTGAAGGAAATCAGCCCTGAGTGCTCACTGGAAAGACAGATCCTGAAGCTGAGGCTCCAAGACTTTGGCCTCCTCATGAGAAGAGAAGACCCTGAAAAGACCCTGATGTTGGGAAGGATGGATGGCACAAGGAGAAGGGGACGACAGAGGACGAGATGGGTGGACAGTGTTCTCGAAGCTACCAGCATGAGTCTGACCAAACTGCGGGAGACAGTGGAAGACAGAAGTGCCTGGCGTGCTCTGGTCCATGGGGTCACGAAGAGTCGGACACGACTAAACGACTAAACAACAACAACAAATGCCAATCACAGGTTATGAGCAAAGAGGTATTTCACCCTCACATGGAAAAGCCTCCTCAAAGGTAGTTCTGGGTCCAAAACCAGACAGTCAACCTCTAAAAACAAAAGAAAGCATTCTACCAAACAACCATTGTGGGTGAACAAATATTTAAGAAGCATGGCCTTCTTCGTGATGGCTCTACAGCCCTGGGATATCCTCCTGGCGGATATGCATCTGTCTTGTAGACAGAAACTGAGAGCATCCTTTTGCAGATGCAGACACTGAAATCATAATATTTGCAACTTGCTTTTCTGTTTTTAATTTTAATCCGAGTGCTGCTTTTAGACTCTGCTGTTTATACTGTAATCCATATTATATATTGATTTTTATAGATACAAGTTTCTGTTAACCTTCATTGCATCATCCATTCTCAGTTCCCCACAAGCAAAAAGAACAAAACAAAATAACAATGCCACCAGCCTTGCATTTAAGTTCCCAAAAGTGATGACATAAAGAACTAGCAGCCATCAAAACATTTAGGAACCCGTCTTCCTACATAATTGTGTTACGTCAGTTGTCATTACATTGATGGCCCAGAAAAAACTAAAAACAAAACAAACAAAAAAGCTTGTTGTGCTGTATTGTTTTTAACACTTGATTGGGAGCCGCCCAGAGTGGCTGGGGAAACTCAGCCAGATGGGCGAGGTATAAATAAATTTATTACTATTATTATTATTATTATTATTATTATTATTATAAACTCATACTTGCTACAGGCAACTTGATATATACAGCGGTACCTTGGTTTACGAACTTAATCTGTTCCGGAAGTCCGTTCTTAAACCAAAGCGTTCTTAAACCAAGGCATACTTTCCCATAGCAGCGGAGGACTCAATTTACAAATGGAACACGCTCAACAGGAAGCGGAACAAGTTCTTATTCCAAAGCAAAGTTCACAAACCGAAACACCTACTTGCAGGTTTGCAGCGTTCTTAATCCAAGTTGTTCATAAACTAAGCTGTTCTTAAAACAAGGTACCACTGTACAGGAATTACCCTCACCCCTCAATTGTTCAAAAGGGCTTTATCTCTCTATCTTCAGGGGGAGATTCATGACGATCTTTTCCAACAAATACGCCCAGCCGTATCCACAATGGCCACTCTGAGCAGCTTCGGGATTCAGTTTCTCTTGGTACGGAATTTGGTTGTCCGTGGCTACAGAGGTTTTTGAAAATCGGCCCCAGGGCTTGCAAGTCCTGACATCGCACAGGCACAGGCACCTGGCTGAAGCACCTGACCAAATGGGAGACACACCTTGAGTTCCAGAGTGAGGAAAGGGTGAGATGCAAATGGAATAAACTAAAATAAACACCCACATCATTGGCTTGCGTCAAAGACACTGTACAAACAGAGGGCAGGGAATTAACACAACACCTCTTAACTTCTGCCAGAATGATAATTTGTCAAAATGGGTGGGGTCAGGGGAGACAGAACACCATCCCTGAGAAAATGGATAACTAATAGTATACAACGGTACCTTGGTTCTCAAACACCAAAAACCCGGAAGGTAAGTATTCTGGTTTTTTAATGTTTTTTCAGAAGTTGGACGTCCAATGCAGCTGTCGGCTATTGTTTCCAATCAGAAGCTGTGCCTTGGTTTTCTAACATTTTAGAAGTCAAATGGCCTTCCAGATCGGATTAAGTTTGGCGCTTTTGTTTTTGCTATTTATTTTGCATTTTTGTTTTTGAAGCTGTTTTGGCTAATTTTTTGTGTCTGTGTGGAACCCAGTACGGCTACTGATTGATAGATTGATTGTGTGACTGTGGAAATGGATAAAAGCCCCCCATCCAAACAATGACTATCATCAGTGCAGGTAAGAAAGTTATTTATTTTTTAAAAAATTATCATCTACAAAACTGTCTTATTTATTTTATATGACAGTACATTGATTATTGCTTTCATTTTATGGATCAATGGTCTTGTTAGATAATAAAATTCATGTTAAATTGCTGTTTTAGGGTTTTTTTTAAAAAAGTCTGGAACAGATTAATCCATTTTGCATTACTTTCTATGGGAAAGTGTGCCTTGGTTTTGGAACGCACTTCCAGAATGGATTAAATTTGAGAACCAAGGTACTACTGTACATGGTTACGCTTACATATACGGTGAGAGAAACCGAGAGGGCAGGCAACAAGACAAAGTCTCTATCGAGAAATCTGAGTCTTTTTATAATGCACTCAAGTCACAAGGTAGAGGATAATGAAAACCCATCTGTGTTACTTGCAACCTTGTGATGTTAATTTATTATGTCCTGTTTCATTATGGAAATTTGTTCCTCTGTGTTTAGTTCCAGCTATCTCTTTCTAGTTTTATTTGGCCTCTGTTATTACACTTTGCTATAAGTAAATATATGTAAACAATATATGAATAAATAAATATAAACCCCTATATAACCCCACCCATAGCTTCCCAAGTGTCCAGCACAAACCTACCTTCCCCATCAGCGGTTTTGTTTAAATGCCACAAAAACTGAACAATCTAAAATAAAGACGGTAACTGCAATGCAACCCCGCCCCCCAAAAAGACTACCCTTTTTAAAGCAAGAAAACAGCACCCGGCCCCTGCCAGAAAAAAGAGGATCTCCTGGGCATTGGGAGGGGGGGTCTGCACTACAAAAACTCTGGTGGGTTTAAGATAACAGGCTATAATTAGAGGGGGATTAAGAGCAAGGACTCTATATTTAATCCCTGGAAAGGGAGACCTGGACAGCATCATATCAAGCTTTTACAGGACACAAGGAAGCAGCTCTGGGTAGCCAAAAATCCTACAGGCCACAGGACCCTGATTTTCAAACGAAGAATGAAATTGTCTAATTCCCATGGAATACACCCCGCCCACATCAGAACAGCTCAGTTTAGGCAGAACACCTCAAATTCCTGAAACACCCTTTTTTTCCGGGTACCTTTTCCAGATTTGATTGGCACCCATAGAAACAAAGGCTTTTCGGCGGGTTTTCTCCCCAGGTCAGGAACCTTGGTTTGCACCAACTGAGTCTCGTTTTCGAAACAATTAAAATGAAAGGCGGGCGATTTCCATGTTGAGGAAAGGGACCTGCAATTCCCTGACAGACAGACATACACACACACATTCCCAAGTGCCTTCTATTTTCAGACAGTGACGCCACACCACTGAAACAATGGCAAGTAAATCATCCATTGGGGGGAGACAAGGCTAGAGAAACAAAACCAGCAAGAGAATGACACAGAACAAAAAATGAGTTACCAGATCTGATTTGGTTTCCCTCCCTTTCCTTTTTTTAAAAGAGAGAGAGAGAAATCCCAGGCCATTGGAGACCATGTTGAGGACAGAAATCACAGTTATGTAAAAGGGTCTTGGGAGGGTGTGCGCTGGGGCCCAGAAATTCAGCCTTCCCCACAAACCTTCGTCTTTATGGGTTTGCTAACCCACAGAGCTCCTGCCAACCTAGCAGCTCGAAAGCACGTCAAAGTGCAAGTAGATAAATAGGTACCACTCTGGCGGAAAGTTAAACAGCGTTTCCATGCACTGCTCTGGTTCGCCAGAAGTGGCTTAGTCCTGCTGGCCACATGACCCAGAAGCTGTACGCCGGCTCCCTCGGCCAGTAAAGCGAGATGAGCGCCGCAACCCGTCGGTCATGACTGGACCCTTTACCTTAACCCACAGAGCAAGTTGAGATGAGCTTCTAAGGCTGCATTCCCCAACTCGGCGCCCTCCAGATGCTGTAGACCAGTGATGGCCAAACTTGTCCCTCCAGCTGTTTTGGGACTACAATTCCCATCATCCCTGACCGCTGGTCCTGTTAGCTAGGGATGATGGGAGTTGTAGTCCCAAAACAGCTGGAGGGACAAGTTTGGCCATCACTGCGTAGACCTAGAGCTTGCCATCACCCCAGACACTGGCTGATGGGAGTTGTAATGCAAAACATCTGGAGAGCGCCTTTGAAGGCTTCGTTCTGATTAAGTGATGTAACTGGGACCTCTTACGTCGCAGAATGGCTCCTCCTTCCCTCAAAAAAAGGAAGAAAAATGCCCTGCACACAGAGATATAGCACATCCCATAACCTTTTAAAATGTGGCTCTTTTCTAGGAGGGGTATTACTGGGTTATTGCTTTTATTTTTTATCTTATATACTGTGATATTTTTATGTGAACCGCCCTGAGACTTCCGGGTATAGGGCGGTATATGAATTCAATAAATTAAAATTTTGAAATAAAATAAATAAAGGAAATAAGAGGCTCACACTAGCACCCTTTCCACTTGCATATTACCTTTTCTATAGGCAAGTGACTTTCCCCACAGGCAAGTCACGTAAAATGCTCCCGCCCCAACCCCGAACAGTCTGAAATGGTACAGCCCAGACGCAGGGCTGGCGAACTCTCAGCAGCTGTGGGGGAAGTTGGCAAGGAGCTGGGCATGACTGGCAGAATGAATGAATGATGCAAAATAAGCTAATGTTATGGCTTATATGTTAAGCACGTACACACAGCTCCAAGGGCTACGAGGCAGAGCGACAACGCTTTGTCGACACGGTTGGAGAAAATAAACGCTTCTGAATATCAGGAGGGGAGAAGGTTCCTGTGCTCAGGTCCTGGCTGGACTAGATCCGCCTGATCCAGCAGAACTCTTCTTATGTTCTTAGGCCAATTAAGAAATTTCTTCCTTTTGTTTTTCCCCCCGTTGCATTTTTAAGAACACCAGGCCCTGCTCGACGTGTCGAGGACAGAGATATACAGTGGTACCTCGGGTTACATACGCTTCAAGTTACATACGCTTCAGGTTACAGACTCCGCTAACCCAGAAATAGTACCTCGGGTTAAGAACTTTGCTTCAGGATGAGAACAGAAATCGGGCTCCGGCGGCAGCAGGGGGCCCCATTAGCTAAAGTGGTGCTTCAGGTTAAGAACAGTTTCAGGTTAAGAACGGACCTCCAGAACGAATTACGTACTTAACCCGAGGTACCACTGTATGTGGAACCAGTTTCGTTTTGTTTCTCTCACTCACGTGCTATTCTTATGTTTTCATTTAAAAAAGAAAGAAACACGTTAAGGCAAGATTGATGATAAATGCAGAAGCTAACGGCTTTAACTTCTCTCACGATAATGAGATCAGGGGTGGTCCATGGACAGAAGGGGAAGCAAATCAGTTACGTGAAGGAGATTTTGACCAAGATGCTAAGTGACCATTGAACCACCTCCAGCTCAGAGCAGAACACCTTGTTATTTCTGGAACCAGCACAAAAAACCCCCACCAAGAATGAAAATAAATGATGGGAGAGAGCACCACCCCTCTGACTTTTGAGGAAAGCACTGGCTACTGGAAGATTAAAAAAAAAAAAAAGGATTGCATTTCCATCCTGCTTTTTCCTCTATGGAGCTCAAGGTGGCATGAATGGTTCTCCTTTTCTTCATTTAATCCCCCCAGCAACCCTGCGGGGTAGGTTAGGCTGAATGGGGATTTGAAGACTGCTCTTCCAGATCCTAGTCCAACAATAACCACTACACTACACTTGAGGCAGGTTATAGGTATCCAGCCCAGATAAAAGCTCAAAATCTGAGCAACTGCTGCATAGGCTGCAAAAGTTATCACTAGTTCAAAGAGAGGGAGGTACCTTCGAGGTTGGCACGTGAGTTTGACTTCCCTTTTTTTCCCCTCCAGCTCAGCTAGCTGCGTGGCAATTTCTGTCTGATGGGAGGGAGGAACTGTGCAGTTCAAGTTACCAGTCCTCAGGAAGGAAATGCAAGAAGCATTCGCTCCGAAAGGGATAAATCAACACCCTCCAGCACCTGCTTCTTCCAAAAAGCCATTAGAGACACTTCAGCAAATGGACAGAGCACTCTGAACATTCAGGTTTTGAATTTAATCAAGGAACCCCCAGGTTTTAAAGTGCTGGTATACATAGATAGAGGGGATGCAGGTGGCGCTGTGGGTTAAATCACAGAGCCTAGGGCTTGCCGATCAGAAGGTCGGCGGTTCGAATCCCCACAACGGGGTGAGCTCCCGTTGCTCGGTCCCAGCTCCTGCCAACCTAGCAGTTCGAAAGCACGACAAAGTGCAAGTAGATAAATAGGTACCACTCTGGCAGGAAGCTAAACGGTGTTTCTGTGCGCTGCTCTGGTTCACCAGAAGCGGCTTAGTCATGCTGGCCACATGACCCGGAAGCTGTACGCCCGGCTCCCTTGGCTAGTAAAGCGAAACGAGCGCAGCAACCCCAGAGTCGTCCGCGACTGCACCTAATGGTCAGGGGTCCCTTTACCTTTATACATACATAGATAGATACCCTGCTGGTCTCTGCCCCCTTCCTCATCCCATTATTGTGCAGGGCAAAAGACAGCAAAAAAATAAAATAAAATAAAATTCACTACTACCAGCTAGCTAGAATTCCAAGTGCAGATAGCATTGCACACCTAAATCAAATGTTGCACTGAGAAAAACAGGAGGCGGAAAATGCACTACTTTGGCCTTTGCAGCAACACAATGCGTGTGCATGAATGGGAAGGGGCACCAGAAGAGAACAGGTAGCAGGGCACAGATCCGGGAAAAGCTATACATATAGCTCAGTGGGTCTGAGCATGTGCTTTGCACGTGAAAAGTTCCAGGTTTAATCCCCAGAGGGATAACGCTATATGGAATCCTGGAGAGCTGCTGCAGATCAGTGTGGTCTATATGAAGCTAGGTGAACCACCTGTCTGACTCAGGATAAAGTGACTTCTTGAGTTTCTGTCTTCCACCCAGGTAAAAGGTAAAGGGACCCCTGACCATTAGGTCCAGTCATGGCCAACTCTGGGGTTGCCGCGCTCATCTCGCTTTACTGGCCGAGGGAGCCGGCGTACAGCTTCCGGGTCATGTGGCCAGCATGACTAAGCCGCTTCTGGCGAACCAGAGCAGCGCACAGAAACGCCATTTACCTTCCCGCCAGAGCGGTACCTCTTTATCTACTTGCACTTTGACGTGCTTTCGAACTGCTAGGTTGGCAGGAGCAGGGACCGAGCAACGGGAGCTCACCCCGTCACGGGGATTTGAACCGCCGACCTGCTGATCGGCAAGTCCTAGGCTCTGTGATTTAACCCACAGCGCCACCCGCGTCCCCATCCACCCAGTTCTCCCCAATTCAAAGAATCGGGAAGAGAGAAGAACCTGGAGCTGGCTGCTGCCAGCCAGAGCGGACAGAACTGGGCTGGAAGAATGAAAGGCCTGAGGTCCGTATGAGGCGGCAACTTCCCTAGGACACAGAGGGGATCTCAGCAGCCGGTTCGCCTCAGGAAACAGGAAACGTGCAGAACTGCAGACATCCTCCGAAAAATAAACCCTTTAGAAACCTATTTGGCGATAATAAACCAGCCAGGAATTCATCCTCCAATCAAGTGGCACGTACCAAGGTAATTTAAGTAATTTCTACATCTGATAAAGGGCAGGCTTATCGCTTGGAAGCAAATGCACATCCAAAGTCCGCCTTTGTTATGCCAAGTCATTTGGTAAAGACAAGGGTGAAGGTTCAAGGGTCAGGGTCCCAAAGGGGGCTTATAAATGGGCAGTGGGGGGCATTGTTGTTGTTTAGTCGTGTCCGACTCTTCATGACCCCCTGGACCAGAGCACGCCAGGCACTCCTGTCTTCCACTGCCTCCCGCAGTTTGGTCAAACTCATGCTGGTAGCTTCGAGAACACTGTCCCACCATCTCGTCCTCTGTCGTCCCCTTCTCCTTGGGCCCTCTATCTTTCCCAGCACCAGGGTCTCTTCCAGGGAGTCTTCTCTTCTCATGAGGTGGCCAAAGTCTTGGAGCCTCAGCTTCAGGATCTGTCCTTCCATTGAGCGCTCAGGGCTGATTTCCTTCAGAATGGAGAGGTTTGATCTTCTTGCAGTCCATGGGACTCTCAAGAGTCTCCTCCAGCACCAGAATTCAAAAGCATCCATTCTTCGGCGATCAGCCTTCTTTATGGTCCAGCTTTTTAAGATGCTGTCTAGGTTTGTCATTGCTTTTCTCCCAAGAAGAAGGCGTCTTTTAATTTCGTGACTGCTGTCACCATCTGCAGTGATCATGGAGCCCAAGAAAGCAAAATCTCTCACTGCCTCCATTTCTTCCCCTTCTATTTGCCAGGAGGTGATGGGACGGAAGTGACTACCTTTGGAAACCCAGTTATTTACATCACAGAGTTGTCCCGTCTACTTTTGCCTCTGGCCCCACCCACCACTCGCACGTGGCCCCCAGGAGGGAATGTGGCCCTTGAGCTGGGAGCGGGGCCCCCCACAGATGTGACAAAAGCTCTCATGAGAGAGGAGTTATCTCAGTGGGGTTGGTGAGTGTTATCTGCAAGGCCAAAACATGACTTCACACCAGATAAGGAGGTGACTTGAATCATCTTCTGACTACCCCTTTGTTTTAAAGGCACAAAGGGTGTACTTGTTGTATCAGCTGCTCAGAACAAAAGGTTTTGTTTGTTCTATATTAGGCAATTCCTCTTTTTTCCCTTTTTTACTCCATTTTCCCCTCTCCGGTCAAGACATCTGCTGAGGCTCCATGCGGCTAAAGGCACATCTTGACAGGCTGGGGAAAATCGATCGATCAATCAATTGATTCATTTCCATATAATGTGACACAAATCAGCCACGGATGATCCTCATGATTTAGGCAAGCCCACACCCGCTCCCTGCCTCAGGCCAACAAAAGACAAGCACAGGCAAAGCCGTAAAACATTCCTGTGGTCTAGTAACTTGGTCGGTCTTATTTTCCAAGGCTGCTAAACATCAGGAGAGGGGAGGAAAAGAACGAAGGGCGCAAGATAGAGAACCACAGATCCACGCAAGGCATACCGAAAATTATTTGCACATCCTGGGACAGCCTCAGAGAGCGTACCCCTGTCTCCTTTACAAAACCCACCTTCCAAATTACGGACTGCCAGAAAAGGCAGTTTCAAGTAAAGCGGAGGGGGAGAAGAGATCAATTCATTGAAAGCAGGGTGGGGGGAGATTGAAGGGCAAAGTGAGGGAGGGTATTTGATCACAGCACTAGGCCTCTCCTCTCTTTGATTCAATCCAACCACACACCCTCAAGAAGAGACCCAGGGGAATTTACAGACCACTCCTAGGATGGGAATGTGTTTCAGGTTCAGAATCACAGCATTGTAGAGTTGGAAGGGACCACGAGGGTCATCTAGTCCAACCCCCTGAAAATGCAGGAATCGTTTGCCCCACGTGCGGCTCGAACCCACAACCTTGACTTTAATGTGAAAACTCTCAAGTCACTCGGATCCATTAAGGGTTTTTGTCACTATCTGGAGGGGGTGTTCACCACAATTACTTTTGGTACAAGGATAAACTTTTTAAGTCCTCAGACCTTTCAGAGCAAGAACTGGGGGAATCAGTATCTCCGTGTCTCTCCCTGCCCTTCTAAAAAGAGGGGAATTATTATCAAAGCAGAGGAAGCTAAGAAGAGATTCAAAGGGTGGACAGAGAAGAATGTGTGCACAATTACATATGCCAGTTCATTGGAGGAAAGTATGCTAAATGGCATGATTTGGTAGTGTGTGTCCCCTCACCCAAATCCGTTATTTGATTTGCGTGCACAGATGCTGCTCAGGGTCCCTTTCCAACGCTACAATTCTATGATTCTACGACTACAACTCCCATCATCCCCTGACAGTTTAGTCAAGGATGATGGGAGTTGTGGTCCCACAACATCTGAGGGCACCACCCCTTCCCCAAAGTTTAAGAAGGTTGCTTTAAGGCGGGGGTTCCCAAACCTGGGTCTCCAGCTGTTTTTTTCCTCAGACTACAATTCCCATCATCCATGACAACTGGTCTTGCTAGCTAGGGATGATGGGAGTTGTAGTCCAAAAAAACAGCTGGAAACAGTTTGGGAAACACTGTTTTAAGGTATACAGAGCAGATGGAGGGAAGGGTGATAATACTACTGGCAATGAGTTACATTCATTAAAGAGAGAGAGAGAATATGTTGTTGGGCGAGTGTTATGAAGAACTGGCTAATTAGTTTCTCTTTCACATATAAACCTGCTAGTTTTGATACATTTTAAATTCACATGCTGGACACATGATGTTACTGAGTTATCAACTGATTAAGTACAAAAGTCAGGTCGGTAGGCCCATTTTAAACAAAACCACTGAAGACTGGAGTAAGCTCACATCAAAATCTGTGGCTCATCTGTGAGATATTGGTGGATTTTTGTGGATAAAATATAGCTGTAGGTCTACAGAGCATAAGCTTTATTAATACTCAGGCAGAAAAAAGTACGCATAGTCAAACACAGCTGTGGGGGTGGGGTGGAAACGATGTAAGTTTATAATTTTTGCACCGGCTGATTTTTATTATTTTAAATCTCATTACAAAATCATCATCTGCTAATTTAGCAGCTGTTCTCTCTGTGCTTGAGCTCACAATATTCCCACAAGGGGGCAGGGAGAAAAGGCACGGAAGCACCACTTGGAACCTCAGAACGTTATTGCAATTATTATTATGTATTAAATCTGCATACTGCCCTCCACCTGTAGATCCCAGGGCGGCTCACAATGCAGAGAAGCGTGTTCCATCACAGGCCAGCAGTGCAAGCCAAGCCACTCCTTCAGGAGCAAAATCCCCCGATTTCACCACCAAAATGCCTGCCCCCCGCCCTCCTTTGAATTCTTCAGCCCCGAATGAATTCTAGACCATCTGTGTGCATGCAGAGTGCAGCTCCCTCGTCAGCCAAGCATGCCTCAAGCATTTCTGCAGCGGACTCAAAATCATCTTGCCCTCCCATCACCCTCTATTTTTAAAGAAATTTGCCAGAAAAATCTCCCAGTCTCGCTGAACATCTGTTCCTGCCTGCCATCCTGACACCCCCTTCAACAGCCCTCGATTCTTGGGCACGCACACCACCGTAGCCCCCAAAATGTACCCACAACAAAAGCCATATTCCATATATATATAAATATGTGTGTGTGTGTGTGTATATTCTCATTCCTTTCCCCTCACCTTCCCCCAATCCCTCCACACCTTGTTCTCTCTCCCTTGAACCTGCCTGTTTTTCTCAATTACGCACGTACATTTCCTGTCCATAACACACAGACCCGACTCTAAATCTTACCCCCCCCCAAATCCAGCCTTACCATCTCCTCCACAATGTCATCCCCCTGTCCCCATCCCCTTTCAGAGCTTAGGAAGTGTTATTAGGAAAGACAACACAAAATTTGTGAAGGATCTACATCCCCCCAGAAAGAAAAACAGAAAATTTCATATTGGGGGGTGGTCTCTACGACTCCTTTCTATGGTGCACAACGGGAGCCCACACCACAAGGATGCCAATCACAGCAGTGAAAGGAAGCTGAGGTTTTTGCAGAATAAAGGGGGGGCATTCCATTCCCGCCCTCCTGCCACCACAAAAGAGGAACAAACAGCAAAGGTTGAATGAAAATCAAGGAAGTGACAACTGCCTGGGAATAAAGGGTATTTTTAGCGTCATCTGTCTGCCTGCTTGCGTTTGCAAAATCTAAAAATACTCAAAAGGGTGAATATGGGAGGGGTGGCAGGTCTTAAACGTGCCCCCCCACACATCCCCGTTATTTCAGACATGGCGAGGGGCTGTATCTAGTGCCTTACTGAAGAGGAAAAATGGAAGGTGGGGGCGCTGAACACATATATCTGGTCAGATGATGCTTTCAGAACACCCCCCCCCCTGTCGATTTCAACCATCAGAGCATTTGGCATCCACTGGCGTTTGTGGGGAGGGGGGTATCGCTAGGCACCCACCACCACCATATACCTAACACCTGTAAGGGGGGGGGGATCTGTTAATTTTTTTTACACTGACACAGGAATCAGTTAATCGCCTCCAGGTATGCTAATGGAGGAGAAAAAGGGAGGGAGGAAGCAGGCACTCCCATTTAAAAAAACAACAGCAGAAACATTATATGCAGGCAGATTTTTAAAAAAATGTATTTAATGCTAGCTTTTCCCTGCAAAATATATTTAAAAAGAGGGAAGAAGAGGCAATTCTCCATCAAAGCAAGCAGAGATTAAATGGATGGGGACAAGATTAAAGCGGAATGTCCGACTATTTATTAAAATCTCCTTCCCTAGATCCTGGCTACATCAAGAAGATTTCGAGGGGGGGGTAAAACAGGGCTCTCATATACGTCCTCCTCCAAGGAGGGGAAGGATCATACACGATGACCTCATTTATTTCTCGCAATCTTAGGGGAAATGTAACACCGCATGTTGTTTATTTCTCTCCTTGCCTATTTTAGGGGGCTTTCTCCCCCCCACACTCCACGATTCAAGTGGGGGAGGGATGAGATGAGAGATGCAACATTGCAACCAGTTGACCCCTTTGCCTGCGGAAAGATGCGAGGTTTGGGGAGGAGGGAAGGGGGAAAGCTTGGCGGTGGCGGGAGAGGCACCCCCCCCGGCCATCTCTTTCAAGGTGGAGGAAGGCTCCTTGCCCCCACCCCGCTCGATCTCTTCCAGCCGCCTCACGTCCTTGCCCTGATCCCCCCCCCTCCTTCCCTAGATCGCCTTAGGCTGATGTGTGGGTGGGCGAAGAGAGACACAAAAGGATAACGCGCTTTGGCGTGGGGGATGGGGGGGGAGCGCAACGTTTCTACATGCATTTCTCACCATTGCGCTCCCTTCACCCAGCCCAACGCCCTGAAAACCGGGTTGTTGTTTTGCAAAGGACGGCGGCCAAGCCCTTCGCCGCCGCTGCCTCCTCCTCCCCCTCCCCAAAAATGGGGGTCCAAACCTAATGCACAAACACTAATGCAAGCCGGGGGTGATTGCACGCCATCGATCTCGTTGCAATGACCCCCCCCCCTTAAGCACCGATAAAGGAGGAAAAAGCACCCGCGGGGGTCCACTGCGTGGGCGGCTCTGAGCCGCCTTCCCTCCCTCGCGCCGGCGAGCAAACGTCAAAACCCTCTCTTTTCACATGCACCCGCCTCTATGCACCCTGAAGAGCATTGCTCGCCCCGCGGCGCTTTGCAAATCGGGCGCTACTCACATCTCCGGGGATGCTGGTCGAGGCGGTTGCGGGGCTCGGAACGGGGCTGGCGGCGGCCGCGGCGGCACCTGCTGCTGGGCTCGCGCTCACTGAATGGTGCGGGACCGCTTCGGCTGAGTCGGGAAGATGGCGGCCGAGCTGCTGGCATCCGGGCACTTCGGAGAAGGGAGCAGGACTGGGGAGGAGGAGGAGGAGGATGAATGGCACTGGGAAAGGGAGGGGCGGGGCAAAGGGAGAGGGAGCACCTGCGCGGCCGCCATGTTGGCTTGCCTCGTTTCCCTCACAGCAGGCCTTTGAATGTGACTCGCTTACCCTCCTTCCCCACCATTGATGACCAGGGAATGGAGGGGGGGAGCGGGGGGAATGAAATAAAATAAAATGAAATAAAATAAAATAAAAGTGTTCAGTACAAAATGAGGGATGTGTGTGTTGGGGAGAGAGAAAAAGGCAGAAAAAGCACAATGACAGGGTCACCTCACAATCTGAGGGGACAACTCTCTCCGTCCTGCCTTGCTGCTTTAAGCCTTAAGGTGTAATGAGTGTAAAAACCACCATAAATGCAAATGAGCCGCCTTCCTCCATTAATAAGCTCTTTAATACCTCTCTAAAGCCTTTGCACTGGACCATCAAGAAGGCTGATCGCCGAAGAATGGATGCTTTTGAATTCTGGTGCTGGAGGAGACTCTTGAGAGTCCCATGGACTGCAAGAAGATCAAACGCATCCATTCTTAAGGAAATTAACCCTGAGTGCTCACTGGAAGGACAGATCCTGAAGCTGAGGCTCCAAGACTTTGGCCACCTCAGGAGAAGAGAAGACTCCCTGGAAAAGACCCTGATGTTGGGAAAGATGGAGGGTGCAAGGAGAAGGGGACTGTTATGTACTGAAGTTCTTACCCTGGGCCAGCAAGGGGATACTGTAGATAGTTATGCAAATGAAGGATCGAAAGTGACGTTCAGTGATTGGATAGTTTGTATGCAAATGAAGGATCGAAAGTGACGTTCAGTGATTGTATCGTTTTAGAAAATGGCAACAGTTACATTGTTCTGGAGCTCTATATAAGCAGGCTGACTGAGTTCCTCAGTTCAGTTCTGTTCCAGCTTACAAATAAAGAGCTGCTTTGGAAGAATCACTGTGTCATCTGATATGTTCGCCCACAACCTAACAGGGACAACAGAAGACGAGGTGGTTGGACCGTGTTCTTGAAGCTACCAGCATGAGTCTGACCAAACTGCGGGAGGCAGTGGAAGACAGGAGTGCCTGGCGTGCTCTGGTCCAGGGGGTCATGAAGAGTTGGACACGACTAAACGACTAAACAACAACAACAAAGCCTTCGTGGCTGTCATGAGGGGAGGGGGCTACACCCATCCCCACTTCTTTTTGCTTGGTTTTAAGTGTGGTATTTATGGGAGGCCCTTTTAGGGAAAGCACAGCAGGGTAGGAAAGCATCAGAGTGCAACACCCGCAATGAGCTTAGTAAAAGCCAAGATGGAGTCGCCATGAGCCAAGGAAGCGTGCCTCCTAAGTACTTTGGGGTACCTCACGGAAATAAGATTTATAAATGGAATGGCCTATCTATGGTTACTGCATGGCACACTGTGGAGAAGGAAGCTTCCGGTTCTGCTTGAGTTTCCCAGAAGCCCCTAGCCGAACGCCATTTTTTGACAAGATGCTGTGGTCAAGACGGATGCTGGGTTAGACCCAGTAGAGCTTTTACGGCAACATGGCTTTGTCCTGGCTTTGAGGGAAAGAAGCTGCTAGGATTGGGCTGTAGACAATCCCGTATTTGTCCAGCTAAAATTCCCGAAGAGTCAGTGTGGCTTGTTGCAGGAATTTATGTATAGGTTGGGGTGGGTTGCCCCTCCAGCAGATATCATGCACATGCAGCCCACTACCAAAACCAGCACAATCGCTTTTGTGGCTTTTGTGATTTGTCCCCACAAAACACCCCATCACAGTTTCTTCCTATCTATTCAAAGGGCCTCTACTGCAAGACGCCAAATGTAACAATTCACTGAAAAATGTATCTGTGTACTGGCTCACAGGGAAAACTTCAGAAATTCATATAGACATGTGAGCTCAGCTGCTCAGCAGCCCCTCTGCCTGAGAGATAATCCCTGGCATCCTGATACCTGAGTGCCAGACAGGTAGCCATTCCAGAAATAAACCCAGATGAAGACAAAAGGGTGTGATTCACTTGGCTGGGAAACAGGGAAATGTAAAGATCTTTTTTGTTACACTTGATGGGTGTTTGGTGGAGGGCAAGAACCATGGAGCAGGGTCCAGGATGCTCAGATTACTGCCACCCGACCTCCCTTTTCATGATGTAACCGTGATGTATGAGTGATGTAGTTTGGGGGGGGTGTAACATGGGGATTAGCAGCTAATAAAAGTTTGGGTTCTCTTTTGTCCGGGGCTTCCATCTTGTTCCACCTTGTGGCAGGTGGGAGTCCTGTCGCAACAGTCTTCAATAAAGACCAAGCCTACTGGCTGCTGTTTTGTATTCCTGGCTGGTGTCCTAGTTTTTTGTCCGGGGAGCCCTCAGATTTCTCCATTAACAAGCTAAAGCAGGTGAATTGAGAAGTGAAGGCACGCGGTGCATTGTCAAACTATGGAACTTGCTCCCACAGGAGGCAGGGATGGCCAACTTGGTTTTAAAAGAGGAGACAAATTCACGCAGAGGGCTATTGATGGCTACGCTCTTGTCTCCACAGTCAGAGGCAGCAATGTTTCTGAATACCAGTTGCTGGAAACCACAGGAGGGGAGAAGGCTCTTGTGTTCGAATCCTGCTTGCCTGTTTCTCACAGTACATTCTGGTACTTCTGGGTTTCAGTGCATCCGTAACCCAAAAACGCACAACCTGAAGCATCTGTAACCCGAGGTATGACTGTATTCAGGTATCTGAAGAAGTGTGCATGCACACGAAAGCTCATACCAATAACTAACTTAGTTGGTCTCTAAGGTGCTACTGGAAGGAATTTTTTTATTTTATTTTATTTATTTTACTTTGTTTCGACTACCAACACAGCTACCTACCTGTAAGGAAAACACAGCTAGAGCAAAATCGTCTCCAGGAAACCACCCAAGGGGGCGTTGAGCCACAGATACTCAACAGTCCAAGTGGCTGAAAAGTTGAAATACAAAGGATCTTTGGGGAAAATTATACACCTAAAAGCCAGTTAGTGGAGGTGGGTGGTCTCAAAATGACCTGCTGTAGATCTGTACAGTGGTATCTCAGTTCTCGAACGTCTCCGTCGACTAGCAGTTCGGAACCCGAATGCTGAAAACCCAAAAGTAAATGTTTCCGTTTTCAAACATGCCTTGAAAGTCTAACTGCTTCCGCTGCGTGTTTTTCGGTTTTTTTCAACTGAATTTGTGGACAGCCCTTTGCACCTTGGCTTTCGAATGTTTCAGAAGTCGTCTGGAACGGATTACATTTGAGAACCGAGATATGACTATACTAGGATTCAGCAACCAAGCATGTGCTGAGAGTAAACACACTAAAATGAATGTATATGACCACCGTCGGCTCATGTCAGGGAGCCTACTCAAAGAAGTCCCAATTTATTTCAGCCTCTCTCTCGCCAAGAATATGCTGTGTAGTTTTGGACTAGGACAGAGCTTTCCAAACTTTGCAGCATGACACACCAGTGTGCCGGTTGCAGTGTGTAGGTGTGCAAACATTCTCCCCGCTCCTCCTGGGGCTGGAAAAGGGTTAGCGTAACCTCTCGTTTGCTAGTAAAACTGAATTACTGCATCGCGAAATGATGCGTGTTTGGAAAGGTCCAGACTAGGACCAGGGAGAACAGAGATTCAAATTCCATCCAGCCATGCCAATCACTATCTCTTGGCCTAATGTACCTTCACAGGGTTGTTGCACGAATAAAATGAGGAGTCATAGGAACACAGTATTGTAGATTTGGAAGTACTCCAAGGGACATTTAGTCCACCACCCTGCTGCTCGGAGGGAAGGTGTGGTACAAATATAATAAATAGGTAACAATTGCTAAACATGCATCTGAGCTGTGCTACTTCAAACTGCAAATGATGTACAGGAGAGCACTTTTTAAACCAAAAAACACACAAACCCATCTAATCTTTATCTTGCAGGAGACAAGTGTTCTTTTAATTTTGGGGCAGAGGAAATCTCACTGTTGTGCTTTGCTTTTGCAAATTATATCATCTAAACTTGTTAGCTGCTCGTTACACAAAAAAGTTCTCCAAGCAGCTTACAACATATTTGAGTGCATAAGCGTGGATATAATACACAATAAAAACACATGAAATTCATGTCATCTACTTGGAATATAGCTTGCATCTTTCTCTCTTCTTTAAACTGATTTTGGCATTATTAGCCATCTCACATACCAATAATGGCAGAGGCCACTAAAAACCCCAAACTGAATGCTGAGAGCCTATATTTGTAAGCCTAAAGCTGTACTGCTCAGGTGCACCTAAGGTAGTTATTGGCCTCCTCTGCCATTATTTCTAAACACCATGAAACTTTGAAGCTACGATTTGAAGGGGGTGTCTAGGAAAGACGTAACCCACTTGTCCCATGCATTTCCCCACTAGGATACCCTCAGAAACAGTAGGCAGGTTCACCCCCCGCCCTTTTCCTGTACAAAGGAAAAAACTGTACTCTGGCAGCTAAATAAATCAGAGGGCTGCAATTTTAAATGCATCAGTGCCACAAGAGTGGAAACTTTAAGAAGCCTCTCTACCCTATTGCTTTTCTGCTTCCAACTACAGTGGTACCTCAGGTTAAGTACTTAATTCGTTCTGAAGGTCCGTACTTAACCTGAAACTGTTCTTAACCTAAAGCACCACTTTAGCTAATGGGGCCTCCTGCTGCTGCCGCACCGCCGGAGGACAATTTCTGTTCTCATCCTGAAGCAAAGTTCTTAACCTGAAGCACTATTTCTGGGTTAGTGGAGTCTGTAACCTGTACAGTGGTACCTCGGGTTACATCCGCTTCAGGTTACATACTCCGCTAACCCAGAAATAGTGCTTCAGGTTAAGAACTTTGCTTCAGGAAAAGAACAGAAATAGCGCGACGGCAGCAGTGGGAGGTCCCATTAGCTAAAGTGGTGCTTCAGGTTAAGAACAGTTTCAGGTTAAGAACGGACCTCCGGAACGAATTAAGTACTTAACCCAAGGTACCACTGTACAGCCTCACTGGCTATTTTTATGTCTTATTTTAGAAGGCAGTTGGGGCACTACATGCAACTGTCGTGTTACCCCCCTCAGTGAGAATTAGCCCTTTCCATTGAATATTCCATTTATGCTTTTATTTCTTGAAATTCTCTCTCCCATCGTGGAGCTCCATGCAGCATACATGAAATCTCTGCTTTCCCGCACTGACCAACACAGGCCTGCAAGCATAACATCCACGCCTTGCTTTCTTCTTCTGACCAATTTCTCCAGGCTGTCTTTTGGAAAGTCCAAAGGAAGAGTTTATGGCAGGGCGGGGCGTCTGGGCAGGAAAGTACATGTACACTCAGCCCGAGCCACCGCCCCCAGCATAACAATGAGTCCTCTGTGTCAAGCGCCAAGCCAAACCCCACCCATCTGTTTCTGCGCTTTGAGGAAATCGGAAATAACCATCCAAAGTTTCAGCTGGACGAAGGAACAGGAGGCACAGCCAATCAAGTATATATAAAAAATAATATTAGTTTTATTAAAGACGCAAACATCTCCGTAGGATAATGCCACAAGATCAATGTCTTAGAACGGTCTGGGTGACTGTGGGCCTATTAAAAAGAGCTTTTCGGAGAGTAAGGATTAAAGGCCTTCAGTTCCAACTGAAGCAACACCCATTTTTCAATACGGACTCTGAAGCAATCGAAGCCAGCTTCCCCAGAAGCTTGGAGGGGCAAGTTTATCCCCCAGGAGGCAGAAATAAACTACTCGCCTAGCAGTTCTTCCAGCAAGGACCTCCAGGAGCAAAAAATAAAAATAAAAATAAAAAATTAAGACCCTACAATCATTTGAAAGAAAACCTTAAAACATAACCAAACCAAAATTCTTCCTGGGCCATCGCTCGGTTATGACCAGTCCCTCCTCATGTGTCCCTCCTTAGAGCTAGTTCACAGGCCCAGCGTTATAGACAGGAGGCAGCACCCGCCGCGAGTTGGCTTTCACCCAAGGGTGCTCCATCACACCCTGAAGCGGCAGTCGATCAGCCGGGTTGTGGCGCAGCAGCTTTGAAATCAAGTCCCGGGCACCTTCTGTCACAAACGGGGGGAACTTCAGATCTACCTGTATTTGGGGTACGGGAGAGAGAGAAAAGGGAGTCAAGACCACGAACCAGAGAAAAGCAGGCATGGGAGGATTTAGCAAGGGACAAACGCTTCCTCGGCTTCTGAACGCATTTCTCTCTCACACACACACACTTGGAAAGACATCTCTGGTACTTGCATTGGTAACATATTTAGGCAGGAAGCAAGTGAGCTCCCGTTGCTCGGTCCCTGTCCCTGCCAACCTAGCAGTTCGAAAGCACGTCAAAGTGCAAGTAGATAAATAGGTACCACTCCGGCGGGAAGGTAAACGGCGTTTCCGTGCGCTGCTCTGGTTCGCCAGAAGCGGCTTAGTCCTGCTGGCCACATGACCCGGAAGCTGTACGCCGGCTCCCCCGGCCAATAAAGCGAGATGAGCGCCGCAACCCCAGAGTTGGTCACGACTGGACCTAATGGTCAGGGCTCCCTGATCGGCAAGTCTTAGATATATAATAAATGTTCATAAATGTACCAAGCAAACACGTACATAAATATATAAAGCACATGTCTGAAGCAGCACAGGAAGACAGTCCTGAAACCATTTGGACTCCCAAACTGACCAAATGGGAGGAGGTGGGGAAAAAACCCTTCCTTGTTACAGGAATTTAGTAACCACCATCTCAAAGGAATGGACAGACTACCAGGAAAGGGAATCAGATGGGGCATTATCAGATAACCTGGCAGACAGGAAAAACAACATTCAAATTTCTGTTGTAGACCACCTTTTCTGTGATGTAGGTATGATGTTTGGGGGGGGGGGTCTTGGGTTACACCGCTTCTGTGATGTATGTATGATGTATGGAGGGGTGGTCTGGAGCTCCAGGGCAGGGAATTTAAAATGTCTATATAGGGGCAGGCACACCTTGGTTCTGGGTCCTCCTCCTTTCCTGCGTGTGAGGGGAGCACCCTGTTGCAACAGTTCAATAAAGATCAGGCTTACTAGCTGCTTTGCTTCTCAATATTCTCTGGCTGGCCTCTGTTATTTTCTCCTACCAATAGTATATGGGCTTTTGGATACCCCATAACGGAAAAAGAGCAGATTTTGTTTACAACAGCATCAAGCTTTCCTTCTCCAAGATGGGCTACTTTCACAGGTGGACGAGCCCCATCTGCCCCTCACTTCCCTCTGTACTCTCCTCAGGTAGCTTTCCCTATTTTGAATTATCATAAGACATGGTGGAAGGGAGATCTCATTTTTGCCTACTTTATTGCTAGACAGCCTGTGCTCAGCCAGTTGGTATGTTGTATGTATAAGGAAATTTTGCCCATGGTATGACTATTTTCCACCTTCTCATTTCGACTCTCTGGCACCCTACCTGCATAACCTAGCAATCCCAAAATATAGACACGCTTTTACCCTCGCAAAATTGAATGTACTGCCCTCGGCTGTACTTGAGGGACGATTCCAACACATTCCACACGAAAAACGCTTATGTCCCTGTGGAGATGGCAGTCCCAAATCGGTGGCACATGCCCTTCTGGCTTTCACTCTTTATAAAGACTTGAGGAATGAGATGATCACCCCTCTTTTATTGTCCATTCTGGGTCATCCAACCACTGCCACGGTGCCCTTTCTCTTGGCAGATCAAGATGAGCAGATGAAAGCAAAGTCTGCAAGGTTTTTAGCTGGGCCCACTATTTGACTGCTGATTCAGGATCCTAAAGTGTGTTTTATATAATTGACTTTTTATTTCAGTTTTTTATATATTGCATTGTTGTATTGTTGCTGTGGCCGATGGCTGACGCAAATAAACATTCATTCATTCATTCATTCATTCATTCATTCAATGTGTCTCTTCCTCCAAAACACCTTGAAGGGTCTTCATGTGCACAAGGCTTCCCCCCGTTCTCCACCCCCACCCTCATTCTCACACCCACCGTCCGAGGAAAGCTAGATCTAGAGAGGTGGGCCCAAGGCCTGCTTGAAGGATGGGAGGGGGGAGCCTGGGTTTTCCCAGCTTTTAAAGTCCAACACTGTAGCCACATGGGCTCCAAACCTCATGATTTCCCAGAAGTGTGCATTGCAGTGCCTCTAGGCTCTCATGAAAGGGTTGTACCCTATTCAGGATACGTGTCTACAGCCCTGAGGAAAGTGGCAGCCAGGCCCAGTGGTGGGTTCTGCGTTGTGGCCAGCAAAGATCCAGCTAGGAAGCAATCACCGTATTTTTTGCTCCATAAGACGCACCTGACCATAAGACGCACCTAGTTTTTAGAGGAAAACACGAAAAAAAATATTCTGAATGAAGGGGAGCCATGGCTCCCATCCGTCCTCCGTGGCTCGCTTTAAAGCGGCAAAGCGGACTGCTCCTTTCCGCTTTGCTGCTTTAAAACAGAGCCTCAGAGGAGGGAAGGAAGGGGAGTCCGTCCATCTCTCCTCCACGGCTCACTTTAAAGCAGCAAAGCAGACAGGAGCCACTTACACATCCCTCCTCTATGCAGCATTCGCTTCATAAGACGCACAGACATTTCCCCTTACTTTTTAGGAGGAAAAAGGTGTGCCTTATTGAGTTAAAATACGGTAATCAGTGTTGCTGACCCTGGGTGGCCCACTCCATTCTGAAGCCGCAAGAACTGGTCCTATGCTTTTCACCAGTTCTGCTGCCACATAAGCTCCCAGGCCTCGTGCTTTTGTCTCTTCCTCTCCCCCTCTACTGCACCACTTCTTGGGACAATCCCCTTTGGGGCCAGAGCCCCCTGGTGCTAGCAGAACCCTCCTGGCACAACCCAGCAACTCTGCACGGAAATTGCTGTCATGAGTGGCAATTGTGGGCCAACTGTGAAGCCGACTGCAAAGCTCACCGATACAATGCGGCGATACGTCTCCGGGGCGGAGGCGGTCTCGAAGGGCGGGTGCCCCACCAGGAACTCATAACACAGGATCCCGATGCACCAGTGGTCCACCTTCTCGTTGTGGGGTTTGCCTTCAATCATCTCAGGGGGCAGGTAGTCCATAGTCCCACACATGGTCTTTCTCCTGAGGCAGAGCAGGAGGTCAAGGGCGGTTAAGAGCTGAAGGGATCTGGGGCAGCGCAGTGAAGAACTAGGGCCTCAGATATCCCGGGCAAACCACCAGGGCAAACCAAACCAAGGACGCCCCCCCTTACCTGAGCGAGGGGGCATGCACGGACCAGCCGAAATCAGCAATCTTCAGCTCCCCCTTCAGCCCCATAAGCAAGTTCTCCGGCTTGATGTCCCGGTGAATGACCTTCTTGCTGTGACAGTAGAGGAGGGCATCAGCCAGCTCTTCCATGTACTGCAGAGGTGAAGCAAAGAAGGGTCCGTTGCGTACACCTTGGGACACCAGTGCCTTGCTATGTGAGAGAGACTTGAACCCACCGCCCTGCTCCTTTGGTGCACTGGGTAACCTCAAACTGCACCCTTTGAATGACAGCCAAACAGATCAGCCACGTACCTACGGGACCGCATCTCCTGGTATGCCCTGTGGAGGACTTTAAGGTCCACAAATAACAACACTTTGGAGGTCATGAGCCTCAAGGAGGTTAGATTGGTTTCAACTAGGGCCAGGGCCTTTTCAGCACTGGCCCCGACATGGTGGAACGCTCTGTCACAAGATACTAGGGCTGTGCGGGACTTGACATCTTTCCGCAGGGCCTGCAAGACAGAGCTGTTCTGCCTGGCCTTTGGTTTGGACTCAGCCTGACCCTTATGTTTCCCTCCCCTTATGGTCTTGATTTATCAGCTACTTTAAAATGAGGCTGCATTTTAAATTGCATTTTAACCTGTATTTTAAATTGGATCCCCCCCCCTTTTGTTTTTACTGTGATTTTATTGGTGCTAGCCACCCTGAGACCGGTTCTGGCCAGGGAGGGCGGGGTATAAATAAATTTTATTTTTATTATTATTTTGCCAGCTCCAGCTGGTGTGCCCACGATGGACGTTCTTGGACAGGCATAGCCTGGCCAGGATGATTCATGCACTGGTGACCTCAAGATTTGATTAATGCAAACAAACTATTGCCAGCACCAATTCTTAAAACCTGCACTGGCTGCCCAAATGGTACTGGGCCCCGTTCAAGATTCTTGTATATAATTTGCTAGATTAGAGTCTTAAGGACACCTTAAAGACCAGCTGATCTCTGCACGTTGACGGAGGTCTTCAGGGGAGGTTATTAGTGGTCCTCCATGGTTCAAATGTTCAGCTTATAACCACCAAAAACCCAACCCCATGGTAGCCATTCCAGACTGAGATTAGGCTAGACCCTTCCCTGAACTTCAGGCCCTTGGCAAAGGCTTTTCTATTTCAGCACGAGTGTTAAGCATGGTCTCAATTTATAGTGTTTATTAACAATAGGAATAGTAATCTCCCTTCTGTCTCAGTCACAGCAGCCAGTATAGAGAAATTATCTTAATACTATAGATGGTAGTATATACCCTGCGGATGTAAGCTAAATCTGCAAGGTAAAAGATTTTCCAAGTCTGTTATGATGCCATGTTTTGTCATCCACATGAATTTACACGTGCTCATAGGTTTTTAAATGTTTCCAATAATAACAACAGGGATGCGGGTGGCGCTGTGGTCTAAACCACTGAGCCTCTTGGGCTTCCCGATCAGAAAGTCGGCGGTTCGAATCCCCGCGACGGGGTGAGCTCCCGTTGCTCAGTCCCTGCTCCTGCCAACCTAGCAGTTTGAAAGCACGTCAAAGTGCAAGTAGATAAAGAGGTACCGCTCCGGTGGGAAGGTAAACGGCGTTTCTGTGTGCTGCTCTGGTTTTGCCATAAGCGGCTTAGTCATGCTGGCCACATGACCCGGAAAAACTGCCTGTGGACAAACGCTGGCTCCCTCGGCCTGTAAAGCGAGATGAGCGCCGCAACCCTAGAGTCGTCTGCGACTGGAGTTAACTGTCAGGGGTCCTTTAGGTAAAGGTGAAGGGACCCCTGACCATTAGGTCCAGTTGTGGCCGACTCTGGGGTTGCGGCTCTCATCTCGCTTTAGTGGCCGAGGGAGCCGGCGTACGGCTTCCGGGTCATGTGGCCAGCAAGACTGGGCTGCTTCTGGCGAACCAGAGCAGCGCACAGAAACGCCGTTTACCTTCCCGCTGAAGTGGTACCTATTTATTTACTTGCACTTTGACGTGCTTTTGAACTGCTAGGTTGGCAGGAGCAGGTACCTTTATCTTTTACTAATAACAACAGCAATAATAATAATAATAATGTGTTCTCTTTCAAGGTTGTACGTTAATTGCTCTTATTCAATGTAGGTGTTTTCTTTAAATCAACAGTTCATGTTCACCAAGTATGTTCAACCAGTCGATCGCGGGGCATTCCTAGTTGATCCTCAACAACTGTGGTGAAGGCTCCCCCAAAAAAGCTCAGCAACTTTGGTCAATCCAGTGGGTAGATCACTGCCAGTTTTTTTTATATACTGGGAGTAGATCACAGTCTCTTGGGAGCTGGATGTGCCTCATGTACACCATTTAGCCAGTGGCTGTCTGCCACCAGGGACCATTTTTGGGCTATGCTCTCCTGCTGAGCTACACCCCATCCCCTGGCAACATCCTCCCGCCTTTCCGCCAACGCATGTGGTACCTTAAGGTTTAAGGGCCCCCAAGCTGTTATTTAACCTCTGAGCCCAGGCACAGTCATGCGCAAGCTCACCGTGGCGCTCCTCTGCTCATCAAAACGCCGGTGTTTCTGCAGTTCCTTGTAGAGCTCCCCACGAGGGGCATACTCCAGGATCAGATATACACGCTTCCGGTCGTGGAAGTAGTTGTAAAGGCGCAGGATATTGGGGTGGCTGCAGAAAAGGGGAGGGGCATTAGAATCGACGACCGGGGAGCGGCAGCAAAGGAAAGAGACATTAAAGCATGGGTAGGCAAACTAAGGCCCAGGGGCCGGATCCAGCCCAATCGCCTTCTAAATCTGGCCCGCAGACAGTTCGGGAATCAGCATGTTTTTACAGTGCTTTTATTTAAAATGCATCTCTGGGTTATTTGTGGGGCATAGGAATTCGTTCATCCCCCCCCAAAAAAATATAGTCCAGCCCCCACAAGGTCTGAGGAACAGTGGACCGGCCATCTGTTGAAAAAGTTTGCTGACCCCTGCATTAAAGGGATGAAGATCCATGGGGCCACACAATTGCCAGCTGAGGGACCACTTTTAATTTAATAGAATTCTTTCACTGCTTTTTTTCTTTTCGTTTGCCGGCTCTTTGCGAGGGACAGAAATTTAACAAACGACATCACCTGTACAGCCGGAAACTGACAGGATTCTAGGGACAACAGCTTCTACACCCAAAGAGAGTCCATCTTTTCCAAAAACTTCCTTGGCCGTTTTTGTCCATGATGCTCACAGGAAGGGGGCAAAGCAGGCCGACAGTGAAAACTATTATGAACTTGGAGGCTCAGAGGCCTTTGGTCTTTTGCAGTACCTGAGGTGACACTGGATTTCAATCTCCCGCCGCAGCTGATGTTCCACGCACTCCTTCTCCATTTGGGATTTGAAGAGCACTTTGAGCGCCACAATGAACTTGGATTCTTTTTCCCGAGCCAGGTAGACGTTCCCAAACTTGCCTTTGCCCAGAGGACGCCCGATCTCAAAGTCATCAATGGTGAATAAGCGCCTAGGGAGTGGAGGATAAATAGATTAGCTGGCATGACACCCCAGAGGAATTTCTCATGTTGCAAGGAGGGGACAGGCACCTTGAAACCCTATTGTTCCCTGCAGGGAGACTCTCCTAACACCATCGCTACATACCTTTAGGCACCAGGCAAAAACATGCCTCTTCTCCCAGGCCTTTGGCTCATTAAACAATCTATGGCCTTTCGAACTGGCAGGGTATTGTTTTGGTTTGCTATTACAGTCGTACCTTGGAAGTCGAACGGAATCCGTTCTGGACGTCCGTTCGACTTCCAAAACGTTTTAAAGCCAAATCGCAACTTCTGATTGGCTGCAGGAAGCTCCTGTTGGGAAACTGTGTACGTGCAGCTACTCACACAGAGTCAATTAAGGTTTGGCAGACAGCCAGAAGGTCATGTGAAGGAGTAAGTCTTCCTGGTGATAACAGAGGCATGGAGACAGCTCCCTGATTGGTCAAGCTCTCTCAAGGGAGTGATAATTAATGGCCTACTAACTGGAATGTGTTAGTTCTGGAGTTCAGTGTGTCAGTGTAAGAGTTGTGTGAGAGAGAGCTAGCAAAAGATCTGAGTTCTGTTCCTGTAAATAGTCCACTGTATATAATAAACACCTAGCTACAAGATCCTTGTTCCTGCTTCGTCTATCCTGTCTGCAGCCAAGTCGCCAATTGCTTCCGTTTCTTTCTGCGTGTATTCTGCTAGGTCTGGCTAAGGTCCTGCAACTAGTCAGAAAGTTGCGAAACACCACATAGGTTTTGCCAATCAGAAGCCGTGGAAGCCCTGTCGGACGTTCGGGTTCCAAAAGAACGTTTGGAAACCAGAACAATCACTTCCGGGTTTGCGGCGTTCAGGAACCAAAACGTCTGAGTTCCAGGGCGTTCGAGATCCAAGGTACACCTGTATAAGTTTGTGTTTTTATATTTAAACTGCTCTGGGATCTTCGGATGAAGAGCGGGGTAGAAATTTAGTAAGTAAATAAACATGGCTAGCCCCAACCCATTCCCAAGTCCAGAAACAGATTTGCAACTGCCAGCTTTCTGAAACCAGTAACAAGGGAACTCACTCAGGGCCTTCCTTTGGCGGCTGAGCCATGGAGCCAGACTCAATAGGAACCCTGCCTGCGACAGCTGTGGAAACAGAAAACAAAGTCATCCATAACACGGCAAGACCAACACAAGCCCCAGCATCCTTTACGACAAGCAGTCTGGGGAAAACCCCAAAGCAATGGGGTGCATCCGAGGCAATTTCAGCAGCACAGGAATCGGTGAGAGGCATTTCCAAAAATTTCCACAAAGCAGACCAGGTCTTACCCATATTCTGGGCACCTGAATCCTTCGGGCCTTTCTTTGTGCTGCTGGAAATAGCTCTGTGGGCCAAAAGCGATCCAGAAGGGGTGATGGATGATGGAGTGTTGGTATCCTTACAGGCAACCCGCTGAGCACTTGTCATGTTGTTCACCCGATACTGCAGGAAAGGGACAACGCAATCAAGAAATAGCCCCATTCAAGGTCACATTTCGTGGTTTTTAAATGAAGACGTACACACAGCCCTGTGTGCAAAGACAGAAAGTCAGTGTATTTGTTATCAGTAGGTTTTCTGAAACACTCCAGTGATCTGATTTAACTTGCTTATGTACTTGTACTTTTAATCTTTTGTTGGAAGCCGCCCAGAGTGTCTGGGGAAACCCAACCAGGTGGGCGGGGTATAAATAACATATTAATTATTATTATTATTACTATTATTACTTGTATTTTGTCAGCAGAGCAAATAACTTTGAAACTGCCAGGTTTGTCTAGTATTAATTGTCTTTACAACTGACATCCATCCACTGTTACCAATGAACTTATGAAATGGGAAAATTTCCATGGAAAAGTAAAATAATGGAGAATGCTCCCCCTCACATAATTGGTTATATACCTTCATTTGAAGCCCCATTAATAAATGTGATACTAGTAAAAGCCACAATTTAGAGCCCACAGGCTACCAGACACAGACACACACACACACGATAGGACTTTTGTCAAGAGCAGAAGATATGGTCAAAGACTAGTCATCCAATTTTTGTCTGTTACACATACAGTGGTACCTCAAGTTACGAACTTAATTCATTCCAGAGGTCTGTTCTTAACCCAAAACCATTCTTAACCTGGGAAGCACTTTCCCTAATGGGGCCTCCCGCCGCCACCACGCGATTTTTGTTCTCATCCTGGGACAAAGTTCTCAACCCGAGGTACTACTTCCGGGTTAGCAGTGTTTGTAACCCGAGGTACCACTGTTGACACATTCCCACCCCACGTTATCGTTTTCCCAGCAGTGGCAGATATAGGCAAGGACTTACTTTGGAAAGGCTATACATACTGCTCAGATTTTCCTTATTTGCCATCTTGGATCACAAGATGATCTGAAAGACCATCGGATCTCAGAATCCTCAGAGGGAGAGACAGCCCGGCTCTGGTGTCCAGCACCAAGTCAGAAAGATTATGACCAAAATTACCGCAGCTCCAGTATTGAATCCCAAGAGTCACTCTGCAAAGGGTAAACAGATATCATGCTGTGGAACTGAACCAATGTTAGGAAATCTAGGTGGCAAATGGCTCCTGGGACATGGATTGTGGGCACCAAATCAGAACATCCAGTCACCATTAAAAAAAAAAGAAAAAAGGAACACCTTTTATTTATTTTTCCAGAAAGCATGAACTAATTCGCGATTCACATCTGACACGTTGTTAATATCACCCTTTTAACAGAAACTGTTAATACATGTTTAATTTTGTGTCCACAATAAAAATACAGTCGCACCTCCATTTACGTAACCAGAGGGTTACATAAACTTTGGGATGTGCACGAGTCAAACCCGGAAGGATCTTACTGGGTTTCGTCACGTGCGCATGCGCAGAAGCGGTCCTCAGGTTGTGGAAACCTCGGGATCCGACTGGACCTCCGGAACGGATCCCATCCGCAACTGGAGGTACCATTGTATTGGCATAATACTTCAGTTTTCAAAAGACTCTATTCTTTATTGTTCAGTTCTGGCCTTCTAATACGCCCTGTAGCAACATCCTCCCACAGCTATACAGTGGTACCTTGGTTTACAAACTTAATCTGTTCCAGAAGTCCATTCTTAAACGAAATCGTTCTTAAACCAAGGCGTGCTTTCCCATAGCAGCGGGGGACTCAATTTACAAATGGAACACCCTCAACAGGAAGCAAAACCTGTTCTTATTTCAAGGTAAAGTTCACAAACCAAAACACCTACTTCCGGGTTTGCAGCGTTCTTAATCCAATATGTTCATAAACTAAGGTGTTCTTAAACCAAGGCACCACTGTACTATACCGACTGATTCTTTTAAAGTAGCAAGGGAATACCTTTGTATCCCTCCACCTGTTGTCAGCTGAGAGTTACTGAAAGCACTGCTACTGTGTTTGGTTTGGCAGCTTAAAGAGTGTCACACTCTTTAAGCACATTCATATATTTATAATAGAAAGGCACTGGGAAGAAAGAATATTGTTTACTCCTTCTAAACATACAAATGGTTGTTTGCAGCACATGAAACTTTCAGGTTAAAAAATAAGGATGTATGCTGCCCCAGTTTATGCTCCATATTTGATCACACTATTATTAATGTGGGCACAGAATAATTGAATGCCTGAGTACAGGTACATGCATATGTCACAGCTTGCAATATAATTGCCTGAAGGGATGTTCCTGCAAGCTTTATTTTTGTGAAAACTTGTTGACTTGCCTTGGGTGTGCTCTCGTTTGGGATAGGGGGATAGAGTCCATTGTGCATACAGTCATTAATTTTCGAGAAAAGGTTCTGACAAAGCCTGGCAAAAATATTATTTCACATCCTGAAATATTACCGTGAACAGATTTAGTGTGTGTTTAATGGCGTGCCTTCCAGCTGCAGGAGAGTTCTCAATCACCTACACCTAACTATATATAAATATCCCTAAAAGTGGCATTTATGAATGCAAGACCTAACAGTTAAATTCAATTACCTTAAGCATGTGTTGAAAAGCATTTCATACCCGGGGAAGTGCTACAGAAATTACAAGCAAAAAACATACCTCCAAGTTAGTAGTATGATGGCAAAATAATCCCCCCCCCCGTGATCTACTTTTCCCTTCTTGCTTTGAGGGTGGGGTGGGTTTGGGGTTCTTGTTGTTTTTTGGTACAATCCAGCAGTTTATAGACTTTATGAATCAAATATAAATGGGAGCAACCATAGGATGCTACTTTCTGCACACTGTTCTGGAATAAACGCCTCGTCTGCACTATAAACATTTTTTAAAAACAGCACCATACCATTTCAAGCAGCGGGGGGGGGGGGCTGGGAAATGTAGATTGGCTAAAGGTGCTGCTGAGATATTAGGAGACACCCCCCCCCAAGATCTATAATTCCCAGAGCGATTCAACAACCAATCCCTCCTCGCAGGGAACTCAGGAAGGGGAAGGGGTCCCCTAACATCTCTCAGCACTCTTAGCAAACTATAGTTCCCAGGATTGGGGAGATCTATGATTGTTTAAAGCACTATGAAGCTGCTTTCCTATGCATGGTGCGGATTGGGCCTTTACCAGCTCTACACGGGGCTGCCCGTGAAGCTGTGCCAGAAACTCCAGCCGGTGCAGGATGCTGCAGCGAGGCTCCTCACGGGGTCTCTGCCATGGGAGCATATTCACCCAGTGCTTTTCCAGCTGCACTGGCTTCCGGTGGAGTACAGGGTCAGATTTAAGGTGCTGGTTTTGACCTTTAAGCCCTTCACGGCCTAGGACCCTCGTACCTATGGGACCGCCTCTCCTGGTATGCCCCACGGAGGACCTTAAGGTCCATAAATAGTAACACCTTAGAGGCCCTAAGGAAGTCAGATTAGCCTCAACCAGAAGCAGGGCCTTTTCAACACTGGCTCCAGCCTGGTGGAATGCTCTGTTCTCATGAGAACAGGGCCCTGTGGGATCTGATTTCTTTCTGCAGGGCCTGCAAGACAGAGTTGTTCCACCTGGCCTTTGGCTCAGAATCAGTTGGATTCCCTCCCCCTTTTTCTTTTTCCTTTCTCCTCCCATGATGAGATTGCTCCCTAATTGTTTTGATGCTGTATCTTAATCTTTTAAATTGTATTTTAATCAACTTGTTTTTATTATTGGTTGTTAGCCGCCCTGAGCCAGGTCTTGGCTGGGGAGGGCGGGGTATTAAAAAATATATATTTATTTATTTTACCCCGAGATCCACCCAGAGGCATTATCCACCCAACCCCATGCAGCCCTGTGGCTCTCCTTGCAATACCGGATCCCAGTCTCCCATCAGGTCCGGGAGGGTGGGAGCCGCAGTCCTGAAGGGGGACACGGGGGATCCCCGTCCCTGCCCCGCCGACCCCTTTTTCCTTCCACCGGCCCGCGAGATTCCCTACCTGCCAGCCAACAGCCTCCCATCCGCGTCGCCGCAAAAACGCCTTTGCCTTCGCTTTTCAAATCTGCCCTCCCGAAGCCCTATTGGCTGCCGCCGCGTTCCAGACGCGCCTCCTAATTGGTTCTCAGAAGCCAGCAGCTCCGCCTCCCCTTCCGAAGGAGCGGGTCTCCCGCTTTCTCATTGGCTAATGGAAGGGCCTCTCGCGAGCCTCTCCTGCCCTTTCCATTGGTCAAGTTTCGACGCCTCTCCAGGGTTAGGAAAGGGGGCGGGATTTGCAAAGGAGAGGAAAGGCTACCGATTGGCTGCTTCCCTGCGCCCTTGACGATGCTCGCTCCCGATTGGTTAAGTCGGGAGATGGCCGAGCGCAAGCTTAGTGGTTACGAGGACCTTGTCAATCTCCCCCCCACTACAAAGCCGGCCAATCAGAAACGAGAAGAGGCAACGTAGGGAGGGATATGTCGGCCATTTTGTGAAACCACCAAGCATTGGGAGACGTGAGCCGAAAGAGGGATGGAGGGCCGCCAGGCAAAACAGCGCACCCTGGAAACCAGAGAAGGGGCGGGACCAGTGTAGAAAGAGCGGCCAATGGTCTTCCGCTAGGCGTATCCCACCAATTGCAGACGAAGGTGGAAGTAGGCGGGCCAACGCGCAACTGATGGACACTTCAGTTGACCAATGCGGAAATAGAAGTGTAAGTGTTGAAGGGCCACCCAAGGTTCATCTAGTCCAACCCGGAGCAATCAAGGAATCAGAAAAACAGAGTCAAGCTCTGCACAGCTAACCAGTATCGAGAAATAAAACTTAATTCTGCTTTTATAACGCTTGAGGTTAGTGAAAGATCGTCAGTATAAATCAGAAAGGAGCAGGCCGGGGCGTTGCTGTTCCCCGGCCAGCGGAGACTCTAATCATGTCTCATGCGCTCTCCGTTCATCATGTTCTGTTCTCCCGGAGGAGGAACAGGTAAGGATATACCTCACTGACGATACCCAGCTCGTCGGGACGTCGGGGCCGCCATTTTGCGCACAGCCTCTCAGGTCACGGTGGCGCAAAAGTGAGCTGCCTTGGAAACTCTTCACGGGAGATTAAAACGCCTCCCGCTGCGGCATTTCGCACCGTTTCCCGCGGCAAAGCTCTTTGTGCAGAGCGGCATATAAGCAACCCTGCCGAAGAGCCGCCTGCTTTCCCAGGGCGCCATGCGCCAGCTAATTTGCATGGGGCGGTGACGTCGCTCGAGAAGTTACAAGGGCAGCCCTACCGTAATTACTGGGAGGAGCCGGGCAGAGCCAGGGGCCTCCGGAATTTCGTTTTTTGTAAATAATTTTTATTAGTTTTCATTAATAACACACCAGCTGATAGAATATCAAACCTTGCCACATCTTAATTCAAATAATAAAGCCAATTATACATTCCAAAATATATATTTCAAAAAAGACTTCCGATGTTCTGGCTGGTCAGCAGAAAATTTCTTATTTCTTGTTCCTGCTTTTTCTCCGTTATTTCCAATATCATAGTTCCGATCTTAATCCTTTATCTAAGGGGCCTCTGGAATTTTGCACGCTGCACCAATGGAAAATAATGGATTTGATACCCATTTGAGACTATGGAGCGTTTAACTTTAGCCAGTTTAATTTTGAATTTTTTTTGGGGGGGTAGGGGACAACGCTCATCTTCCTATTTGCCAGAGACCCTCAAGAAAGATTCTGTGGGGATGCCGACTAATTAATGTCTAGGATGCAATGGCCTCCAGATATTTATTTTTATTTATTGCATTTATAGGTAAAGGTACCCCTGACCATTAGGTACAGTTGCGGACAACTCTGGGGTTGCGGCGCTCATCTCGCTCTATAGGCCGAGGGAGCTGGCGTTTGTCCGCAGACAGCTTCCGGGTCATGTGGCCAGCATGACTACGCCGCTTCTGGCGAACCAGAGCAGCGCACGGAAACGCCGTTTACCTTCCCGCCTATTTATCGACTTGCACTTTGACGTGCTTTTGAACTGCTAGGTTGGCAGGAGCAGGGACCGAGCAACGGGAGCTCACCCCGTCGCGGGGATTCGAACCGCCGACCTTCTGATCGGCAAGTCCTAGGCTCTGTGGTTTAACCCACAGCGCCACCCACATCCCAAAGAAGCCATTAAAATACAGTTAAAAACCACGCAGCATCTAGCACATGGGTAGGCAAACTAAGGCCCGGGGGCCGGATCCGGCCCAATCACCTTCTAGATCCAGCCTGCAGACGGTCCGGGAATCAGCATGTTTTTACATGAGTAGAATGTGTCCTTCTGTTTAAAATTCATCTCTGGGTTATTTGTGGGACCTGCCTGCTTTTTTACATGAGTAGAATGTGTCCTTCTGTTTAAAATGCATCTCTGGGTTATTTGTGGGGCATAGGAATTCATTCATGTTTTTTTCAAAATATAGTCCGGCCCCCCACAAGGTCTGAGGGACAGAGGACCAGCCCCCTGCTGAAAAAGTTTGCTGGCCCCTGATCTAGCACAACACATTACAAGCCCCTCCACCCCCGCAAAGCTATTGCAAAAAGAACATCCATCGCCAACATATTTGTCATAACCTACCTCACAGGATTGTTGCAGGGATGAAACAGGGAGGAGAGCCATGTACGACACCTTGATCTTCTTGGAAGATAAATAGGGTATATAAATGTAATAATTAAATTTGGTCTCCCAGCCTTCTTCCAGGGTCTTTGCGGCAGAAAAAGGGAGACTTGGCCTATTCATTGCATCCTCATAGCAGCCTTCTGGCATTATCCTGAAATGTCCCAACTGGACCCAGTGAACTTCTTCATGGCTGGGCAGGAATTTGAGCTCCAGTCTCCATAGCCCTTTTAATGAACCTTTAAAGAACCTTTTAATGAAGGTGAAAGACGCCTGCTTCTTGGGAGAAAAGCAATGACAAACCTAGACAGCATCTTAAAAAGCAGAGACATCACCTTGCCAACAAAGGTCCGTATAGTTCAAGCTATGGTTTTGCCAGTAGTGATGTATGGAAGTGAGAGCTGGACCATAAAGAAGGCTGATCGCCAAAGAATGGATGCTTTTGAATTATGGCGCTGGAGGAGACTCTTGAGAGTCCCATGGACTGCAAGAAGATCACACCTCTCCATTCTGAAGGAAATCAGCCCTGAGTGCTGACTGGAAGGACAGATCCTGAAGCTGAGGCTCCAAGACCTTGGCCACCTCATGAGAAGAGAAGACTCCCTGGAAAAGACCCTGATGTTGGGAAAGATGGAGGGCACAAGGAGAAGGGGACGACGGAGGACGAGATGGTGGGACAACGTTCTCGAAGCTACCATCATGAGTTTGACCAAACTGCGGGAAGCAGTGGAAGACAGGAGTGCCTGGCGTGCTCTGGTCCACGGGGTCACGAAGAGGCGGACACAACTAAATGACTAAACAACAACTCCAGTCTATTATCCATTGTCCTAGCCATCTTTCCCACAGGCCTGGAGATGAAGTCTCAGCAGAAGCAAAACGGGGCCCAGTGAGGAAGGAGAGACTATGGGAGAGCTGCAAGAGCTTAGAAGCAGGAGAATGGCGACATTTGGCCCACGAAGTTATCTGGAGCAAGCTAGATTTCACAGCCCTGTTTAATGTCTGATGTTTTATTGTATTTTTATTATTTTGTTGGAAGCCGCCCAGAGTGGCTGGGGAAACCCAGCCAGATGGGCGGGGTATAAATAATAATTTCTTATTATTGTTATCCTTGGAATTGAACTACGTAGCCATTAAAGGGCTCTTGTTTCATATACTAGTTTTAACTTGGCGATAGCAGCCAAGGCAAGGAGGGGGAGATGAGAGTCAGTCGATATCATCTTCCTCCAACCTGTGGCTCTCCAAATGTTTTCAGCCCCAGCTGATCTACATAAACCAACAGACTTCATCAACACTACAGTGGTACCTCGGGTTAAGAACTTAATTCATTCCGGAGCTCCGTTCTTAACCTGAAACTGTTCTTAACCTGAGGCACCACTTTAGCTAATGGGGCCTTCCGTGCCGCCGCCATGCAATTTCTTTTCTCATCCTGAAGCAAAGTTCTTAACCCGAGGTACTATTTCTGGGTTAGCGGCGTCTGTAACCTGAAGCATCTGTAACCTGAAGCGTCTGTAACCCAAGGTACCACTGTACTTTAATGATTGCAATCCAAGTGGCGAATTCATAAGAAGGATGCTATTTTATTCAGGTAAAAAAGTGTAATAAATCCTCATACAGCATTCTCTAACTACAATCAAATGTCCTGAATAAATTTTACACACCCGTTATGCCCCCTTAGTCCCTTTTGCAGGACGGCCCATTGGGCTACAGGCTTGGGCATCGCCATTTCTTCTGAAGGAGGCATTTTGGCACCGCAGATGCATGACCAGAAGCTGGAAAAAGCCCGTGTGAATAAACGCGTGGCTTTGTGCAGCAACAAGGCGCTGTTACCACGATTACCGCTGGGGGGAGGCAGCAGGCAGCGCAGAAGACAGATCTGTGTTGCTGGAACTGTGGGTGGCAGCTGGCAATGTGATACCAGGGAGGGTCAGAGCCCTCGAACAGGTGGCTCGTTCATCCTACCTGTTCTCCCCAACTGTGCTCAGTCTCTGTTTCCCCGTGCCAGCGTGGCTTGGCTCTGCTAGTTGGTTTTCTTGCCCACCTGGAGTCGTCCCCAACAAAGGTCTCCTCTGGGGTGGCAGGGGGCTTCACAGGGGCTTCTTCTTCAAGCCCAAGACTGAGATGAAAAGCAGTATCTCCACAGCAGCAGGCAAGGCACTGTCAGGGGGTGAAGACGGACAGAGAAGGGAGGGGGTCAGTGCTAAGGAGAAGGGCTTCCCCCTTCCTGGGGGGAGAAAAACAACGGCTGGAGATCAAACATGTGAAACACACACACATATGAAAACATAGGAAGGTTCCTAACGTGTTAGGAATCATGTTAGGAATCAAGGAGTCAAGCCAGAAGTTGCAAAAAGACGGCTTGCACTCGCTACGAAGAATTGTATTTGAAAATGCTTGTTTTTGAGGCTTTTTTTCATTTTCATTGCTGATACGCTTTTTCTTTTTTAATATTCTGATTATTTGATGTGTGTATATGTAAAATCAAAATAAATAAAAAATTTAAAAAGGAAGAAAGAAAAGAAAACACAGGAAGGGCCTACTGCCCATCTAGTCCAGAATCCCGTTCTCAAGGTGGCAGCTAAATGCCTGTGGGTAGCCCACAACACACACAACATAACAGGCTGTTTTTGACTATGTAACTTCTATTTCAAACACAATTCAACATATAATATCTCACAACGTGTAATTCCATAGACCAACACATCATGCAAACAGAACATATCCTGAAGAATTAAAGTCCAATGGATGGTCAGGAGATAAAGTCCATTCAGTTCCTAAATAAGATATCGTGCCACACCTTCAATTTTCCATCTGGTATGATATCTACATACAAGGAACATTAGAATCCTCAAAGCAGTGACACATGGAACACCATATAAGATAAGCATACCATATTGTGGTTATTGCCAATATGCCAGTTTAGGAACTGAATGGAATTTATCTCCTGACCATCCATTAGTGCGCATGCAATTCCCCCTAAAAAAAGCTCAACAACTTTGGGTCATCTCCCCTCATTTTCTTTAAATTTAGTCCCCCCAAATAGGGAGTGTCTTATACATGGGGGCATCTTATACACGGAAAAATGGACAGTGGTACCTCGGGTTAAGTACTTAATTCGTTCCGGAGGTCCGTTCTTAATCCGAAACTGTTCTTAACCTGAAGCACCACTTTAGCTAATGGGGACTCCTGCTGAAGCAAAGTTCTTAACCCGAGGTACCACTGTATGGTATATCCACACACATACAGAGCTAAGAGTCTACCTGCAGAAGCCCATGATGTACCAATACGTGACCGTCTCCCAGCGCTCAAAGACGAAAAAGGAGAGGCAGATGGAGGCACTGCAGTGGGCAGCCAAAGCTAGGGGGGAGCAGTCAGGGAAACTGGCGTTGTAAAGTGAGGCCTGCAGTGGCAGGCAGCCCCACACGACCTGAGCAGCCTGCGCTGGCACAGAAAGGTGCCAGACATTTTGAGCCTGGGGGTGAACTGGGAGAGAGAAGAAATCATCCCGACACCAAGGATGAGAGATCAGCCACTCCCCCCGTGAGCATTTGCTGGATCAAATGTGATTTAGGTCCATAGCTGTCAACGTTTCCCTTTTCTTGCGAGGAATCCTATTCGGAATAAGGGAATTCCCCTTAAAAAATGGAAAACGTTTACAGCTATGTTTAGGTCACAGAGACCCACCCCCCAATAGTCGGGGCAATCCAAGATACCAAAGGCATTTACAATGCTTATTAGTAAATTTGAGGGCTCCTTCAGGGGACAGATCAGGCCAGATATAATTCGGTTGTGAGGAACCTTTGACCACCGGGTGTTGCTGAACTACAACTCCCCAGCAAGCATGGTCCACGACCAAGGATGATGGGAGCTGTAGTTCAGCAAAATCTGGAGGGCCACCAGCTGGTGTATTTTAATGAATAAAACAGCAGTGGGGGCCCCTTCTAGCGGCAGGGACGTCGATCCTACGGAGGCCACAAACATCCCAAGACACCCTTCTCCACTTTGAACCCAGCTACTTTCTCTGGAGTAGGAATGCCGGCCATTCCTGGCCAATGCAGCCCCAGTTTCTGCATTTCTTCTGCTAAGCATTTCTTCCAACTTCGCCGCATCAAGCAGTTGGTCCCTTACCTTTCCCGCCCCAACCTGGCCACAGTGATCCATGCGACGGTCACCTCCAGGCTTGACTACTGTAATTCGCTCTACGCGGGGCTGCCCTTGAAGCTGTGCCAGAAACTCCAGCGGGTGCAGAATGCTGCAGCAAGGCTCCTCACGGGGTCCCTGCCATGGGAGCATGTTCACCCAGTGCTTTCCCGGCTGCACTGGCTCCCGGTGGAGTACAGAGTCAGATTTAAGGTGCTGGTTTTGATCTTTAAAGCCCTTCACGGCCTAGGACCCTCGTACCTACGGGACCGCCTCTCCCGGTATGCCCCACGGAGAGCCTCAAGGTCCATAAATAGCAACACCCTAGAGGTCCCGGGCCCTAAGGAAGTCAGATTAGCCTCAACCAGAGCCAGGGCCTTTTCAACACTGGCTCCGGCCTGGTGGAACGCTCTGCCTCATGAGACCAGGGCCCTGCAGGATCTGATTTCTTTCCGCAGGGCCTGTAAGACAGAGTTGTTCCGCCTGGCCTTTGGCTTGATTCCCTCCCCTCTTTCTTTTTTCTTTTCTTTTCTCCTCCTGCAATGAGGCTACATTTTAATATTTTAATACTGTATTTTAATTGTTGTATTTTAATCTTGTTTTTAAGTTGTATTCATTCAACTTGTTTTTATTATTGCTTGTTAGCCACCCTGAGCCCGGCTTTGGCTGGGGAGGGCGGAGTATAAATAAATATTATTATTATTATTATTACTCCCGCCGCTTCGGCGATGGGCAGCAAGGGAAGGAAACCCCTTGCCTCGCAAAGCTCTGCCACCAGAGGTGGCCACCGTCTCGACTGACCTGCAGAAAGCAAAGATCCACCAGTACAGACCGCTGTCCCACTGTTCAAAGAGGAAGAAGAGCAACGTGACGGAGGCAGAGGCGTGGGCGCCTGTGGCTGGAGCAGAAAGGAGGCTCAGTCAGGGAGCAACAACGCGTGAAGGGCAGGAACCCCTCGAGTCCTCCTGGGGGAGCTGTGGGGCATCAGGGCTGGCCTACACAGGAGACGGCAACAACCCAGAACTTCCGCATTCCCACGTGGGAACTGCCTACCAGCGTTCCTCAGCCTTGCGTCCCCAGATGTCGTAGGACTACAACTCCCATCGTCCACTGCTAGCTTAGCCAGTGGGTCAGGGATGATGGGCGTTGTAGTCCTACGACATCGGGGGCCGCAAGGCTGAAGAACGCTGCCTGACGGACTGAGACGTAAGTGCTTTGGCAAAGCGGCCAGGAGCGGGCATCCAATGGGCCTCAGCGCCTTCCGGTGCCCACCTGCACGAGATAACATGGGCATCCGAGTTCAGTTTTTTGAAGCTCTCAGGTTCGGCTGCCTCAATTTGCAGGTCTGATGAGTCCAAGTTGCCCTCTCTGTGGCTTCCCTCTGCCACCCACCCCACAAAGACCCCATGTAACCTATGTCCAGTCTATCCCCTTTTCAAAGGATACAGAAGAGGCTCTGCACATTGTTGAACATGGACACTCCAGAGAGAAAGCCAGCCAACTCCACCGCAAAAAGCCCAAGCGTCACCGACAGGGCAACCACCATCCTGAAGAGAGGAAAACCACAGGGAGGGTTACGTGTTGTGTCTCTAGAAAACCTGAAATGCTGAGCCCAATTACAGTGGTACCTCTGGTTGCGGAGGCCTGTTCGCAACATGAAAAGAGCGAAACCCGCAGTGGCGCATCTGTGCACGCGCAGGTTACAATCCGTCACTTCTGCGCATGTGCGTGACGTCATTTTGCGCGTCTGCGCAAGCGGCAAAACCCGGAAGTAACCCTTTCTGGTACTTCCGGGTCACCACGGGACGTACCCTGAAGCAAACGTAACATGAGGTGTGACTGTACAGTAATTGGTCTCTCTCTCCCCACCCAGCGCCCCAATCCTCCCTCCCTCTCTCACACACACACAATATTTGTTGTTGGCATCCGTCTGTCTCGGAATACAATGGAGGACTGCACCTTTGGCGGTGACGTCAAACTACTGGAAGGTTACAGCGCCTGTTGTGGCTGTAGAGACCAATGCAGGAGAGACATGTTTTGTTGCAGGTGGGGCAGATCAAGGCATCCAGTTGTGCCGATGTAGATGCATCACAGTGTTCTTCCTCTCTGCGCTCCTCCCAGCAGTCATTCCTCCACACTCATAGAGAAAAGGCAAGCCACAAAGCCAGCGGTGAGGAACCTGAGGCCTCTGACTGCTGCTTGGACCACAGCTTCTATCAGTCCCAGCCAGCATGGGCAATGGTGGTCATGGATGATTTGGGACTTGTTAAGTCAGATATGCAGATGACACAACATTGATGGCAGAAAGTGAGGAGGAATTAAAGAACCTTTTAATGAGGGTGACAGAGGAGAGCACAAAATAGGGTCTGAAGCTCAACATCAAAAAAACGAAGATCACGGCCACTGGGCCCATCACCTCCTGGCAAACAAAAGGGGAAGAAATGGAGGCAGTGAGAGATTTTACTTTCTTGGGCTCCATGATCACTGCAGATGGTGACAGCAGCCACGAAATTAAAAGACGCCTGCTCCTTGGGAGAAAAGCGATGACAAACCTAGACAGCATCTTAAAAAGCAGAGACATCACCTTACCAACAAAGGTCCGTATAGTAAAAGCTATGGTTTTCCCAGTCGTGATGTATGGAAGTGAGAGCTGGACCATAAAGAAGGCTGATCGCCGAAGAATGGATGCTTTTGAATTATGGTGCTGGAGGAGACTCTGGAGAGTCCCATGGACTGCAAGAAGATCAAACCTCTCCATTCTGAAGGAAATCAGCCCAGAGTGCTCACTGGAAGGACAGATCCTGAAGCTGAGGCTCCAAGACTTTGGCCACCTCATGAGAAGAGAAGACTTCCTGGAAAAGACCCTGATGTTGGGAAAGATGGAGGGCACAAGGAGAAGGGGACGACGGAGGACGAGATGGTGGGACAGTGTTCTCGAAGCTACCAGCATGAGTTTGACCCAATTGCGGGAGGCAGTGGAAGACAGGAGTGCCTGGCCTGCTCTGGTCCAGGGGGTCACGAAGAGTCGGACAAGACTAAACGACAACAACAAGTTGAAAGCAGGCAATAAAAGAGGGGTCGGATAGAGGTTTATAAAATTATGGTGTCATGCATTGGCCGGGAATCGAACCCGGGCCTCCCGCGTGGCAGGCGAGAATTCTACCACTGAACCACCAATGCAATACGATCAGGCCTGGAATTTCTTAGCAAATATGCCAAGTATGAAGGACATTAGAGCCCTAGGCAAACACAAGCTCCTCTTGAAGGCTAATTGTCTGGAATTTCCCACTGCAGAAAAATATACCGGTAATTGGCCCATCTTCTTGCCTGCCTTTATTTTTAACCCTCCATCACCTTTAAAAAAAGAAGCAGAAGCCTTTCCCTCGCGTGCACATTTAAAGCACCATCGGCTTTGGCAGCAGAGGCAACAGACTGATCCGTGGCCAACTTTGTCAGTCCTCGGATGAGAAGAGGCAGCCTATAATCAGCTCCAGCAGCAGTCCTGCTCCTTCTCTTCTCACGCCATCCCCCCCACCCCTTCAGGGCTTTAATCTAAACCTGGATTTACGGCTGCTGTCAGCTAGGTGGAGCAGTGGCCACATCTGCTGTGAAGACAGCAAGCTCCCAACCCTTTTGCAGGACAGAGAGGTGCCATTATCTGGTGCTACGCTGTTTTTCTTGTATGTTTTAAACAGATTTTTAATATGTATATGGTCTGAATTCTATCGGTGTCCTTAATGATTACTTTTTCTACGTTTTCAGCGGTTCTCGTTTATAATCTGAAAAGGGTAGGGTATAAATAAATATGGCATCAGCGTCATCCAGCGCTGACGTTTGCTAGATGATGAAAAACATGAGAAGCTGGGAGACATCAGCACTCTCAGCAGCTCCAGAAAAAGAAGGGCGACGGAACAGCAATGTGAGGTTACAACATACAAACACACAGCTTTCACCATTATTATTTGCACACCTTGCAAGCACAGATTCATAAATCCACATTTCAAAAGGAAACCTTTCAGACCATGAATTTTATTAGGTAGCCAAAAGGAACAGGGCAGAGGAAGGCAGGGAACACATATTTTTATGTCTTTATCAGCTTGCTTTTAGGGGCTGTTAATATACATATTTTCCTAATATTTATATCCCACCTTTCTAAAAACAATCAAAGTGCCTTACAAATAAAGCAGAGCAAAGCAACATTCAGATAATCTGAAAATCTAACAACTGGGGCAACCCAGTCAGACGGATGGGGTATAAGTAACAGATTACTATTAATAATATTATTATTAACAAGCTTTAAAAGATGCAGCGGGATCTAAGTCCTTGTTTTAAATACATGTTCTGGAAAAGCCTACAAAAATAAATCAGCGTATTTCTCTTGGGAGCCTGTTTCAAGTTATGGCCACTGCAACCAAAAACCTTTTTAAAAGCATAAAAAAATGAAGAGCAGCAGAGGTACACAGAGAAGGGCTGTAGCAGAGAAAGTCCCAGGCAGAGCACTTACTCCGTGTCTTGGTTCTCAAACTCCTCCTGGGTGCACTGGAGAGGCAGGGAAGCGCGGACATTGTTTTCCTGGATTGCAGAAGACAGAAAAACCACCGTTTAGGCCATGCATTCACCCATCAAAAGAACAAGGTAGCAATAGCCTCATAACCTCTTTACTACTGCACTGGTTCCGTTATGCTTTATCTATTTTGTATTTATTTACATTTATATCCCACCTTTCCTCCAAGGAGCTCCAGGTGGTGCACGTGGTTTCCCCCACTGTACCCTCCCAACAACTCTGCGAGGTAGGCTGAGAGGCCGTGACTGGCCCAAGGCCACCCAGTAGGCTTCATGGCCGAGTGGGGATTTGAACCCTGGTCCCCCCTCAGATCCTAGTCCAGGGGACAGCAGACTTTTCAGCAGGGGGCCGGTCCACTGTCCCTCAGACCTTGTGGGGGGGCCAGACTATATTTTGAACAAAAAAATAATGAATGAATTCCTATGCCCCACAAATAACCCAGAGATGCATTTTAAATAAAAGGACACATTCTACTCATGTAAAAACACGCTGATTCCCGGACCGTCCACAGGCCAGATTGAGAAGGCGATTGGGCCGGATCTGGCCCCCGGGCCTTAGTTTCCCTACCCATGTCCTAGTCCAACACTCTAACTACTACACCCACACTGGCTCTCACCCTGTTCCCATCCCGTTCTTCTGTGGCAAGAAATAGAGGTACCCAAAGAAGCAGGAACATTCAGAGGCGTGACAAAATCAAGAGAGGTCAGCAGAATTATTGTGCGGTCCAAACGTTAGGCTGTTCTCTACAACACCCCACATGTGGTGGGAGTGACAACGCCATTCCCTCTCAGTACTTGAAAAAGGTCCAGGTTTCTTGCTTCCCAGAATCCCTTTCTCTCTAGAGCAGCTAGAACTCCCAAAATATTATGTATTACGTTTTTCATTTTGTATTTTTATGCCATGAACCACCCTGTGAACGTCAAATGAAGACTAGTACAGTGGTACCTCGGTTTACGAACAGTCCTGTTTACGAACTACAGTGGTACCTGGGGTTAAGAACTTAATTCATTCTCGAGGTCCGTTCTTAACCTGAAACTGTTCTTAACCTGAAGCACCACTTTAGCTAATGGGGCCGCCACACCGCTATTTCTGTTCTCATCCTGAAGCAAAGTTCTTAACCCAAGGTACTATTTCCGGGTTAGCGGAGTCTGTAACCTGAAGCATCTGTAACCCAAGGTACCACTGCATTCAATTTAAAAACTCCGCAAAACCGGAAGCAGTGTTCCGGTATCTGAACTTTACCTTGGTCTACGAACGGAAGCCGAACGGTCGATGGGCACCGGCAGCGGGAGGCCTCGTTAGGGAAAGCGCGCCTTGGTTTAAGAACGGATTTGGTTTAAGAATGGACTTCAGGAACGGATTAAGTTCGTAAACCAAGGTACCACTGTATACAAATTTAATAAATAATAATAAATCATTGGTTCCATCTAGCACGGCCCTGTGAAGGGCACCAGGTTGGGAAAGGCTGCTCAAGGTTGGGAAAGGGTTCTCAAAGTGTGGCGTGGCACCAACTTGAGAAATAACCAGGGTTGCGAGGGGGAAAAGCAAACTCCTATCTCGCCTCTCCCCGCCACTCCAGTGCGCCTCTTAACACTGGGCACCCCACCCTCCTCACATGCCATCTATGAGGGCCAACAATATAATCTCTATTCCACCCACCAATCCTTGAACTAAAATCACATTCCTGCCCCATCCCTGCGAGGCATCTGCTCTCAGAAGGCCATATTTAACGGCGCCAGGCAAACTGCCCGTCTTGGGCAAAGGCTGGAATCGGGGTCTTATTTTTGTTGACGCTTACCGTATTTTTCGCTCTATAGGACGCACCCAACCATAAGACGCACCTAGTTTTAGAGGGGGAGAACAAGAAAAAAAATCTCTCTCCCTCTCAGCGAAGCGGCAGGAAAAACGGAGCCCCTTCCATTTCTCCTCCCGCTTCGCTGAAGGGGTGCTGCGCAGAGAGGGAAAGCTGCGCAGCGCCTCTCCAGCAAAGCGAAGCCAGGAGAGCAAGAGGGATCGGGCGGCTATCCCTGAAGCCAGGAGAGCTAGAGGGGTCAGTGCGCACTGACCCCTCTCGCTCTCCAGGCTTCAGTGAAAGCAACGCTGCGCTCCGGAGGCTTCGCATTGCTTTCACTGAAGCCATGGAGCCTGAATTCGCTCCATAAGGCGCACACACATTTCCCCTTAATTTTGGGAGGGGGAAAAGTGCATCTTACAGAGCAAAAAATACGGTACTTGTGGGAGACAGAAGCTCCTCTTTGAAAAGCATAAGGCCCATCACACCGTTAAAAAAAGAAATAGGAGCACGTTGAGAAGGGGAAGGGATGGAGTTTGGAGGCTGGGAACAGGTTTCTCACCCTGGACCAGAAGATGGTGATGACGATGACCAAATGGGCCGTGAGGGTCAGGAATCGTGAGGGAACCAGTCCGGTGACCAAAGGCATTGTCTCTCCCAGCACCCAAAAGTTGAGAAATCCTGGCAGTAAAAGACAAGAGAGAGGATCTGATTTCTTTCCGCAGGGCCTGTAAGACAGAGTTGTTCCACCTGGCCTTTGGCTTAGAATCAGTTTGATTCCCTCCCCCTTTCTTTTTCCTTTCTCCTCCTATGAAGAGACTGCATCCTAATGTTTTAATATTATATCGCAATCTTTTAAATTGTACTTTAATCAACTTGTTATTATTATTGGTTGTTAGCCGCCCTGAGCCTGGTCTTGGCTGGGGAGGGCGGGGTATAAATAAATAAATAAATAAATAAATAAATATTAATTATTATTATTATTATTATTATTATTACAAGCAATCTAAAATCCTTTAAAAAGTTGGGATGGGAGGGTGAGGGGTTCACCCTGCTTGCACCAGGAAGAGGCCATACGCTCCCCCCCCAACAACCACCTCCTTAATCGATTAGACACCAAAAGAGGTGCAAAGAGGGTCGCACGACCCTCGGCCCAGGACAGGCAGGCACAAATGCGCATGCGCCCTTAATCCCGCCTCAAACAATTGATTTGAAAAACGACAGAGCAGTTATAGCCCCCCGAATTTCGCCTAAAACAACCATGTCAAGCCTTCCCCCACTGCACCCCCGTCTCCCGCCAACCATTTGGGCCCCAAGCTCGATATACGCGAGCGCCGCATACCGCCCCTCGGGCTCAGGGCCTCGCCGTTAGGCCTCGCCGTTGCCCCTGACAACCGCTTCGGAAGCCTCGAAGCTTCTTTTTCCCATCGCGAGAGCTTGACATCACGGGCGAGTCTGAGCCGGCCATTTTGCCTGCGGGCAAAGAGGCTGTCGGCTTAACCCTTTACTTGCCGTATTGTTGTTCTCACCAGCTTTTCTGAACCCGCTGGAAAAAGTCGGTTTCACCCGCCGCCGCGACTACGAATATATGTGATAGATTTAGGGCAGGAGCTTACAAACCACTCACATATCCAAAGGGGGATGAAATGAAGCATGATGCTGCATTGCAAAGCAGCCAAGTCCTTTATTGTTATTTTCCCCTTTTCTATGGACCCCCAATGGCCCAGGGGATAATAGTAACTGCAGGAAAATGCCAGCTTCTGAATATTTGTCATCATTTTTATTTGCAGCTGTTTTCCCTCTTGCTTATACATTTTGCAAACCATAGCAGCTCATTTTCCCCTTGCAAAATTTGTCAGAAAAAAGAAAAAAAGAATGAAAGAAAGGGGAAAAGGCGATCCAACGAATTTTCTTCCCAACACCGATTATCTACTTTTGGATATGGTAATAGCAGCGGTTATACGGAGCTGTGATGGCCGAGTGGTTAAGGCGTTGGACTTGAAATCCAATGGGGACTCCCTGCGTAGGTTCGAATCCTGCTCACAGCGTGCTTATTTTGCGCGGGTTTTTGCTTGCAAAATCCGATTTAAACCGCTCGCCCTTCTCCTCTCCCTCCCTCCATCTGGAAGAGCAGACGACCAACAAGCTGCGCCGCTGCGAATTCGCTACCACTAATAATGATTAGCCCATGCAGTAGGACAAATAATGATTAGCCCATGCAGTAGGACAAATACACAGAGAGAGCGCAAAATAAAAAAGCAGAAAAAGCAAAGCTGGAAAACTCCAGCCTTGGAAATTCATCACACCCAGCCGGTTTGCTAGATTACAGTATTTCTAGCAAAGCAGCAGCTGCAACGCATCTGGCGTCTCATTGCAAACCGCCTAAGTCCCCAAACTTCGAGCGGGAATTTTATTTCACCGATTCAAGCAGGTAAACCTATTTTGATTTTTGGAAAACACCCGGAAGGAGAAGCAGCTCCGCTGCCTTTTATTTTTTTAAATTACGATTATTGTTGGAGCGCCAAGCAAAAACACCTGGAGATGCCGGGGATTGAACCCGGGGCCTCGTACATGCGAAGCACGCGCTCTACCACTGAGCTACATCCCCCTCCGGCCTCTTGCAGCTTCCGCTGACGCCTCTTTATACTGACAATCTGCAGCCGTCATTGCAAACTTGCAAATTGCAAATCATTTGCTCTTTGCACAAAGCAGGGGAACTAACGATGTTTTTAACTCTTATATCCACCACCCGCCCCTTCCTCTACATTTGCGTCAAGAAATCCTTTTGTTTTACCCAGCAAAAGGCCGAGAGGAGGCCCAGGTCCCTGAGCAAGTGCAGAGCGTCCTGAACAGGCTTGTGTCGCGCGTGCACAAAATGGCCATCTTGCAAAGATGCATTGCACGTTTGCAGCCCTCTAGCTGCACGCAATAGTTTTCCACGTAAATGAGAACACGTAAATAATTCTTCCACTGCCCGATCTCGCTTTTAAGAGTTTCCAGCCGTCCAGCAACTGCTTCCTGAAAGAACCGAACTGCATTTTTGTTTTGTTTGCATCTATACATAGTGAGATTACAGAGCGGGCAGCCCGTTTGCCAAGTGGCGCCGTGGCTTAGTTGGTTAAAGCGCCTGTCTAGTAAACAGGAGATCCTGGGTTCGAATCCCAGCGGTGCCTTTTTTTTTTTTTCTAACTCTCCCGTTCCAAACCTCCCCAATATCCCAAATTATACTGCTTTAAAACAAGCAAAGTTTAAAAAGCACGGCGTGCATGCAAAAATAAAATACTCGACAGCATTTCATGCTTTCTAACCATCCTTTCGCATTGCTTGCTATTGCACGCCCGTCTTGCAAGAACAAAAACTTCTGAGTCCGCTTTGACGATCGCCTGAAGCCGAGTGGAGCGATCGACTAGGAATTTTTAAATCCCCTCCTCATTTCTCCATCCAGACAGTTGTCGAGCTTAAAAAAAGCAAACATAACCAGGATTCAAACCGGGAGATCTGAAAGGAAGTAATTTGCCTGCGACGCACACTTTGCCTGGGGCTACTCGGCGAGGAAAATAATGCAAGGGTGGGACTGTGGCGCGTGGGGAAATATTTTGGGGACAGAAAAAAAAACTGAGAAAGGAAGAGAGAAAAAATGCAAGCTGCATTGGCCGGGAATCGAACCCGGGCCTCCCGCGTGGCAGGCGAGAATTCTACCACTGAACCACCAATGCCATCCGCGGGAAAAGATTTTCCCGAAGCATCTATAAGATCGCTCTCGCCGTCCGCAACAGTTCACAGCTGCATCTCACGTTTTGAGCTGCAGAGCATGTAAAGGAGCGAGCAGGAAGTGGATCTGCCGGTGGATCTCTGGGTTTCCCCCTTTTAAGCAACAAGCAACAGAATGGCTCCCGCCCCACCCACCTGCCTCCCATAATTGTGATAATTGAAGATAATTCGGGGTATCCAGAAAGAGGCATTTGCCTGGGAGGGCTGTGAACTCTGCTTGCTTCAGGTGCAGTGCACGGATCCCTGGATTCAGCAAATTTTTAATCCTAACTGCATGTCTTTTGCACAAAAGCTCTGATTGATGGATCTCAGGACAGAGGCTAAAAGCAGTTCAGAAATGAGTTTCTATGCGTGTTTTTGAATCCCTGTGTGGCCGACCCTCTCCACTAGCCTTGAGCAGAGACTAACTCTGCCTTAAGGAACTGGTGCTCCAGCCCCAAGATGTTGATGGACTACAACTCCCATCATGCTGGCCTGGGCTGATGGGACTTGGAGTCCAACAGCAACTGTTAAGTCCACAGCACCTCTCCACTACCGCTAACCCTCTCCCTTTGGGGAATTTGCCAGAGACTACTGCAGCCATCACCCACCTATCCAGATGTTTTGGACTACAACTCCCATCAGCCCCTGACTGTGTGGTGCTGGAAGGCGAGAGGTTGGTGAGCTGATTCCATAACACTTGAAACGACTGAATTTTGCAGTGTTGTGATATGTGGGATGGACCGTTTGCACCGCTCAGCGCATGGATGTATTGGGAAGTTTTAATGTTTGATGTTTTATGATGCTTTTATAATTTCTTGGAAGCCGCCCAGAGTGGGGTACAAATAATAAAATTATTATTATTATTATTATTATTATTATTATTAAAGCAGCAGATAAGACCAGGACATTCCTCTGTCTTAAAACGCACGCCCTACATAGAAAATGAAGGCACACATATTTTTTTCCTTTTTTTGGTATCAGAGAGAAAACCATTTATTTAAAAATCAAACCAGGATCCAGAAATATTCTGCCTTGTGGTTCTTCAAAAAGAAAAGCAGCCCTCCACTCTAGGGAATATACATAAATTCAGCAGACAAGAACATCTTAAGGAAAAGAAAATACCTCACCGATTTCCCCCACCACCCCGTTGCTGGATTAGGCCACTCCAGGCCTAATCCACAGTTATAGTCCAGGTTCATTGCATTGCAGGGCGTTGAGCTAGATAACCCTTGGGATTCCTTTCCAACTCTATTATTAGACCTAATTATGAGATGTCAAAGAGCATTCTTTGTCAATCAGTACAGGGAAAGGAAGGGAATCGACCACCGCCCCAGAAAAGAGAGGCCCCATCCAAAAAACAACAACACCACATTGGACAACATACCGTATATTTCGCTCTATAAGACGCACAAGACGCACCTAGTTTTTGGAGGAGGAAAGCAAGAAAAAAAATATTCTGAATCTCAGAAGCCAGAACAGCGAGAGGGATCGCTGCGCAGTGAAAGCAGCGATCCCTCTTGCTGTTCTGGCTTCTGGGATAGCTGCGCAGCCTGCATTCACTCCATAAGATGCACACACATTTCCCCTTACTTTTTAGGAGGGAAAAAGTGAGTCTTATAGAGCCAAAAATACGGTAAAACCCATAATATACAATATATAGAGAATATAATATAAATTTACGAGGAGGCGGAAATCTACCACCACCCCAGAAAAGAGAGGCCCCATCCAAAAACAACAACACATTCGACAACATAAAACCCATAATATACAATATATAGAGAATCTAATATAAATTTACAAGGGGGTTTTAGGGGGGGGAGGACCTTTCAAGGCCAGGGCCTCCATACGTTCAGCGCCTGCGGACACTGCGGCGAGGAGTTCCGCGTTTCCGAGAGTTTGTTCTGCTGCGCCCTGCTGCAGCTGCCCTGCTGGGCTGATCCGCCGAGTCGGGCCTGCAGTCCTTGGCTGGCCGGGTAGGTGGAGGAAGGCGGGTGCAGGACGTAGGGGGTCCCACTGAGTGGGGGGCTGCACCCGGCAAAGACATCTGGGCTATACCGCTGCTGCAGCTCGTAGCTGGGGGTGGGGGCGGCCGGTGGAGGCCGGTGGACTTCCCTCCGTGGGCTGGCTGTGATCTTCTCCATGCAGTGGCAGATGTGCTCCATCAGGTAGGCCTTTTTCCCCGTGCAGATCCCCGGACTGGCCCGGAGGAAGTGGGTGGCTTGGGTCAGGCACTCCCTGTAGCCGCTGTGGTACCTTTGCAGGAGGGCATCTTCCTTGTGCTTGGTCTCTGTGGTGTATGCAGCAAGAAGGGTGGAATAAAGAAAGAGAGAGAGAGGAAGAGAAATGACAACAGTTTAGAGATCCGTTGGGCAACTTGCAAGCACACCTCTCAGGGTCCCAGATTGGCAGGGCAGCCCCCGAAAACAGGTTATTTGGTTTCCCTCCCTTTCCTTTTATTTTTTAAGAGAGAGAGAGAAATCCCAGGCAGTTGGAGACCATGTTGAGGACAGAAATCACCGTTATGTGCCTTGAGAGGTGGGGCCCAGAAATTCAGCGCAAACCTTCGTCTTTATGGGTTTGCTAACCCATAAACCTAGAAAGCATCTTAAAAAGCAGAGACATCACCTTGCCAACAAAGGTCCGTATAGTTAAAGCTATGGTTTTCCCAGTAGTGATGTATGGAAGTGAGAGCTGGACCATAAAGAAGGCTGATCGCCAAAGAATGGATGCTTTTGAATTCTGGTGCTGGAGGAGACTCTGGAGAGTCCCATGGACTGCAAGAAGATCAAACCTCTCCATTCTTAAGGAAATCAGCCCTGAGTGCTCGCTGGAAGGACAGATCGTGAAGCTGAGGCTCCAAGACTTTGGCCACCTCATGAGAAGAGAAGACTCCCTGGAAAAGACCCTGATGTTGGGAAAGATGGAGGGCGCAAGGAGAAGGGGACGACAGAGGACGAGATGGTGGGACAGTGTTCTCGAAGCTACCAGCATGAGTTAGACCAAACTGCGGGAGGCAGTGGAAGACAGAGGAGTGCCTGGCGTGCTCTGGTCCAGGGGGTCACGAAGAGGCGGACACGACTAAACAACAACAGGAATATAGTAAAAGGCTTTGTTGTGTCAATGGTCCATCTAGCTTAGTAGTGGCTGGCAGCAGCTCTCCAGGGTTTCAAGCAGTAAGTCTCGTCCCAGCCGTACCTGGAATTTGAACTCAGGACCGTCTGCATGCAAGGCGGATGTTCTGCCGCTCAGCTACAGCCCTTGCTCGACACTGAGGTCCAGCGCCGAGGGCCTTCTGGCGGTCCCCTCACTGTGAGAAGCAAAGCTACAGGGAACCAGGCAGAGGGCCTTCTCTGTGGTGGCGCCCGCCCTGTGGAACGCCCTCCCAGCAGATGTCAAGGAGATAAGCAACTACCTGACATTTAGAAGATATCTGAAGGCAGCCCTGTTCAGGGAAGTTTTTAATCTGTGACATTTTAATGTATTTTTAATATTTGTTGGAAGCCGCCCAGAGTGGCTGGGGAAGCCCAGCCAGATGGGCGGGGTACAAAAAATAAATTATTATTATTATCCGCACCAGAAATGTCAACCACCTTGGAAAGAGATGCGGAAGGGAGGCCCAGAGACCCATTAAAATATGCACATACATTATATAGAATTTCCAAGAGGTTTTCCCGGTGCTGGGGGCCTGTTTCCTCGTGGTAAGGTAAAGGTAAAGGGACCCCTGACCATTAGGTCCAGTCGTGGCCGACTCTGGGGTTGCGGTGCTCATCTCGCTTTATTGGCAGAGGGAGCCAGCGTACAGCTTCCGGGTCACGGGGCCAGCATGACTACGGAAACGCCGTTTACCTTCCTGCCTAAAATATCCTGGAGTCTGTAGTTCACCCCCCACAGAACAACAATTCCCAGCACCCTTTGCAAACTACAGTTCCCAGGATTCCTTGGGAAAAGTTTGGTGCTTTAAACACCTAATGTGCAAACCTTCATTGAGTGCCAGATTGCCAAATAGGCACAGAAGGCACCGGTTTATGGGCCTTTTAGAGGTGCTGCGACGATGGATCAAAATAATATTGATTTGATCATGGAAGAAAATTACAATCAAGCCAAGCAGAAGCTTGAAGATGATTTGTGAGGGGGCCTCTCCAGATTTCGACTGCCTAGGGGCCTCCTCAGGGCAAATTCAACTACTAGGAAGTTAAACCTGTTTCGAAAAAATTCCTGGGGAGACTGTTATTCCACACCTAAGTCCCTCACTCCCTTTCCCAAAAAGCCTTTCCATTTCTCCGGAGGGTTGTTTTCTAAAGTAGCAACAATAATAAAAGTAATAAATAACAAAAACAATAATAATAATAATAAAATAAATAAAAAAACAACAATACAAGAAACGTTATACCTGATAAAGGCTGTGTCTTCAAAAACTGAACTGTTTTTTGCAAAATTTCTGCCTTTTCCACTTTGGGGTTTTTAAGTCTCTGCAGGGGGGAGAAAAAACAAGACAAAAGAAGAGGGTGGGAGAAAAAATGGGGAAGGAAAGTAGGGGTGAAAATAAAATATTCTTTGTTTGATTTGCGGGGGGCGGGTTGGGGCTCTAAAACAGGAGGCGGGCATTGAGAGAGTTAGGCTTCAGCTAGCTGGGTCTCAAACTCTTGATGAGTTAGGGACCTGCGGAAAGACAGGCTCCAGGCCCAACCTCCACAGCCTTGCAGGATATCTTCAGAAGAAAAGGCTCCCATGTAAACCCTACACAAATCCAGAGTGCAGTCCCTAAAACTGTTGGATGGAGCCTTGTTTTGCCTCCTTCCGGCAACTCCTGCAGCCAAGCTGGTGCCAAATGTCTTGCTCTGTTTTCTTTTGGACCACATCAGCCAAGCCGAGAGGGGGGGTCTTGTCATCTGGGCAGCCCGGGACCTCCAGACACACACACTGCCCAGGCTTGCACACTTCGGTGCTGCAACGCAGCAGTTTGGCTTCACCCCCGGAGGCGCACTCCATTGTCTCCCCAGACAGACCGATGCCAGCGACAACAACAAACCAAAACCCTGCATTCACAGCACATTTCCACCCCACTCCCCTTCCCAAAAATCCTGGGAACCATCCTTTCCCTCCCACCCATCCCCACAGAACTACAATTCCCAGCACCCGGTATGAACTACAGTTCTCAGGCTTCCTTGAGCGGGCGCTTGAAATGTGCTGCAGGTAAGCAGCCCGAGAGAGGGAGAGATGGGGCCACTCCCCTTCCCAAAAAATCCTGGGAACCATCCTTTCCCTCCCCCCATCCCCGCAGAACTACAATTCCCAGCACCCAGTACGAACTACAATTCCCAGGCTTCCTTGAGCGGGCGCTTTAAATGTGCTGCATATAAGCAGCCCGGGAGAGGGAGAGATGGGGGCACTCCCCTTCCCAAAAAATCGTGGGAACCATCCTTTCCCTCCCCCCATTCCCGCAGAACTACAATTCCCAGCACCCGGTACGAACTACAATTCCCAGGCTTCCTTGAGCGGGTGCTTTAAAAATGTGCTGCATGTAAGCAGCCCGAGAGAGGGGGAGATGGGTCCATCGCCCTTACCTCGTCCTGGGTCGCTTCGAAAAGCAAGACCCGGAGCCGGTCGAGGCTTTGATTCATCCTGTCCCTCCGCCTCTTCTCCATCAGGGGCTTCAGCAGCTGCAGAAAGAGAGAGGTTGTGGGGCAGGAGGGGCAGGCCAGGCGGTGGGTAAGGAGGAGAGGCGTGGCGGGGCAGGGAATGGAGGCGAAGGGGGGAAGAGGAAGAGAACGGAGAGAGCTTTTGAAACAGAAAAGCGGATTCCCACGCCGAGAGAGGGCCCGATTCTGCTCTGAGCTCCAGCTTCTGGTGGGGGCAGAGTTGGAAGGGGGGGAAAGGGATCCCCGAAGGTCATCCATCCCAACCCCCGCTGCCAGGCAGGGAGAAGAAGCAAGCCTCTCCACCGAGAGGGGAGTTGAGAGCAGAATCCTGCCCTCGCGGGGCCCACCTGCCAGCCAGCCAGCCCGGATGCAACTGGTACCTTCTTCTCGTCTTTGCGATCCCACTTTTGGCTTGTCATGGTCATAACTTGCAGGAGCCAAAAGGATGGATGGAGGGCTGGTCTCTCCTGCGCGCTGGGCTCTTCTTGGCTTGTGGACCCGGGAAAGAAACACGAATCCCCTCTCTTTCTCTCTCTCCTATCCCGCTCTTCAAAGGCACCGGGGTCCCTTTTATATCCTCCCTTCCCGCCCCTCCCACGCCCAGCCTCCCCCGCATCCCAACATCCCCCAATTCGAAAGGAAAGTTCGCACCTTCATCCTCCCTTTGATCTCCGCGTTCCATCCTGGCAGATGGAGCGTGTCGCGCACACTTGCAGCTTCAGCCGCTGCTAGGAGGGGAGAAAGGGAAAGTTGGGAGATTCTCCTCCTCATCTCCTTATCTCTTCCTGAGTTGAAGAGAAGAGGAACCCTTCTATAAATCTTTTAAATTCTACTGCTAGGGAAAACCTAGCAGGTACCCAGGAGAGGAGATGCCCGGAACCACTTTGGGGAAGTTTTTTTAAAAAAAATATATTCGTTTTTCTTTTTCATTCATTACATACATCTCAATTTCTTAATATTCCTCCCTCCCTCCCCTCCAGGGCTTCCCCCAATTTCTGGTTTGTTTCTCTTTTCACCCGCTTTGCTATCGCCTAACAGGAAAAAGTTATTCATAACATAACATCAAGCCTAAAAAACATAAAAATAAAATTAAATACACTATAATATATCTTTTTAATCCGACTGCTAGGGAAAACTTTGCAGGTACCCAGGAGAGGAGATGCCCGGAACCACTTTGGGGAAGTTAAAAAATAAATTAAAAAATTACATTTTTCTTTTTCATTCATTACATACATCTCAATTTCTTAACATTCACTATATATTCCTCCCTCCCTCCACTCCAGGGCTTCCCCCAATTTCTGGCTTGTTTCTCTTTTCACCCGCTTTGCTATCTCCTAACAGGAAAAAGTTATTCATAACATAACATCAAGCCTAAAAAACATAAAAATAAAATTAAATACACTATAATATTTCCCTATTTTCTAAACAGTTTCTAATACTAATAATGTGAATGTTTATTTAAATCCTGCCATTAACCATAGCTGTCAACTTTTCCCTTTTCTTGCGAGGAATCCTATTCAGAATAAGGAAATTTCCCTTAAAAGAAGGGAAACATTGACAGCTATGAATCTAATATAAATGGTTCCCATTCTTTTTCAAAGTCACTGTTGTCTTTTTCTCTTCATCTAGCTGTCATTTTTGCCAGTTCTGCATAGTTCATCAACTTCTCTCTATTTTTTTTTATTTTTTTTTGGCCAGCTCTTCTTCCAACAACGACCAGCCGATCAAGGGGCTTGAGCCCTGATATTCAAGAGTTGGAGGGGACCCCGGTGGCCATCTAGCCCAACCCCCTACAATGCCAGAATCACAACTAAAGGATTCCTGGTGGACGACGACAATCCAGCCGCTGTTTAAAAACCTCCAAGGAAGGAAAGTCCATTCTGAACCATAAACTCCGGCCCAACTGCCTTCTAAATCCGGCCTGCGGATGGTCCGGGAATCAGCGTGTTTTTCCATGAGTAGAATGTGTCCTTTTATTTAAAATGCATCTCTGGGTTATTTGTGGGGCCTGCCTGGTGTTTTTACATGAGTAGAATGTGTCCTTTTATTTAAAATACATCTCTGGGTTATTTGTGGGACATAAGAATTCGTTCTCCCCCCCCCCCTTCAAAATATAGTCCAGCCCCCACAAGGTCTGAGGGGCAGTGGACTGGCCCCCTGCTGAAAAAGTTTGCTGACTCCTGGCTTAGACAACCATCTGCCAGAGGGGCTAAGGGTTGCATCCTGCCCTCAGCAAGGGACTGAGTGAGATGAGCTCCAATGTCCTTTACAACTCTGCGATTATATGACTCTAAAGTGCACACACAAAACTCACCATATTTATAGCTTTTACATCCTAGTGTCCAACACTGTAACTGTTATATGCCACACTGGTTCTCAGAAGAAACCTACAGTGGTACCTCGGGTTACATACGCTTCAGGTTACAGACGCTTCAGGTTACAGACTCCGCTAACCCAGAAATAGTGCTTCAGGTTAAGAACTTTGCTTCAGGATGAGAACAGAAATCGTGCTACGGCGGCAGCAGGAGGCACCATTAGCTAAAGTGGTGCTTCAGGTTAAGAACAGTTTCAGGTTAAGAACAGACCTCTGGAACGAATTAAATCCTTAACCCGAGGTACCACTGTATTTTCAAACATAAAGCATATATATTTGGGCAAAACCTGCACTCAGTTCATTTTGAAGGCAAAACACATTCCCTGACCGGGAATCGAACCCGGGCCGCGGCGGTGAGAGCGCCGAATCCTAACCACTAGACCACCAGGGAATTTGGCACCAGTATTCAACCTGATATGTCTCAACCCAGCTGTCTTACTTGTTTTGTTTCTTTGTTTATCTGTTTGTTTGTTTGTTTGTTTATATGACATTGTACAATTTATATGCCCCTTTTTTATAGACGGGAAGCGGGTGATGCTGTGGGTTAAACCACTGAGCCTAGGGCTTGCCGATCAGAAGGTCGGCGGTTCGAATCCCCGCGATGGGGTGAGCTCCTGTTGCTCGGCCCCTGCTCCTGCCAACCTAGCAGTTCGAAAGCACGTCAAAGTGCAAGTAGATAAATAGGTACCGCTCCGGCGGGAAGGTAAACATTTCTGTGCGCTGCTCTGGTTCGCCAGTAGCGGCTTAGTCATGCTGGCCACATGACCCGGAAGCTGTACACCGGCTCCCTCGGCCAGTAAAGTGAGATGAGCACCACAACCCCAGAGTCAGTCACGACTGGACCTAATGGTCAGGGGTCCCTTTACCTTTACCTTTTAATAGGCAAAGCCCACCAAAGGCAGCCCACAATATTCTACAGAGCCCACAGAATAAAGCCACCTGAAACAGCCTTTTGCCCGGGCTGATGGGCATGGGACTCTTAATGCCAGGGCCGTGGGTTCGAGCCCCGCTTTGAGCAAAAGATCACTGCATAGCATGGGGTTGCATTAGATGACCTCTGGTGGTCCCTTCCAACTCTACAATTCTATGAATCTATTCGATGAACCTCTGAAGGGCATCAGGATGGCCAAAGCTGATCTAAAATAATCGAAGCTGACCCAATGCAGCAACATCAACAATTACTTAAAAAAATAAATAAAAAATAAAGCTGGTTTAAAACAGTTTGACAGAAATTAGCAGGAAGACAGCTAAACAGAGTTCTATGGTACAGATTTCTCTGCAAGCTGAAGACGCGCCTCTTTATCCCCCAGCCTCCTTTGACAGGTGAGGAGTTTAGTTTTGTGGAATTGACCTCTTTTTGCAGAGTTCTGCTCCGTTTGGAATGGATGCATGTGTCTTGCCATTCTAATGCTTTTATCTGTTATATATGTGTGTGTGTATCTATCTATCATCTATCTATCTATCTATCTATCTATCTATCTATCTATCTATATCTATGTAAATTCTATAGTTGTAATCCAGCCCTAACAAACCTAGACAGCATCTTAAAAAGCAGAGACATCACCTTGCCAACAAAGGTCTGTATAGTGAAAGCTATGGTTTTCCCAGTAGTGATGTATGGAAGTGACACACTCTAAACTCTAAAGGACACACTCTAAACTCTAAAGGACACACTCTAAACTCTAAAGGACACACTCTAAACTCATTATGGTAAACAGTGAGTTCAAAATCAACACACAAATAAGATGAAATTCATTCTATGATATAGCTCTGTAGGTTGTTGGGGAATCCATTATGAAAAACCTGAGATCCTCTCTCTGGGTCAACAGCAAGAGGAGGAAGATGGAGCAAATACAATTGACAGGGTCTTTTTGGTGGGGGCACCAAGATCTCTGTAAAAGCCTCAACTGTGAAGCCCCACGCTACTCGTCTCTAGGAGGAGTTCCTGTTGCCCTCAAGTTCTGCTTGTAGGCATCTGATTGGCCACTGTGAAAAAAGAATCTTGGACTAGGTGAGTTTTTGTCCCAAGCTAGCATTAGGGATGGGCAAATTGGATAATTTTGTGTTGTTTCTCAGGTTCCCAATATTCTGTTTGGTTTTCCACAGATACATATCAGATTGTGATTTTTCTTTTTTTGAAGTCACCCTGAAATTTCACTGGCAAATCTATCCTAATATACAAATATTTGTATGACATCTTGTGTGTATTGTTATCATCACCACCAGCGAATTTTCGGGACGACTTCAAAAAAATAAAATCGCAATCTGATATGTATCTGTGGAAAACCAAACCGAAGATTTGTGCAAAGCAATTTCCCCTAATAGAAAACATTTTTTCTCTAATATGTGTATTTATACGCATACTTTATCCTGCTGTGTGCATTTTTGTACACATTCCCTGGCTGGAAAAGTGCATTGCAAAATTCGGAGAAGTGAGAATTTCAAAGGATGGCTGTTTTTCGATTCATGGTTCTTTTCAGAAAGTGGAAATTAAGTGAGTCTGCCTTTAAATGGAAACTGAATTGAATTTATGCCCTGTTACCACCCCTGTTACAAATCCCAGCAAGCATCCAGGATTTTTCCTGCCAACTTCGCCAGTTCTGCAAAGTCCATCATCTTCGTCTGCCACTCTTCTTTCGTCGGTCCTTCTTGTTGTTTCCATTTTGGGGCTAAAATAATTCTTGCCCCAGTTGTTGCATATGTAAACAGTCTTTTATCTTCACTTGGTATCCCTTCACCCACTATACCCAGTAGAAAGGCTTTTGGCTTTTTAACAAAAGTATCTTTAAACACTTTCTTTAACTCATTACAGTATATACCATTTCCCAGAAAGCCTTTACCTCTTTGCAAGTCCACCACTTAACAACAACAAGGCCGTTTCCACTGGGACCAAAGGATTTATTCAGCGGCGATGTTAACTTAAAAAGTCCGCCTGGAATGAGTCAGTTTAGATCAATGGAGGTGCCCCCCCTTTAATTTAGCTAACCCCTGGGGGAAAGTCCATTCATTTACTAATGTCTAGGGCTCAATTACCGCAGGGATTAT